AGTGTCAAATTTCTTCACGAATGCATTAAAGTGTGTATTTTAACCATAATTTTCAGCAATTCTTGAGTTAAATGTCATAAAATTGACAGCCGGTGCAACTAGTTATATCTGATTCCTTAGTAATTAGATCGAACACTGAGCTGTCATTCTCGATTGCTAAGTCATGAAAGGAATCTGTACTTGACTGCATCGGGTATCATATCGTGACATTTGATCCTGCGATAGAGATAGTGACCTCTTTTAAAACAAGGTTAGTCCCTCTGACAGGAAGAGCCTCAAAGGAAGATACCAAAGCAAAAGATTGCTAATATACAACATTTGCTTTTGCTGTCGTTTTCAGAAAGAGATGGATTTGGGGGTTAGTATTATAATTGTTACACTGACTTGCTTAAAGTTTTGTGTTCATACACATGTATACTGGAAAAGCCCAAGAAAAAATAATGCTGTTCTTGTAGTCTGGTTCCCTGACCCTACTTCTGACAAACTAAAGCAATTTGTAGACGTCGGGGAATTGTCAGGTCATGGAACCAGACTAACTGGCTTGCACCCGTTCACGGATGTGTAACCGATTGCGAACAAAATGCGGAATAACTAAATTTGGTAAATTGGGGTCTGACTATTTACTTTTTTTCCAACGATGGTCAGCTGACCATCGTTGGAAATTGATACAAGAACTCCACTTTTGTTGAAAGTGATAACACACCAGGTGTCATGATTTCACAGGATGCTTGATACTATTATTCGCATAAACTTTTTACAGTCCAGTAAATTTTTCATAAGGCCTATTTGGAATTCTGTTTTTTGATGATTGCAAATAAAAAAATTGTTGAAATGTTTGTTTACGAGTAGGTGACACTGACCTGCTTAAAGTTTTGTGTTAAAAACCCAGGAAGAAAGTTCTTATAGTCTGGTTCCCTGACCCTACTTCTGACCAAACAAAGCAATTTGTAGATGTCGGGGAATTGTCAGGTCATGGAACCAGACTAACTGGCTTGAACCCGTTCACGGATGTGTAACCGATTGCGAACAAAATGCGGAATAACTAAATTTGGTAAATTGGGGTCTGACTATTTACTTTTTTTCCAACGATGGTTAGCTGACCATCGTTGGAAATTGAAAAACTCCACTTTTGTTGAAAGTGATAACACACCAGGTACTATGATTTCACAGGATGCTTGATACTATTATTCGCATACACTTTTTACACTCCAGTAAAGTTTTTCATAAGGCCTATTTGGTATTCTGTTTTTTGATGATTGCAAATAAAAAATTGTTGAAATGTTTGTTTATGAGTAAAGAATGACTGATATTTCTATTCTTGAGGTTGATGGCTCAGAGTGCCACTCTAAAATATTGGAGAAGTGTTTTGCTTCACTAATTGCAATGCCACCATGTTAGGAATGTGGGCAATTTGCAACAACAACAAAATGCACAGCATACATCCCGGGCAATACAATTTTCAAAAGAATGGGGCCAATTTTATTAAGCAGCTTAGTATAGAAAATAATGCTTACCAAAAAGAAACAGCTTACTAGCCAAAAACTCATGAGATGTCTATAGCTTATAACTGGTTTCCCCCTGATTTTGGTTTAGCACACAAATTTGCCAAACAGTATTTTCTGTTTCTGTGAAATTAGACCGTGGTGCCGGATTTCATCATACTTTACACCGATCGTGCTCATTTATTACTGGAGCTAGTGTCGCCAGATCCAAACATGAAGTGTTGGCTACGGAGCCATATATCACCGAGCATCGTTATCCTTATTTGGCCGTTCACACGGCTACCAGAAGAAACGAACCATTTATCAATGTCTGTAACACGCAGAGAGTGAACGACAATGCATTAATTGGACGTATCCATTTTAAACTTTATCAGTACATGTCATTGCCATCTGTTACTGCTTCTGTTCTTGAGTTGAATTACAAATGAAGCTAATAAAATAAAGAAAAAAACAACCAATTTAACTAGCATAATTTACTAGGAAACATACCCATCCAGGCAAATTCAAACAGCTACATGGGATATCGAACACACACACACACACTGTTGGACTTAGTTTCTGGAGGTATGCCAAACCCAGTGTAAATGACCATCAGTTTAGGGGTACTGTACCCATTCTAACAGATTTAAACGACACCTGCTGTTGGTCTTTGATGGGTTGATTTCGGTTAGGATTAATAATTCAAACAAAATGATGATATTGTAACAACCAGTTTTGTCGTACATTACTTTTATAGTATTTCCATGTATTTTTTTTATATTTTGGGGGTATATTTGTCTTCATTGTCTTGGCCCAACAATATTTTTACTCAAAAGCTGTTTTCAAAAGATAGGAATGTATCACATCAAAACTTTAACAATTTCTTAACTTGTAATTTGTATAAGTTAAATTTTGTCCACATATAAACTTGTCCAAGAACTGCATGCAGAATGTTGCTCAAGGATCTTCATTTTGGCAGAGAAATTTCACTTCACAAATTTATAAAGTCAATAACCTAGGTTTGTTATTTTTTAATTTTTTTTTGGTCCAGACAAGGAAGATCCATGTATAAAAAACTAGACCCACTCTGTAAAACGAAACTTGGCACTGCATTTACTTTGCCTACTTCTCGATGAAAAGGGAAGGAAAAGAGAGAAACTGAAGACAACAAAATCAAGAAGTGTGTGTGGAAAACCCCTCATGAACTGTACCAAACAGATTTCATTTTCGTTTATTGTTCTTAGATTGTTTGATTGATTTCCTTGTCGCTCGGGATATTGTCAAAAGTGGAGAATGAGTTTCTTTAATTTAATATTCATGTACACAAGACTCTCATCAGATTGACACTTCAAGCTAATATACAACATTGGCTTTGCTGTAGTTTGATAACAGAAATTGATAGATTTTGAGGTTAGTATTTTATAGAAAATATTGTTACACTGACCTGTTTAAAGTTTTGTGTTCATTTATGCTGGAAAAACCACGAAGGAAATGCTGTTCGTGTAATCTAGTTTCCTGACCCTACTTCAGACGAAATGGAACAATTTATACACGTTGGGGAATTGTTTGGTCATGGAGCCAGACTAGCTGGTTTGCACCCATTCATGGATGTGCAACCGATCGCAAACAAAATGTGGACTAACTAAATTTGGCAAATTGGAGGCAGCATTTGAAAAAGTTATTTTTTTCCAACGATGGTAGGCTGACCATCGTTGGAAATGATAGCACACCAGGTGTCATGACTTCACACAAGTGAAAAAACCTTTTCACGCTTTTTCACAAAAGTGGGGAAAACATCTTCACGCTTTTTCATTTTTTTTCACACATGTGGGTAACCATTTTCCGGTCTTTTCGCACAATTGGGAAAGCTTTTTCACATCTTTTTTCCAGGAGTGGGAGAACATTTTCACGAAATGGGAAATATGGGAATGTGAATGCAAATGCTAATTCTATTCACAAAATTTCCCATTCCCATTCGCAGTGTTAACTTTCAAATGCACTGTACTGTATTTTAATGTATTAAATATTCCATTTATTGCTTCTTTTTAAGCCTCAGTGTTTGGGCTGAAATGTCATTTTGAATATTATTGTATCATATTCATGTAACTCAATTTTGTTGTTGGGGTAGCTGATTGAACTGCTAACAAAGTTCACTCGGCCCAGATGGTTACCGGCTGAAACAATAATGATAAGGGAAGGAAAATACAAATACTACCAACGGCAGGAAGTGATAGTCAGTCTGAACGGAAATGCAATCCAGCCAGTTTTGTAATCGCTTGTCCACTCTAAGTGCAACACTCTTCCACTCAACATATACTCATTTCCCAGCAAATTCATGAAAAAAAACTCAGTACTAAAAAAGTAGCATGGTATGATTCCTGTCAAAAATAAGTTCGACAGGATAATTTTGGTTATAAATTAATAACCCTCCTACTGTTTGAACAGTCACAGACAGTCAAAATTTATATCCACTTCCCCTGCCATGCCTTTTAGTTTTAGGCAGGCTAGTCACCAACAGTCAGATCATATTTCAAGCAAGCACTCTGACTAGTCTATTACAGTCAACAGACAAAAGCAGGCAAGCGTTAACCACAGCTGGCAAGTGGTAACCACAGCTATCAAGTTACATTAACAGTCACAACCAGACAATCATGCTTTATGTAGCCTGGAGCTCGTCACTTGATTGATTTTTATGAAAGGACAACTAGGCACAGAATATATGTTTGCATAGGAGGGGTTTTAAGGCCACTTTCGCATGCTACGCCAGGTTTTCAATTTGATATACACCTGCAACATTAACAGAAGAAACTGACAACTGATAATGGCAAAACGAATACATGTAGGCATATATTCAATATGCAATTAGCTTGTCTTACATATTTCCTGGGAAAGATTCCCATATCTGGTCATCACTCATTTTTCCCTTCAGTGACCTAACAGCCATCACAAAGTGATAATGTCCAAACAAGTCAAATTTAGCACGGAAAATGTGAAGTATTTACTGAGAAAACACTAATTAGACATTTTCAGACCAGTCTCATACTCATACGGTTTGTGCACAAACGTGATGGCCAGATATGGGAATCTTTCCCCAGACAATTCATAAAATAACTGTATCTTAAAAAAAATATCTCTTTTGAGTTTGAATTTTGTTTGCACACATACAAAAATTCTGTAAATGAAAACCAACTGACATACATTTGAACACTTCTAGATTTTCAAGACAGAAATACCTCATTATGTCTGTATATGAGCCAAACGATTTACACAACCGAAATCTGACACCATCCACTGAAATAATGAACAAATTTAAACCAATTATAGGTCTATCATTGCAAGGTCCAGACATACACATGAAATATTAAACGATTTTTCATCAAATATGTAACGCATGACTGACCTGAAACAGATGTCCGGGCGTGACAGACAACAATGACAACTTCAACAATGGCGACAATAGAAAATGCTGACAAGAAACATTCCAACTAAATTAAAAAATAGCAAATAGGATTCAAGTACCTGGTCTTCATCCTACAGGTCGAAAATGATGGCAAGTGGACATGATACTCTTCCCAAAATGACAAAATTTAGACGTCAGAGGCACTTTTGGCAGAAGAAATGTTGATTATTCACGCAAAAACACAAAGGCTACCACTACCAGTATAGCCGGTTATACCAGACGAGTCGAGTCGTGCGTACACCCATCCCATGCTAGTAAACACGTGCAGGCCCAGCATGTTGCCTTGGCGCATTTCAATATAACGGCCATCGTCACATGGCCTACGGGAACCTACATGTAAATACAACGACACCGACACCAAACGAGAATGATCGGCACGTGCCTGGCGCTCACAGAAAGGAAAGTTGTGTTTCTCACGATCATAATCAAAACTCCCCGGACGACATCGATGAAGGAAATTCACTTTATTTATTCAGACTTGTTGCTTGTATAACAGTGTTCAGTGCATGTTGATATTAAAAGCAAATCTTTCAATATTGTTGGTATTTTTGTAATTATAAATTGTTTGAAGAAAGAATGCGATATCTTTTTAAATCAAGGTTTAGTCAAAACTTTTGGCACATTTTAAATTATCGATTTTGTTATTTCAGATCACATCCAACAGCAAGAATTGAGACATAACAAAATAACTTTAAATCAACCAAATAATAGAGGCCTGAAGTTTCGATCCTAATGCTAATGATAATCCGAATAGCAAGGAGGTAGCTAGCCCCCCCCCCTCCCCCCGACTGAGTAATGTTAATTATTAACAAACTACAAAAAAAATCCCAAGTTTTCTTAACATCACTGGATAATGTCATCACTCGATAAAACTTAATTCATTGCTTCAGGTCTTCGTCTTTGCATGCCTCTATAGGCCTACTGCAATGTTTCAACCCCTTCCTCCCCACCCCACCCCACCCTTGAAAACAAATATGTTGACTTCAGTATAGTGCCTACCCCAGCCACCCCACCCCTGGAAAACCTAAATCACGTTTTGTATCATTATGGTTTATTTATTTGCAATAAAAGCAGCCCACGGGCTGAAAACATTCAAATTTACAACAATCAAGACATCTTTAAATTGTAAATTAAAAGGTACATGTCATGACGTAAAAAAGTTATCATTATCATTACTGCTAAAAACCTGCTAAGACAAGACATTTTTTGTAAGACTGGCTGTCACATTTTCCGTTTCAGACCAATTAAGCTGGGCAAACTTAATCCCTCGTGTATCTAGCTCCAATTTTGGCATGCACTGCCGCGTGTCAAATCCAGATGCACTGTCTGACATTGGCATCCTAGACATTTAGGCTCATTATGGAGATGTTACGATGAGTCACGTTCAAGTTCATGCCAGGTCAGGCCCATACGCCTCCCCCCCCCCCCCTTCCGCTCAGAAAATTAAAACAAACAAAAATTAAAACAAAAACAAAAACAAATCTACTGTTGATGACCCCTCCTACTCCCCAAAAATCTCGCCCCTCCCCCCCCTCCCAAAAAATCTTGCCTTCAAGTTGTAAATACGAGCAAGAAAATTGCTTCAAAGGGTCGGAGGAAAGTGGCCACGAAATGACTCAGATTGCACCACAGAGCCGTATCTAGAATCCAAAATTTTCCGGGGCAGTTAAGCGGGGCCTGGACCTCACACCGGGGAGGGGGGGGGCTTCCTGCTTACATAATAAAACGTTTCACTTTGGGATTTGAAGACACCCCCATCTTTTTCTCGAAAAAAAAAATGATAAAGTGGTCAGAAATTGCCTCAGATCACACACAGAGCATCTACCATCCCCCAAAAAGTGTTGGGCGGATCTCGATTTCAATTCCGATTTAGATATTAATGTGAAACAAATATTGAAGGTGAATTAGAAATATCCGTATTTGTCCGAACTGCTATGATCATTGGCCCAGTTCTGACATCATAACAGCAGCATCTGTTCATGGTAGGCATCTTGTCTCAATTTGTATATGTCTCCCACTCTCGAAAATATTTCTCAGTTATCGAAAAAGAGCTTAACGGTGACGGATATGTCAACCTCTCGGAACTTGGCACTGTGAATATATTGTGAAAACGGTTTGTCCAAACCAAAGGTATTCAGGGATGATCCACGACACGGTTGCATCAAAAACAATAAGAGATTTTTTTTTTCATTTCGTTTTGACTCTCTTCAGACAAATATTTCGGATAAAATGTCATAAGCTCTTGATTTGCAGTACAAGATCGGGAAAAAAACAGTTTACCAACTGTAGCACTCGGTGCCTACCACTATATAAACAAAGCCGTATCAGAAAGAAGTGCACATTTTGTGTAGATTGTCATTTCAAAGTTGAATTGGGTAGTCTTGTTCTGTTTTGATGTATGGTACAAAAGCACGGCACGGTAAAGAAGCAGTAACTTGCATGACTTCACAATTCATATGAAATTGCACAACTCCAAATAAGGGTACAGTTTCACTATAACGAACATTTTGATATAAACGAACATCCGCTTTGGTTCCCGAAAAATTAAATATTATATTATCATGCACAATCACTATAACGAACGACCACTATAACAAACAATTCTGACGTACCCCATCTTGTGCCCAGACCCCCTCCCGTTTCACTTTCAACACAATATCCGACGCTGTGGCTAACGGAGTTCAGTTGAAAACAATGGACGCCATGGGTTCGAATCCCATGAATGTATTAGGTTTTCCTCTCCCCCCCCCAATAGTTTTCGGAAGTGAGAGGCCAATTTTGTGCACGATATTTCTCCTTCACGTGAGGCGATTTTTCAGTTTCCATAAATTGAGATGCTAGTAACAATTTTACAAAGGCTTTTTCGAGGGAGATTTTCTCAAGAAATAGGTACCGAAAACAATTTTAAATTTTTGCACGTTTAAGGTACCAAAAATAATTATAATTTTTGCACGTTTATTTTCCTATTCAAGAGTTTCGGAAGCGCGCCACCAGGATTGAACTTTCAGGCTCTATAGAGGGCGTCGTCAAGTATTCGTATTCGGACAATTTTCAGCGAGGTTTTTGGGGCTTTCATCAATATGAATGTCTACTTAACATGGATCCTTAGCCTAAAACTCGCCGAGTCACATCCGAAGAAATGAAGTCCAAAACCAATCATGGTGATTTCCTAATTTATTGTTAATGCAACAAAATCATTGCAGTATTTACAGATTTGTTTTTTAACAAAGCGAATAGTTTACAAAAGCATTAATGTCAAACTAGTTAAAGGAAATGTGGCAAGTATTGTTACATTCAATGTATACACAATTTGGCAACTGATGTTTAGGCCTTTATAATGAAAAGTTTGGAGATGCATACTTACAGTTTATTCCCGCCTATAGCTTCCACCAAATTGAACATTAATTCATTGATACAATCTGAGTATTAACATTTTGGTGATTCTGTCTGGATATCGAGCCACTTGCTTATTTTTCATTTTAAAAAGTGTCGTCAAAAAAAACCTTATTTACAAAATGTGTATAAAAATGAGGCATGTACATTGTATACGCACGCCAAGATAATGCGCCTATCAATTGTTTCCCAACCCTCCCCTCCCCCGGGCTGCCCCACCCAAGACGTGGGAATTGTCATTTTTAAAGCGACAAAATCCCCACCCCTCGGGAAAAATTTAAGTGACAATCTCCGACATACATGTGGGGCGCACTAGTGATTGCTTTCCATGTACATGCAGTTCGTCAATAGCATAAAAATGTTTTTGAGGGACTAAAATCCCCACCATGGGGCATGAAAAACGTGACCAAACCCCGACATCGGACCTGGGGTAGCGGGGGTGGGGTGGGGCGGGGGGAACATTTGATAGGCGCATAACAGCCAGGTGTTTGATTTAAAATGCTTATGAAATTATTAGCTCAGTGCATTGGTACGGAGTCCTTGACCTGAATCAAGTGACACTCAATGTTTGTCATGTCAGTTCCCCCATCCCCCAGTCACATTTTAGTTTTTTTTTTTCAAGCAACCTGGTATAATACACTAAGTATCAAAAATACTCCGGAGCCATGAATCGGAATGAAAAGAAGGTGAAATTGATTTCATGGATAATTGGACTTGATCAAACACGATAACAGAAAGATAATACATTATAATCAGCTGGGGAAAAGGTGTTTAGGATTCGAACCCATGGTGCTCCTACACCCCAAAACACCGCCCAAACGATTAGGAGTTGCTTCAACCAAACTTCTTTGAAATCAAAACTTTGTCAATTTTTTTAAAATCTAAAATCACGTTATTATTTCAATCACGTGATATGTCTATGGTTTCACGCATGCGTATTATGGTGGCTAATGCCCGGTTGCAGAACAAACATTAGCCACACATTAGTCACGCTGTACAAAAAATACCGGGTCAGAATTGAACATTTTGCCAAGGGTTTCCGGGTCGACATGACCCGGAAAATGAAAAAGAAGAGTGCCATTCTGACCCGGTAAGTTTAATTTTGACCATGAAAAAAATATGAGTTCAAATAGAACCCGTTTTCCGGGTCAAACTGACACGGGACTTTTAAGATTGCAAGGACTTGATCACAAGTCTAGTCTAAGAGCTCTCCGAGTAAGTTCGCCCCCCCCCCCCCCCCAATGCTCCCCTGTTGCATGTGGTCTAGCTAGGTTAGGCAACCGGCATTTTAGCAAGAAGTATAGTATCCTTGTTTCTGTTGGGGGCTCATGATCGGCTGGCAGTCCTGGTTGACACTGAGTAAGGTCTGCAATGGGCAAAACGAAAAACAAATTATAACATGGAACGTTTCTTTGCTCTAACAGAAAAATCATGTGACGATCCTGAACGAAATTCATGCCACGCAAATGCTGTCAGGTTGTGTATGGACGGCAAAACGGTCAATTTTTCAATTTTCGTCATTTTACTTTTTGTTTCAGCATTTACGGTGATTTTGCAAGGGCGCATAGGGCGGCTGATGGTTGTTTTCCATTCTCCAACCGAAAATTTGATTCGGTTCTTTGAAGTATTATAACAAAATGTATAAGTCCCTGTGTGGCCAACCTCGTCCCCAGGGTGTCGAGCAGTACGCGCCCACCACTACCTGCTCTCTCACCCTGGCATTAAATCATTTGCATGTGCAAGATTTTTGCACACGTATGCAAATGAGGAACAATCTGGTGCCTGGATATGCGTTACACATTAGCGTTTGTTTTTGTATGCGGTGTCTGGGGTAAAAACAGAGTCAATTCGTAGCAGCGCGAGCACGGCGTGAGTTACGAAAACACGATTTTTGAAATCAAACTGTTACGATCTTATCAAGACAACATGCAGTATCATATTTCATATTAATATGAGCAAATTGGAAAGGAAATTAGTATTTTCGAGAAGGCGTGGACGAATGATCGCGAAAATACGTACTGCACGTTGTGAATATATAGCACCAAGTACACGATAAAAATCCATTACTAGCCAATTGTGGTATCCAATCAGGATACAGGAAGAAAGTTTCCTATCCGGGGTTTACTATTGGAAACGCGGTTGGAAATAAAGTAAGCACTGGGGACGAGGTTGCTGTATGGCTCACTTAGCCTATACTGCCAGTAGTCATGGGCGTCGCCAGGTTTTCCTCTAGAGGGGGTAAAGCACATTTTTCCAAAAATTCCTTGTACTTTCTCCAGCATGTTCTCAATTTATAATTTTTTGTTAGGGTGGGCGGGGAGATTTTGCCCACCCCACCCCACTAACACCCCTGCAGACTTGTTGTTTCTGATACATACCCCATCGTGACATCCATCGCGAAGCTGCTGGAAGAAAGACACGACGCAGAAGAAACACAGCAGCTGTCAAAAGGAAATGGTTACCAAAATGTTTAATCTTACAACTGATTAAAGGTCTCAAAACGCTATGAATACACTACTAAACTTGTTAATAAACTTGGTATATACATATTCTCAAAGGTACTACGCTCTAAAAACAACTTAGTCCAGATATTGACTTGTTTTCCTAGTTAGTGAAAGTTTAACATGCAAGGTTTCATAATGACTAAAAAAAAAAGTAGTTTCTAGTCAAATGTGATTAATGTGGGGTTTTTTTTAAGAGTGTATAAGTACGATTGTGTCCGCTACTGGGATCGTACTGATTGCCTATGGGTCACGTGATTCTTTTGAAATTCGTCTGGCTAATCGGATTCGGGGTTATGACCAGTTTAATTTCACGAATGACTTAAGGAAATTAAAATTGGGATTTCAAACTTACCGCAATCAGGACACTAACAGCGAGAGCCGCAGCCACGATACCGTATGCGATGCGATAAGCCTGTATGACATCTGGGTCAGTCACATCAACAGTGATGTCCAGGAAATTAAACATAGATATGTTGCCATTCTGTCGAAATGGTACATCCAAAATGAGCAGGCATTAATGATAGATCGATAACTGGCAGTCGATAATGACAAAATGAAGAAATGGCGATTTCTTGTCAAGATTATGGATTTTGCTGATTCGTAGATTCAAGTCTTGTTTTATACATCAGGCGCAGATCCAGAGGTGGTTTGGGGGTCATTATTTTTTTTAAAGGAATACATTAAAAATGATGTGGAACCCCCCCCCCTGCTCTGACACCCCCCCCCCCAAAAAAAAAATAATTTGAAAGTATGGTAATTGAAAGTATGGTACGAGCCCCCCCCCCCCCTCCTCCATTGATTTTACTAGAAAAAAATGGTCTACATTTCAGCATTGATTTACTGATGAAAAAAACACCCCCTCCCAAGAAAAAAAATCCTGGATCCGCCCCTGTACATACATGTACTCGTGTGTATTATGTAAATGTCTAGCAAACATACGAATTGAATCATTTGAAGATTGGGGTACAGAATTTTTAACAATTTGAAAGCTGTTTATACACAATGACACGAGTTATTAGGGTGACATTGCCAATGCATGTCCCAGCCAAGGAGGCGGGGGTGTTGGTGTTGACTCCTCTTGGGGATCCCTGCTCATGGTTCACAGATCTCCGGGCGGCAAAAGACTTTCTCAACAATCTTGAGCTTCCGAACCTCGGGGGGGGGGGGGGCACAAATGAATTTCCTCCCACTTCTATAACACTGAACGTTTTATCACTGTCTTATTCCCTTCAATACAAATTTCTTCAGGCTTGTAAATTAATACTTCCAAGTAAAACTTACAGCAACGACAACGATGAGAATAATCACAAGGATTATGTCCACAAAGATGGCCAAGCCCTGGGCGACCAGGTAGGGAAGTAACAGCTCTTTCTTATACTGGATGAAGAAAAGAGAAATAGTGGAAACAAAACGGAGGATCGTGGCGGCCATTTTTGTAGTGGGTCCCACAGTTCAAAGTATAAGGGGAGCAGGGGGGGGGGGCACCCAAGTGCCCCTCTTGCGGACATAAAAGTGCCCCCTCGAGCATAAATGTGCATGCCCCTCGAGATGAAAACAAAACTGGCCCAAAATTTCAGATAATTTTATTCAGTAACAATTTCCCAAAATGGTAAAGAGAGTTCTGATATGAACGAGGAATATGAAAACCAAGCCCCAAAACCCCAACATAATGCGTAGTTTGCATAATGGCTGGTTTTGAAGAGCGTCCCCTATTTTGGAAGATGGTGCCAGCCGCCAGCTGATATGCTGTTGGGAATGACAGGTTGCAGTTTTGGAAGCCACAAAGATGACCGTGGATTTGTCGTTTTCTGGATGAGGTGGATGACATGTGACATACGAGGTTGTGCCTGTCACGTGAGATAGCTGAGAAAAAAACATTCGCTCGTACCCCCCCCCCCCCCCACGCCCTGTTTGCAGGGCGGGGGTACGAGCGAAAGAAAACATCAGGTTTGGGCAGACATCACAGCACAGGCTGCGGTCCTCGTAGTCTTTGAGTCCAGTAGTTGAATAGTCCAGTTTTATAGCGATTGGATACACGTAGGCCTACATGACGTACATGTACAGTACACAGTGGCGTAGCCACGTTTGGGGGGGGGCATGAAACCTTGTCGCCCCCCCCCCCCCCCAGTCGCTAAAAAAATTATCATTGATCTACATGCCGCCCCCCCCCCCCATGAAATGCTCCAGCCTGAAAATGAAAATTGTCGGTTTGTGTATTATGAATATGATCAAGTTAAATTATTTATGCAGTATTTTGCCCATTTCCCTCAAAATTGCATATTGTAATATTGTACATTTTTATCAATTTGCTAGAATATGTGATACCTCACCAACAAGTATCTTTTAACGAAATTCAATCAGAATATTTATCAATTTTTTAATTTTTTTTTAGTTGTTGTGTTACTTGTTGGTGTCCCTGCCACACTGTTCGATGGTGTAGCCGTGCGTTATGCACGTGGATTGTTTACTTTCGTTTTGACGGGGACTTTACTGAATAGAGTCTGGTGACTGTACATAGAAATTTCTTTGAATAAAAGTCGAATCATTCATTCATGTGCACTTGTTATGCAAAGCAGGGGCAGTGCTTCAAGGATATCTATGTCGTCTTGCAGAAAGTGTGCAGGAACGCGACTTGAATGTTTTTTTTGTGTTCACAATACAACGACGCTGTTTAGTTATTTCACTGTGTGACACAGTGAGAAATTTTGGAATCATAATGGCGTCAGCGATACTTGCTGGGGAGCTCTTGCGTGCGACTTTCTGCACTTTGGTACTGTTGTTTCCAGGACAATTGTGTACGGTAACCCTACGTACCCAGATTTTTAAAGACGAAATTGCCGACCTCAAACTTGTTAGTGCCATATTTGGCAACTATATGTGCGTTATTAGTTTAATTAAACAAATGAACAGGTTAATTAAACATAGTACCATTGAAGGTACCTAAAAGTAAACATAACAGCATAGAAGACCGACAGACGAACATAAAATGTTACAAAATAAACATATTTGTCTGGATAATTTTTTAGGGCGTTACCGGCAAGTTAACACAAACTTGGTGTCAAATAGATCATGGGAGTTACTTTTCTTTGACTTTTCATACAAGTTTATACATAAACTTTAACTGTATGACCTGCAGTGGCGTAGCCAGGATGGGGGGGGGGGGGGGGGGGGGGGGGCGCCGTGGGGGGCGACAGCCCCCCCCCCCATGAAACCTTGTCGCCCCCCCCCAGTCGCCTCCCCCACTGAGATTTTGAGTTTCTAAAAAAATTATCATTGATCTACATGACGCCCCCCCCCCCATGAAATGTTCCAGCCCTCCCCCCAGCGCCCCCCCCCCCCACCCCCCACTGAAAAATTCCTGGCTACGCCACTGACAGTACATACAGGGGACAAAGTTGGAAAAGAAACACGCATCGCGATATCGGAACGCTTGCGCGTAGTTCAGGCAAGTCAAAAGATCTATCTTTCTTTGTTTTTTTTAATCTTTTTTCCATGGAAAGTGAATTTCGATTTTCAATTATTTAGCTTGACCCAACCACCCACAATTTGGAAAAAAAGATCGACATTTTAAAACATTGAAAATTCTGAATGGCCCCTAATCATAACTACATTATCGCAGCTTTAAACTGCAAATGAAATGTGTATGATATTATGAGAGGATAATCTCTAGGCTCCAATTATGTTAGCGCCTAAAAAAACCTAATATAAACCATGTTTACCTTGATCGCTCCAAAGACAAGACATACAGCGCCCAGTTCAATACCCGCTTGAACAATGATCGTGATGACATAGTAAGCGGTCAAGTGGCTACCTGAAGAAGAAAAATCAGACGGAAATGTATCGGGCATTTTATTTCAACAGAAATTGACGATGAGTTTTGTTCTGGCATGAGGAAATAACTTATAGGCATAGCTATAAAGAAGAACAACATAATTAAAGATAAGACTGAAGGGTTTGCACGGTGGACGCGATCAATGAATGGGAAGTTTGCAGTAACACCATGTGAATGATATCTTTATGAGAAGAACCAGTTAGTCTCAACGTTTCGAGCAGTATGCTCTGCTCGTCATCAATCTTCTGATGACGAGCAGAGCATACTGTTCGAAACATCGAGTTTGAACCAATGAATGATAAAGGTTTGCTTTATGAATACCAGTGATTTCGATGTACCCGTCGGGTAGATTAGCCCAGGCTCTGACGCTTGCGATCAGGGATCCAGCAGCTGCTATCTGTCAATGGGAAGAAAAAGAAGGAATTTTAAAATGAGGATCCTGGATTATCCGTTAACTCCCGTAAAAAGCAAAATCAGATCTCCCACAGTTGATTTTAAATTGATTTTCAAAGATTAAATCTTTTCAAAAGATTAAAACTCTTTGGTTGCTTCCAATCTGATACTTGACGACGTCATCGTGAGACGTCATTACCAGAAAGCTTGAGAGCTGTGCGATTTGAAGCAAACATCTGCATTAAATATCTCGCGGTTGATTTTTCAACACTTTTTTTAATAACAGAGAAAAAAATATTGCCAAGCGAAAAAAAACAACGTTAAAAGGTAATACGATCAGTTGCTATTTGTGTATTTTTTGTGTGGGGATGCATATGAACAAACCTGTTGAAGTTTTAGCTTATATAGTGACTACTATTATACAAACAAAAAAATAAATTGGAAAACACTATTGGGCAATGTTGTTTGTCCAAAATTAGTGTGGAAAATTAACCACCAAATTGGGAAGAATTTGCCCAAAAGTGTAGAAATTTCAAATTGCCTTACCATTGTCCATATGGCCACTACAAACGTCCCGCTTCTGACGTCACAGCAGCAGCACCTGTTCATAATAGGCATCTTGATTTCAATTTGTGTGTTTTTCCTTTCTCAACAAAAATATTCAAGTATCGGAAAAGCAACTGCTCTACCTCCGAGCTTAACAGAGACGGAAATGTGAGGCTGTGAACGTGGCACTGTGAATTTAATGTGAAAACGCTTGGTCCAAAGGTACAATAGGTGTTCGCGGGCTGATATGGGCTGTACCCACGTCACGGTTGGCAAAGCAACGGCAGCACAAGTTGGTGTTTTTCGTTTCGTTTTTGTGATCAAGTGGTCACATTGCAAATAGTTGTATTTATAACGAGTTAGCGACTCTATTTGCACAAGGTTTCTGATAAATTGACCTCGTGACTTGCAGCACAAATCAACATGACAAACAGACATGTGATTTCAAATGACTTCTTTTTTTAATAACACGGCCGATGTCCTAAAAAAAAAAAGCATTTCGGAACGATGGGACCATGTCCCGCTTTATTTTATACTGCAAAAGCTAGAAGAAATAAATCGAATTAAACAATTACACAGGTTTAACTCTCATGATTTAATATACAGGCGGTCTGATTGTAATAGGCTTTTACTTTAACCCCGTCCCCAACTTTTAAAGAGTGTGGACAGTTACTTTATGCTTTCATAAACCTTCTGATTTTGGTGATTCTTTGTGGTTTCAGTACATAATACAAATTCAATGTGCAAACTTAATGCACAAACGTTTCCGAAAAGCAATTTGTTTTGGGTTCCCGAGTTGAACCGGAAACCCCTAAACCGAATAGTGTGCCTCACATAACATCCAGCAACAGCGCCCTCATTTGCCAGTGAAACAATGTTTTTTTATAAAACTTAAAAAAGCGCACTTTATAAAATTTCACAAACGAATGAATGTAATACGTGTACACAGGTCACGCAAAGTCTATCCAATCAGAGCGTGAATTCATCAGCCCTTCCCAGCGTCCTGTTTGCAGGGCGGGGGTACGAGCGAAACTTATCAGAGGAATGAAACTATATGCACAAAATATGTTTCAGCGAAAAAAATTCATAACATGCCCCTCCCTTTAAGTATTGGGGATAACGGGTATGTGGATAGGCAACCTCGCCCCCAGGGTGTCGAGCAGTACGCAACCACCACTACCTGCTCTCTCACCCTGGTATTGGATCATTTTGCATGTGCAAGATTTTTGAACACGTATGCAATTGAGAAATAGTCTGGTGCCGGCATGTGCGTTGCATTAGCGTTTGTTTTTGTATGCGGTGTCTGGATTAAATTCTGCATCAATTCGTAGCGCCGTGAGTTATGAAAACACGATTTTTTTGGAAGTTAAAATGTTACAATCTGGCCCGCCAATATGCAGTATCACATTTCATATGAGCAAACTGGAAAGAAAATGAGTATTTTTGAGAAGGTGTCATAATTACAATGAAAACACGTAATGCACGGTTGGAAATAACAACACCAACTACACGATATAAATCCATTATTAGCAAATTGCGGTATGGAATCAGGACACAGGAAGAAAGTTTCCTATCCAGGGCCAGGGCTATATATATTGGAAACGATGTTGGAAATAAAGTAAGCACTGGGGACGAGGTTGGTGGATAGGCAACCACTACCCAATCAGGAACTTTTTCAAAAGGCCTATTGCTCAGTGCTCCTAGATTGTAAATTTTTAGTCGTGATCCGATTCGCTTTCTGATGATGAGCTATGGTCTGGCTTTGGGGGGCTGGCGCCGGACGGGCCGTCGCCGGAACTCTTCCCAGCCCTGGCCGGCTTCTTACGGCCACCGCCTGTCGACGTGGTGGCTTGTTCCTCGGTGTTTGGTGTGGTGCCCGGCTCCCCACCGGTATCACCGCCCTGGTTGACGTAACTACCTTGCGGCACCATGACGACAGTTGTGGTCGTCGTCATGGGAAGAGGCTGTACCCAAAAAAAAAATCAACTTTGGTTATATCTGAATAAAAAGTCTAACTTATTTTTGACCAGTTGACATTTTAGTTTCCACACGCCATATAATAAATTGCAACCAAAGCTACAGGGTCTTTGGCATTACTAGCCATATGAATAGCCTCTGTCATCTATATATATAAGAGAGAGTTTAACTCGGCCTCCGCGACGATGTTTGCTCATGAAAGGATCCGAGACCGCGGGCTCCCGCGGCGCCAAAATCGCTCCACGTCCGTGGAAAAATACGGAGGGTGTCTTCCGCCGGGTCGGACACTTCGGGTCGTCCTGATTTTCCCGTACGGACCGGCGATCCTTTTCGTCTATTTTTCGTGACAGCATTTTGCACAGGAATTTTCCGTCGTGTGCGCTTTCACGTTGACTGCCTGGCCGCCCCCTGTGCTGGCTTTTCTGCGAGTCTAGACTGTGCGAGGTCAGCGAGGTCAACGTAGGGGTTTCGTTTACGTGTTCTACTCAGCCGTACTGCCAAAGCGTTCACCAAATTGTGATATGGGGTGACCTTGGTAAAATATTTTTTCTCCATGGTGCGTGGCCACCGAGTGCCCCTATTCTTTCATATGCTTCGCTTGCCGCCCCTGCGCCGAGTGCAACGAATACTCAGAAGGACTACACATTAAGTATGCCTTGCGCGGTCTGACCAATCGAAAGTCTACACTGCGTAGTATATCCGGGCTATGCAAAACTGTCGCTGGCAACGCGTACTGCAGCCTGCTCCACACCCTGGAAACGAGGTTGGGTCTACGGTGCTCGCTATTTGCATGATTTGCAGCACAAGCATGTGAGTGACGTGTATAGTGCTCTGTTGCTTCGTCGTGTGTTAATACAGCTCCATGCTTCCACCAAGGCTGAGCGTTGTGAGTTCGCTGCCCGCCACAGTGTTGCGTTATAATTTCGGGGGCCTGTCTGGGATCAACGAAGGATCGATGCATTCAAACATCGCGATCTTAAACGCAGTCACACAAAAAATCAACGAAAATGTGTCCGATCCGGCGGAAGACACCCTCCACATTTTTCCACGGACGTGGAGCGATTTTGGCGTCGCGAAAGACCGCGGTCTCAGATCGTTTCAGGAGCAAACATTTCTCGGAGGCCGAGTAAAATTTGCTCTTATATAGATGGTTGACCCAAGTTGAATAACAGTTGACTCGACAAGTTCCTCGCAGACAGTCTCGCAAATTGTAAGACGTTCAAGTTTACGTTTGTTGAAGAGTCCAATATACTGAAACTTAATTATGACCTTCTTAATCAGCCTTCGCCTGTGTACTACGGCAAGCCTTTCAAGTACGTTTTCTCACAAATGCCACTGCCTCACAAAATGCCAATTTAACAGACCAAAGGGAACATTTACAGACTGTTGCCATGGTACATAATTATCATGGGCGTCAATCGGTGGGGGACGGGGAACCCCCCCCCCCCCCCCCATTTTAAAGCGGTGGAGACTTTTTGGTCCCCCCCCCACTTTTCTTCCCCGAATAAAAATTGTAGCTACTACATGTATAATGATTCCATTACTCAGAATAGCTGATTCAATGACACCAAACTCAAAAATGATGTTTAAAAGATGATCTTCGTTTTCCAAATGCGACTGCCTCACAAAAAGCCAATTTAACAGACCAACGGCAACATTTACAGACAGTTGCCATGGTACATAATTATCATGTGCGTAAATCGACGGGGGACAGGGGACCCCCCCCCCCCACACACACACACAACCCACATTTTGAGGGGGGACATTGTTTGGTCTCCCTCCCCCCCCCCCCACACACACACTTTTTCTTCCCCGAATAAAAATATTGTAGCCTACAATAATGATTCTATTGCTCAGAATACATGTAGCTGATTCAATTACTCAAAACTCAAAACTTTCACAGATGATCTTTTGCTCAAATTGGTTTTAGTGATCAGAAATTGCCTCAGATCACACCACAGAAATTGATATTCTTTAACTGCATGTCTCACCAACTATATCCCCCATTTACATTTAACTCCCCACATTTTCATCCCCAACACTACGCCCTACCCGATCTATGATCGGGTAAACCAGCTTGTCATAACATAATCGTCAAGGGCCCATAGAGGCTAGAGCGGAAGATTTCTTTCAGGTCAGGAGATATATTTTCTTGATGACAAACTGCTGTTGTCGCACTCCACAAGAAGACCGCCCTAAATCCAGCATTTACGAAAATCCCCCGCCAAGAAGTTGATAGTAGATGGTGAAGTGTCATTTTCACCCTAGCTTGCCGGCTCGGGTTGATAAACAACAGGACTGTTTCATTTAAAAAGTCGGTTTTTACAGCATCAACACAACTACTTTGTAGCTACATTCATCCTGAATATGCAAATCAAACTCATTTACATACCCCTGTGCCACGCCCATCCCTCAGTTCTTGGTACTGCGACACAACGCACAGCAGGCATCCAAGCTAGAAAAAAATATCAGCGGGTCACAAGGTCAAAGGTTATACGATCTTGACGCCATTAACTTCCAAAGTTCATCATTTTATTAAGCCAGTGGTTCTTGTTATCCCAATCAAATAATGATTATTATCCATAGATCAGAAGTTATCTTTGCATCTCATCACGGCAGAGAGTTCTGGTCTGATCCATTCGCGAATCGGCGTCAATCTTCGAACCGTCATGAAAACAATAGACATTAATATGAAATATCTGACTCACCTCAAGTATAACAGCACAAGCCAGTAACGCCACCAGAGGCCAGTAAACAGCCCTGTAGATGAAAATCGGGTCACCCCCAAGTTCATTCGCCCACAAGGTCAGGATGTCAAAGTAGTATATATTATTTCCGTTCTAAAAAAAAAAAAGAGGGGAAAAGTCCAAGATCAGTTACACAAATCACTAAAACTGAATTGAGAAGTCTAACGCGGATTATTTTTGAAAATTATCGGACAATACTCTGAACATTCGAATTTCGTTTATGAACATTTTGATTGAAAAGAAACTACATGGGGCCTAGTTATGATTTCCACCTTTTTGGTGTTTCCAAGCATGAGCAATTTACCGCTACTTCCGCCTCCCATGTTTGAAATACGGGTATAAACTATAAAGCATTTGGTAAAGGGTCTGGTTTTTCACGAACAGAATTTTAGCTGCTTCGCTTCTCATACCCCTCCCCCCAAGCACCTTTAGTCAGATGTGATATACATGCATGTGTAATAACTTACAGCAAGATTGACGACCAGAATCACTACCAGGGCCACAAAGACTCCAATCATGACGGTCTGGGCTACTATGAAGGGAACGAGCAGCCCTTTCTTGCTCTAAAATTGTTGGTATAAAACAGAATATAATTTATAAAATGAAAGGAGTCCCTATACAATCATTTCAGTTCCTTTAAGGGAGTGTAGGCCTATATATAGCTTGATGCTGCCATATTGACATAAATAGCTCGATCTAATACAGCAGCCTTCTCTGATGGTCCTGCATTGTGACCAAATTCAGAGGACCCAGCGGGAACCATGTCCCCACCCCAACCAACAACCCCCCCCCCAAAAAAATAATCCTTTTAAATAATTAAATCAGAAAAAGGAGTAAAGACGACTTTTTCTTAGTCGATGTTTATACTCATGCCTTTCCTTCTACGGATTCATGAATATTAATAGAACGAAAGGAACAGGGGGAAAAAAGAACGCCTCCCTAAATTGCGTCAGGCCCCACCTTGTCGAATTTGTAACGGCCAACTGGTCATTTTAACCCCCCCCCCCTCCGGCCCCCGCCCTACGGCCTCCTCACAAATTTGTTTCTGGGCATTTTGAAAGTACACTTTCAAAGTCGAAAACTTAAGTACACGAGAACAAAGAAATGACGCCACAAGGATACAAATTCTAGTATGTGCGGTTGTATGAGTTTACCTTGAAGATGCCAACCACGAGAACTATTGTAGTGATACCAAACCCACGCTGAGTAAGATCATCGTGATCCAATACGCCAGCAGGTATGCTGAATGTGTCGAAAATATAACATACACAGATTCAATCCCGTGAAATGTTTAACCCTCTTTTGGTTTAAATACACACAGAGACCCTGCGCAGTCGTTTCTCCCCCCCCCCAAAAAAAAGGCAAGCCTAAATCTGGTCTCAGTGCGAACCAAATTCTATTCTTTTGATTCAGACTGGCTACAAAGTTCGTAGAATTCGCAGTTCGCATGGAGACCTGACTTATTGTCCATTGTACCATGAAAGCATATGAAACAAACAATTATGCTAAATCACATACGACATATTGTACATGAATAGGAAAGCCTCGTATAAACCCTACTCCCGCACCAGGGTAAGTCACAAGTAACAGTCAGTTATTGAGACAGGTGACCAGTCTACTGCAGTCTAATTCACAACAACCAGCCAGCTAGCCAGCCAGCCAGCCCGGGGGGGGGGGGGGGGGGGGGGGAGACAGCCAGCCAGCCTGCCAGTCAGCCAGCCAGCCCAGCCATGCAGCCAGCTAGTCAGCCATGCAACCAGCCAGCCCAGCCAGCCGGGGGGCCAGCCAGCCAGTCAGCAAGCCAGCCAACCACAAGCCAGCCGGGGAGCAAGCCAGCAGCCCAGCCAGCCAGCCACAAACCAGCCAACCAGCAAGCCAGCAGCCCAGCCAGCCAGCCAGCCAAGCCTGCCAGCCAATCTGCCCAGCCATGGAGCCAGCCAGTCAGTCATGCAACCAGCCAGCCAGCCAGCCAGCCAGCCAGTCATGGCTGGCCCTCTCAAGGACCAACAAGATTTAACCCCCCCAAAAATAAATAAACAATGGAACCTATATACCAACTCTTCAACAAACCAACTGACATTTGTTAACGTTCATCCTGAAAATTGTGCCACTTTGTAAGAGTCAGGCAAATTTCTTGAGAAATTATATAATGAGATTTCGCAAAATTACCTAATCAAAATATTGGCTCACCTGCTGGCGCTGAACCTTTGAATGTATTATAGAATAACACCAAGGCCCTCGCGCTCTGGATGCCGGTACCCAAGCATAATACCTAATAGGAGGAAAAGAGACAGACTCATAATTTTTTGCTATTAATTAGCGTTTTAAGATTGCAGACATTGTATTGCTATTTCTTTGTGTTGGTCTTTAATGCCAAAGATTTGTAAAGATGTGTCATTGTTTTAGCCCGTACTTCATGTCCTATAGTTTCATGTTTTCATTTTATTAATAATTATTTAGAACATACACGCGAAAGCATATAAAATTTCAATGACATTAGTGCAGTTTTTTTTAATGTATTGAAAGGCATTTTGGTATGACCAACAAATATGTTTTAAGCTATTGATTCTATTTGCTTCGCTTCTGTAAAACCGACAGAAAAAAATCAAGTTCATACTCACCATTGACCATAAAGCCACGACAATAGACCCAACTCTGACGTCACAACAGCAGCAACATCTTCTAAAGACGGCCATCTTGTTGTCGTCCCTCTGTGGTTTCCGATCTGCTTTTCTAACTAACAGGAACCGATGAATGGTTAATTATTCTATGAAGAGAAATAGACGTTAATTACGAGGCTTCGTTCTTGCTGGCGGTGTCAATGGGTGTGCCCATTTTTACCCATAGACCTTGAAACAGCCCGGTGGTCACGTGGTTGGTTGTTGTGACCCGCTAACGTCACCCTTGCCTTAATCGGCTAATAATCTGTACCTTAACTGTTTACCAATGATGCATTTTTTTGCCTAATGAGTTTGCTTAAGAGGCTGTTATCGTCAACAAAAAATACCCCGTGCTAAGGCGAGACTGAAGTTCATAGGCGCTGAGTGATTTATTTGTATAACTGTTTGCTTGTTTGTTCTTTCTTTTTTAAGGACATATATTTTTATCAATTTTATCAATTTTTATCTCCAACAACAATATGCACTTTTAGTACCATCCATATGAGGACTTGGTGAAAAAAAATAGAGGCCTGAAGTTAACATTGCAATATGAACTCAAGTTAGCGAACTTCACTATCTGCAAAAGAGGAAGAAATGCGGCTATGTAAAGATGAAATATGTAAAACTTAGTGACATACAGGGTGAGTAAAAAAAACACCACGAAACCAAAATGGCAGGACCAATTTATGAATGAAGTTTTGCCTGTAGCACTTTCAAAATCTAGGATATGACAGCCAAGTCATTAAGCTTTCTTTTAGTATAAAAATAATTCAGATCACTCATGTACTTTTCAAGTTACGGAATTCTGAACATAAACACCGTTTTAAAGTTCTGTCCACGGATCACAAAAAGGCAAGTGTGCTTTCAGCCAAACAAAAACAATTCTCATGCGACTGCCTTCTTTGATAACTTGTGGTGAAATACCTCAATACTTTGCGACAGGAATAACAATAAAGCAGGCGCGGTTCTAGAACCAATATTTTGGGGGGCTAGCACGGTGGATCCAGAATTTTTTCAGGGAGGCGAGCTGAAATGTTGACCGGTTATTTTTTTCAGACACTTAGGGCCTCCGAAGATCAATAGGGGGGGGGGGGGGGGGGGGTCATGCCATATTTTCAATGGGGAGCGCCACTAAAATCCTAAAATTCACACTATATTAACTAATGCACCCTTGTCACGGCTATTTCTTCATTAGGGGGAGACCGTTCGCATGTACATCACAATCCTTCTTTTTGCTAATGCAATTTTTTTTTTACGGAATTTATTTTGGGGGGGCTAGACAAAAATTGGGGGGGGGGGGGGGGGGGCTACAGCCCCCCTAGCCCCCCCCCCCCCCCCCCCCCGTAGAACCGCGCCTGCAATAAAGCACAAGCATCGAACTAAGATTCACAAATTTCTCTTTTAATACATTCTTTGGAGTTATAATACACTGTTTGCACTTGAAACATCACAGAGCCCTTGTACGATGCGCCTTCTATTAGGGCATCTGTTGTCATTTAAATTTTGTGACATTAATGAACGCACAATGTGTGTACTCCTTGTTCCACTCCTGCTTTCGGAGTGGAACAGAGACCCGCCCTCAACGGGCAAAAGGTCAAGAGAGGTCTAGCATATTGGATAATATTTTAGCGATAAAATTGTTGTTTTCAACGTAAGCTTTGAAAAACTCTACAAATTGACAAATACTTTAAGTCTTCTGCAAAGTTTAATCATATTTCAAACCAAATCATAGGGGAAGGTAAAGTGATATAGTTCAAGTGTAAAACGTTAACAAATTCACATCGTCTCAAGTCGGCCTCATAAAAAAATTACAGTGTAACTTAATATACAAGTCTAATCAATGTTGTGTGATAATTGAACAGTCACGAGAGCGTTTATTCTGATCGTTTATCTCCACTAATAAGAACGTACAGACTCCATGGATGACAAAAAAATATACACATTCTGAATTTCTTTTCAATTCTTATAGTAATACCAAAACATGTTCAATAATTCTACATCCAGCTTTTACAATATTATACAGGAATTGAACGATTATGAAAGTATTTACAATATTTCTGGTGTTTGTTACAAAACATGGTATTCTAATTATCTTGTGCATAACCCGGCAGGTTCATTTATGCATTTACGAAAGTTATCAGTAATATTAGGCAAGTCAACAAAATGAATCCTTTCACATGATCTGCTTCTTGAGAATGTAAACATACAAAATGCCTAGCTATATAAGTGCAGGTCTCTTCAAGGCAGACGGTCTTGAATAGGGACTATTTTGCGCAACCCGAACATGTGTGAGACTTTTAGCAATAAAGAAGCTTCTGATAATCTTTAACTGACTTTAGGTCGGCTAACATTCCTTTCACTTTTTTTTACAGCTGATTTTCTCTTCGGTGGTTTTTTTTTTTTTTTTTCTTTCTAGGTCCCACTATTTCGCGAGATTCCTGTACAGCAAAAAAAGCCCCGATTGATTCCATTCAGACACCAAAATGAAATACATTAATGTTTCTAGACAAGTCAACTTTTTTTTTCAATAGACGGATCCATTATAGGTCCCGCCCACTGCGCACGTACGTGGACAACTACGCATGTTCCAGATGCGCGCGTCATACGCGCACGCGCGCATGTCGGTAATCACGGCTGTGAATTGGTCAACACATCAATGGGCGGGGCTTTAGTGGATCGATGTATTTCGTGCGATGTTTCGCGGGTACAGTTTGTTCCCTTGCTGCTTAGCACTTGCTGTAGTACTGTTGTTGTGGGGCCGGCCTGGGGTCGTAAGTTGCAGGGGCAAAACCGGTGCTGTAGCCAGGTTGTTGGATGACAACTACAGGTGCGGAATGACCCTGCATCGAGGAGAAAAAAAACCATAACATAAATATTTCTGTCTTAACGCCGTGGGACGTTCCTATACCATGATGGAGCTATTCAGCACAGACATTTTCCAAGGTCAGCAGGACATGTAATATTTCCTCAGCACATTTGGTCCATAAATGAATGTTCTGAGCGATATTTTGCTGTTTGGCAGGTCCTAGTCTTGACCCAAAACGTCAGTGAATGATAGCGATGGTTGCATCGTTGCATTTACTTTCTCGCACTGCTAAAAAGTAGGCGCGCTGGTCTATAATATATTATATTATATTTTCTGCAAATTATATTCAAATATATTCATGACATACCCTTCGGCCACACCCATCTCTAAGTTCCTGGTATTGTGAGATGACACAGAGAAGACACAGAAGCTGCAGAGAAATAAAGTTGAAAAGGTCAGAGGTCAATTAGAACAGGTCCAAAACAAAGATGATGTTCATCTCGCACATGACGTCAACAGTAAACTATGAGGGGGAAGCAACAGCGTGGGGTTAAAATATGCAAACTAGGTCAAAGGTCACAATCATGTAGCAACGCTCATCCTGAAAAACACTTAATTTTAGACTTCACACCACTTTGGTTGTGTAGTTCACCGAAAAGTAAACTGTTAACTAGTACCAAGGCTTTAGATGATTTTTTTGCTGACTTACATCTATTCCCAAAACGATTGGGACTCCAACTGCAAGGCCGATCAAGACGTCCTTGACTATTGCAAAATCGAGGTCGCTGAAACTTCCTGCGTCAAGGTTAAGGAAATTGAAATAGATGTAGTTTCCATTCTGAGGAAGAGAGAGAAAAAAATAAAGAAAAGGTGTGAGCCACAAAATAAGTACGTGTGTTGCTGAAGTCTTATGTTTAATTCCACATAAGAAGTTGGAGAACAATGAAACTTGTTATAGAGGCATGCCACCGTACATTTTACAAACTCCACAAAGCGTGCCAAAAAAGAGCCAATTGCAAGTCATTATTCAACAGAGGAAGCAGGGGAGGCACGAAAAGTCAGACACAAATCTCCTGATGTCACTTACCACCAAGACAACAATGATGGCAATTTCCAGCACCACGTAGATGAGCATGTACAGGCTTTGGACGACCATGTACGGTACCAACAGTGCCTTTGCATCCTAAGAAGAACATACAGAAGAAAATGTAGGAATTGCATAAATGAAAAGGATGCAAACATCAGAAGAAAATAGTCCTGCAATTGTTTTTTTTTCTCTCAACAGGAATTCTCTCTTTTTGTGTAATTGATGTGGCTTTGCTATGATGCGTTTTGAACACCATGCAGAGGTCTTTAAAAGTCGTCGCAAATCTTCGCCAGTCATCACAAATCTACGCCAGCATTCCCTTGTGGAAGTCCCTTGTGGAACTCCCTTGTGGAAGTCCTTAGGAGAAGAACCAACCAAGTACCAACCAAGTACCAAGTACAACGGTATTCTATGTCATTGTACACTCATGTTCTGTAAACTGTGAAGATTTTGATCTAAAGTTTGTTTTACAAAAATGCAAACAAAATGTAACGGAATGTCAGACGTTTAGAATAGATAATATAGGTATGGTTTGAAAGATACACCGTTCCACTTTAAAATGAGACATCAAAAGTCCAAATCTGATCATTTGTGACAGAGTTATGGCTAATTTGCCAAGAGAGGTCAAATTGACCATGGGACCAAGTTTCCAATTTTAGGCGTTGCGATGAAGGTAGCCTAATTGCCTCTCGGTGGATATGTACCTGGCCTTCAAAAAAAAATGTGTTAAGCGAGTAAATAGAATTCTAAACACTTTCTTGCTATCAGTTTGTAAACATGAATTACATGCTTAACATTTTTTAGCATGAGGTGACAGCAAGAAGGTGGTTAGAACTGTGTTTACTCGCTAAACACAAGTTTTTGTAGACCAGGCAAATATCCTCTTAGGCTATTTTTGTCCCAATGCCTGAAATTGAAAACTTGGTCCCATGGTCAATTTGACCTCTCTTGGAAAATTACCCAAAACTCTGTCAAAAATTATCAGATTTGGACGTTTGATGTCTCATTTGAAAGTGGAAAGGCTAATCTTTCAACGCATACCTATATTATCTATGTTGATTAACCATTCTACGTCTGGCATTCCGTTATATTTTGTTTGCATTTTTTTGATACACACTGAATAACTTGTGATTGTATTCACATAAAATTGTATATATGGTTCGTAATGGATTGCAATTCTGACACAATATTTAAGAAGCCACGTGTAGGCTAGGCCTACCTTAAAAATACCAAGGATGAGGCAAGCCGCTGCAATAAGCAGCAATGAATTGACTCCGATCGAGGCTCCCCACGTAGCTGTCAAAGTGACTGCAAAAAAAAGAAGAAATGTACGCAATTCATTAGACAAAAACAAACAATTTTGCCAGCAGGGACTTGGACATGAGGGTATTAAATTGTATTTTGAAAGCGTACAAAACCGCGTGTGGCGAAGGATTCCATTGTGTGTACCCTTTTTTGTTTTGCTCCCGACTTTATCCTGATGTTTTTATCACTTTAGTGACAATCAATATGCGATGTATATACTCATCACTCGGGGGAAAAGACCTTGAAAAGGGCACTTGCCCGTGGTGAAATGTACCGGACACTTGACCTCCGTAAAATCAAAAAGCCGGGGGAGGGGGGTGTTGGTACCACATTTGGTCCTTTTCAGGGCGATCCATGCGTGAAATTAAAAAAAAGGCACCCAGAACGGCCGATGGCACAAAGAAGGGCACCACTTCTTTTTAAAAAAGGACACTTGTTCAGACAAAAAGAAAGGCAACTTGTTAAAAAAAAAATTAAAAAAAAGGCACTCGTTACAAATTATGGGGGGGGGGGGAGCACTGGAGAGAAAAAAAATGACATTTGAATGGAAAAGGGCAGTCTTTACAAAATATTGGTGGGAATACCACCTATCCCCTTCTGGCTACGCCTATAAATTATACAAATTGTATCTTTTCTAGTTTAGAGTAAAAGTGATGCGCATTTATTGAGAATACTTGCCAGACGGAGTTGTGCCGATACTGTCTTCCCCTGCCCAAGACTTTGCGCTCTGGATAAGGGCGGCTGCCGACACTATCTATGGCCATAAATAAATGAGGAAAAAAACATTGTTAACGTACAATCGTGAAAGGGGGTCCAATATAATTGGCTGATATAATTTAAAAGGAAGATACAACATTTTCAAACATCAAAAATTAAGTTATCACGAAATACCTTACTGGATTGTTACGGAATGACAGCCTAAAGCATCCTGTAAAGTCGTGGCTCCTGGTGTGCTGACATTTTCAAGAAAAACTGTATTTTTCCAACGGTGGTCGGCCGACCAGCGTTGGAAAAAAACTGGTTTGTTCCAAAACTGCTCCTGTGTTTTCCTATTTAGTCATTCCGCATTAACTTGGCAATGGATTACACCTGTGAATGGGTACAAGCCTGCTAGACTGATTCTTTGAACTTACAATTCTCCAAAGTCTATAAATTGCTCTGTTTCATCTTAAGTGGGGTCGGGGAATCAGACTACAAGAACAGTTTGGTTTTCTAGGTTTTTCCAGCATCTACAATCCCAAAACGTGAAACAAGTCAGTTTAACAATATTTGCTATGTACATACTAATCTTCCAAATCCATTTATTTCTGAAAATTGCAGCAAAGGCAAATGTTGTACATTCCTTTTAAATAACACAAAGTAGCCACACAATTGGCTCAGAAGAAAGGTGGTATCGAATTGTTTCTGTCCGCAATGCAACAACTTCATGAAAACCTGTCTTTAGAAAAGTCGACAGTAGAGAAATTTGCGGGACATTAACATTCCAAAAACCAAAAAAATTGGTGTTTTTTGCAAACCTTTTGTTGACTTTTCAAAAAAATATATCTTCAGACAATAATTAAAAACCTTTATATAAAAAAACCTTTTCCTGGTCTAGACAAAAGTGTGTCAAAACTGTCATCAATAATGGGTCAGATCTGGACGTTTAACCAGATGACAATACAGTTTTGTTTTGTCCCTATGTACATTTGTGCACCCTCAGTCGTTTTGCTTCATCATTTCTTTTTCACAAAATTCCTTGTTATGATGGTACAACTTACCACTGTGTATACGGCAACCACTATTGAACCTACTCTGACGTTACAGCAGCAACATGTGTGCATTATCGCCATCTTGTTTGCTTCGTCTTCGTTTTTCTACTTCAGAACTAGGAAAATCACAATCTACAGGAGAAACAAATCACGAGTATAGCCCCGCAGCCGCTCGCCAAGTTCAAGTGAAAGAATTTCAAGCCCTCTGCCGGTTTTATAGGCATCTCGTGCGCGTGACCCCAAAAAATAAACATGACGTGTTTTCGTCGCATCCGATTGGCGGATACTTTTACAGACGTCACTGTTACCATGGTAAAGACCTAATTGTATGCGTTATGAATTTCAACTTTGTACACTCGTGGGAGATATCACAAAAGTTCAATTATTTGTACACTACAATCGAATTTGAGTATTAAGGTCCATTTTCATCAGATATGCCTACCAAGTATGCGATAATGGCATCGAATGACGCAGGACATCGGACGTACGTGTGTAGACATATCGTTCAAATTAGATTTGAATTCCTTCGAACTTTGGCTAAATTACCACGACCAATATATTTTGTTTTAGGATTACTTTACTTTATTTCTAACTTTACATGTATATACGCAATACGAAATCAATAATTAGTACATGTATAGAAACGCAAATACGATTATGGTCTGGTAAATAGTTGAGAATATCCATATTTGATCATCTATAATAATTTCTATGTGTTTAAACTCTCGAACCTGTTGGGTGTTCGAAGAATCATCACAGGCATGTGGGGTGCTGCGAACAGCGACGCTATAGCATGCACTCCCCTCGCCTCGACTCACTTTATGACTGACTGGACTTCAACCTTCTTGACCTTAATCTTTGACTAGCCTAGACTCATTCGAGTCGCTGTCCTATAGTCTAGAGTGACTTTAATTAAATCTATAGACAAAGACTTAGATTGACAAAATTCTTTGACTGGTTAATTAATACAATTATATATATCATTCTGAAATTAGTACCGTTAGCTAGCAATGGCACTTAAAACCGCATAATACTTTCTTATGAGTTTGAATACTGGGCAGCAAACGTGATTTATATACATTGAAACATTACTAAATAGCGCTATTAATATTACAAAATCATAGAGTCATCTTTCTTGCATGGGTAGATGGGGACATTGGTTTTAAATTACATGTACAGGGTGGATAAAAAAAAAGCACACCCGAAACCGAGATATTATTGCTAATTGGAACAGAAGTAGGGCACATGGGAATCAAAGGGAGATATCCTCTATTAGGGTTGAATCTTCTCTTTAAAATGACACCCTGATCATGTCCTTACATTCACGGTTGACTGAGCAGCGACCAATTTTATGAAAGAGTATATTTACAGGCTTGCGCCACTTTTCAATTGTGGTTTTTGGTTGTCATTTGTCACAGAGTGAAAGGCTATGGTTGCCAATCAAGGCAGGTGGGGGCAAAAGAGATTTGATCATGAAAAGTGGCGCAAGCCAGACCATTTCATAAAATTGGTTCACATGTGATTCACATTTGATTCACATTTGATTCACATGTGCCCTACTTCTGTTCCAATTAGCAATAATATCTCGGTTTCGTGGTGTTTTTTTTTTATCCACCCTATATAATGTTTGCGGGTAACACCATGTGGAAAGAAATCTCTTCTTGGACAAGTTGTGGTTCTAAAAAGAACCGGTTGGTTGTGTGTATAACTCGACGTTTCGGACAGTGTGCTCTGATCCTCCCGAGGACGGACAAAGCACACTGTCTCAAACGTCGAGTTCTACCCTCAACCAACCGGTTCTTTTCAGAACCACACTTCTTCCAAGAAGAGATTTCTTTCCCCATGGTGTTATCCGCGAACTTTATAATTTATCTCATCCGCCATGCAAAGCTTCAAGTCACATATACATTGGTTTTATTTTGCTGTGGAATTAGGAGGTACACAAATAGGTCCAAATGTTAAATTTCTTTGTTTTTTGTTAATGATAAATATTGCTTCTGACAGCTAGTTTCATGGCAACCATTACACAATTTTTTGGTGGCAGGTCATCATGCATTACTACTGGATTAAGCCTGCGTTGTCCAGTGTGCTCCCGCGCCGTGGAAAGAAGGGAAACTGCGTCTGAAACAGAGATTTGAAAATGAAAGATTAAAGGGGAGTCAGGTTGGCGTAGCGGTACTTTCCTCGCCTTCCACCGCTGTGACCCGGGTTCGAATCCCACCGGGCCAACATGTGGATTGGGGTTTCATTCCCTGCCTGATTCCGTAAGTTTTCCTCAGAATATTCCTCTGGGCTTTTCCTCCCACCTCTAAAACTGTAATTTCTTCTCATTGTCTTCTCTCTGCAGGTTTCTTCAGGCTTTCGAGCTACAGTGCTTAGGGGACTTTTGAGGAATCCTTGGTTTCATTACCAGAAAGAAATTAAAAAAAAAAAACAACCCCAACCTCATGTGGTTACGACTTGTAGTAATGTCTATGAAAAGTGGCTTCACCTGCTTCCAGAGGCGCATGCATCATAAGATGTAGCCGTAGCCAAGAACTTTAGACGTAGCCCAAATTCCATACACGTATAACTTGACGGCGGCCCAGAGGGCGCCCTCGGTTTGTGGATGCAAGCCTGCATGCACCGTGTACGTAGTCTGGTACTGGTTCCCTGTCCCCATTGTCCTTACTGAAGATAAATGCCTCCACTTCAGAAATTCAGGAAAAATACCCACAACTCTCCAAGATGTTCGAAACGCACATTAAAGCTCATTCATCATCTTTCATTTTTTTTTCAATTTTTTTTTAAGGGTAATCGGATAACTTTTGGGAGAAATGTCCATCCGAAGATGATCACGCCTGAAAATAGTCCTGAAGCCAATCGCCGTTTTGAAAACAAAAAACGGTGCCTATACACTCCATTGCAAAGTATAGAGCACTTTTTGGGCCCCAATTTCATCCAAATTTCACAGAAATACAAGCTCACGGTCCTGTGCACGGCTTCCATCCTTATTATTATTTTTTTGACAAACCCTTAAGTTCAGGGCCCATATTATGCTTAAATAAGAACTTAAATAACCCATTATGATGCGCGCGCAATTCAAGCCAGTCTCGACACTTCCCGGATATAAAGTAACTGTAGACATTGGAAGCCAGGCTACGCGCCATTAAAAAAAGAATTTTTTAAGGAAATTAATGTGAGCATAAGTGTTAACAATGTATTTTGTGTAATTATAGGTGATTTAGCAGATTTTTGTTAAATCTAGCAGAATTTTGCCATTACCTTAAGGTCACCCTTGTAAATTCTTATGTCTCTATGGAGCGACACAACGCACAGTAGACACGGTATCTGAAAAAAATTAATACATTCAAATCGACTTCAAAGCAGGCAATAAATAATTGGACTTTTTCGTTACGGCACGGCGATAGCACGGCGTTGAGAACTTAACAATATTATGGCTGGGTGAATTGAGTTCTCAATTCGCCGAGCCAAACGATTGTAAATGCCGGGCGAAAACTTTGAAAATTACTTTCTCCCGTTTGGAAGACCGTATCTTCATGGATCTTTCATTGTTTCTTTTATTGATCCAACTAGGCCTATGTGCTAAAAATCGCAGAATAGCCTCCTTGACGAGTTAATAATTTATAAAAAATCGCCCTTGTTGCCGGCTTCCATTGGTCGATACCAATACCCACGCGAAGTCACGCCGAGTGGCGCTAATGAATATGCTAATATGCGCCTAGTCATTGTTGCCCCAAAATCAGCCAACTTCCTGAAAATCATGTAGTCGAAAATCCTCGTCGAAATTTGCCTTGGAGATATATCAAGGTGTAACACAAGCGTTTGCAACCACAGATTAAAGAGGTTGTGGAATGCTCGAAGACATTTCCGTCATTTTTCGGGTATATGTAGGCTAAGGTGTGATGAAATAAAAAACAACTATTGTTTCTGTCAGGAAATGAATACAAAAGGTACTTTTGAGAGCTGTTTTTCAGGTCCTGTTTCGACCCAAACGTGCAATTTGTGTAAAAGTCGTCGTTGGGGACAGCAAACAAAACATAGTAATAAACAGGACTCCCTATGCAGCGTAGTATAAACGAGTCCTGTTTATTACGTCACGATTTTTCTGATTTTACGAAGAACCCGACGACTGTTGATTTCAATTATGCGCTCGCCGACCAACAACTTACTCGATGAATTTCAGTTTTATAAACATATAAACGCACATTACAAAAGAATAGGAGTTTGTCATTATGATATATATGGGTCTACTCTACAATAAAAAAATATAAAAAAACAAAACGACTTTCAGCATTCCAAAACCTCTTTAAGCTAAAATTCGGAATATACTTAGATGATCATAAGTACTCGTGAAATAACAACTTGAGGGGATTCCTAATAACTGAGATAAATACATAGATTTGGGGACGTTTTGGAACGATTTCTTCCCGACTTGAAGGTCAGCTTTACCAGTTACCACACTGAACAATTTCCTGGGTTAATTTTACCCAAGAAAGGGTGAAAACTGGAACTACCCAAACTTGGGTTGTTCTATATCCAATTGTTTGGGTTAGAATTTATGTTAAATTCAACCAAAAGTTGTAGGCATACAAGACCAAATTAAATTTAGTCTTGGATGACCACAAGTTTTGGTTGAATTTAGCAGAAGTTCTAACCCAAATAATTGGTTATAGAACAACCCAAGTTTGTGTAGTTCCAATTTTTACCCTTTCTTGGGTAAAATTAACCCAGGCAATTTTTCAATGCAGAAGTGACGTTTCGGCATCGGCAGACGGCGATGTTCCCACTAACACTAAGTTTAGAATTTCTTCTTCTGTTATAATTTTACATTTCAATCATACTGAGCATTTGTCTGAGAACCACAACATTCAAAAGGCTGTTATAGCGCCCAAGTACTTAATCGGATTAACTTTGTTTAACAACGGCGACGCTCAAGCCTTCGCAACCAAACGGCTGTTTAGGCATATCTATACCTATTAGTCGTAAAGTAAATCAACCAGTGGCGTAGCTAGGAATTTTTCAGTGGGGGGGGGGGGGGGGGGGGGGGGGGGGGCGCTGAGGGGCCTGGAACATTTCATGGGGGGGGGGGCGTCATGTAGATCAATTATAATTTTTTTTTTTGGAAACTCAAAATCTCAGTGGGGGGGCGACTGGGGGGGGGGCGACAAGGTTTCACGAGGGCTGTAGCCCCCCCCCTCCCCCCCCCCCCCCATGGCTACGCCACTGACATCAACCCACACTACCCGTAGATTTACATTTTATGGTTACTGATAAACTAGCTCACCTTAACCAATAGCCATACAGGAATTACCGCCGCCGCAGTGATGTAAAGAAATTTGAAGTTGTCACCACTGATCGGGCCCGTGCTGCTACTGAAAAGTGAAAAATTCTTCCAACTCCCATTCTACAACAGGAATTGGGAACTAATTAATAATAAGCGATAATTAAGGCAAGGAAACACATACATGGACCTGAAATAGATATCCTTGGCACAATTACTGATCTGGGCTGAGCCTATAGGCTTACATACATCGCTATCTTTACAGTAAATTGGGATTATCAGTGCAAGAGGTCAAAATGACTGTGAAACCATGAGTTTTCAATTTTAGGCATTGGGGCAAAGGTAGCGTAATTGCCTCTGTGTGGATATTTGCCTGGCCTACAACAAATGTGTTTAGCAATTGAACACAAATCTAAACACGTTCTTGCTATCAGTTTGTAAGCATGTTTAGGGCCTACATGCTAAACATTTTTAGCATGAGGTGTCAGCAAGAAAGGGTTTAGATTTGTGTTTACTCCCTAAAAAACATTTTTATAGGCCAGGCAAATATCCACAAAGAGACTACCTTTGTCCAAATGCCTAAAATTTAAAACTTGGTTCCATGGTCATTTTGGTATCCTTGGAAAATTACTCACAACTCTTACAAACATTATCAGGCCGTTATCATTTGGCCGTTTATGTCTCATTTCAAAGTGGAAGGCGTACCTTTCAAACCACCTATGTTATCTATGTTGGTTTAATATATATGTCTGGCCTTCCGTTATTTGCATTTTTTTTATAGTGTAGGCCTACATGTGCAAGCACGGCTACCAGTTAGCGAATCACAGCGTGTCCCAACGAACATTGCGCGTGAACAAGTCGCTGACCCTAACCTTGCATAACCCTAAACCCCCCCCCTCCCTCCCCACCCCACCTATTGATTTTCGGAGGCCAAGTGTCCGGAGAAAACACCCTGTCTACATTTCAGGTGTTTTTTTTTGCCTTTGCCCCCCCCCCCCCCCGCGAAATTCCTGGATCCGCCCCTGACATCTCTGGTTTGCATCATTGAATTTTCTTGATTTTTCTCAATTATAAACAAGAGCAAAGGCTTGAAAATACTCCTTTAAAATATGATAAGATAGTCTAACCAGGTGTGTGTTTTTTTTAGAAAATCAACGATTTCTTCATAAACAGTGTATACTGTCTGTATATCGATCGTTGTATATTGTACAAGAGTCCGTTGTCAACTCACTTCACCGTGCATTGGCGTATGGGGTAACTTGCCCTATACCCTGGCCACCCACTCTATCTACTGACAAAGTGCCATAAGTTGCGGGGGGGGGGGGGGATAAAAGTGAGCACTCAACTGTACAGCAATAAGTATCTACCGGGAAACCAGCACCTCTCCAGTTTGCGACAATCTTCCTCGGCCCCAAAACCTGCATAGGAACACTGCCTCAAACAGAGCTCAACAGCAAGTTTGGTTCCAATCAGTCACTGGGGACGAGGGAGAAATAGCCTTGTCGTCTCACTTACCACCAATGCAGCGATCAGAGCAACCTCGAGCCCGATGTAGGCTAGGAACGCCAACGTCTCCAACACGACGTAAGGGCACAGCAATAGCTCGTTCATCTACAGAATGTAAGGGTTGTCACCCACAAAATGAACGTGCTTTGGTGAGAAAAACCTTGCCAAATGAGGAGAAAGTACTGGTATGATTTGTGAAATTGTTCCGTAATCAATTGTACCGTTCTGGAGAAAATTCATCGAGGTCGGATTTAATAAAGAAAGTGTGCCCACACTTTTTCACGTGATTTGGAAAGGGAATCCAGTTTACGAGGCCCAGGTCATATCTTCAACATGTTACTGTGAAATTTCGATAAGTCAAACTCTGATATAACAACTTATCAAGACTTCACTATAATCAGTTGAAGACTGAGCTCAGTGGCTTAATAAACATTTTTTGTTTGTTTAAACAATGATATATATACGACCCTGCTTAACTCAAAACTCTGCTTGATAAGTCAAATTTTGAAACCTGTTCCCTTGAGGTTTGAAGACATTAATTGTTAGCAATGCTGTTGCTTCATTTAGTCAAACGAAAAAAAGTAGAACACAAAGAGCAAGTAGTGGTCCGTTTGGAGGCCCATGCAACCAATATTTTCGGTTCCGGGTTTATCAACGCGAGTGATAGCTGGTTTCAAAAAAATCGACCATTATTGATCACAAACAAGGGCGGATCCAGAACCACATTTTTGGGAGGGGGAGGGGCAAAAGGGATCGAGTTTTTTTTTTTTTAAAGAGGAAAGGAATTGTATAAGTATCGTGTGTTATTTCCACAATGTAATATAATTAAAGTTAATAGGAGTGTAGCTGATGGCTTGCGAGGGAAATACGCAACGTTCTAATTTATTTCATACACAATTAAAGACAAAAAATGGTCTTATGCACTCCATCGATTAAAAAAAAAGGGGGGGGCATGGCGCCTGTCCCCCATGATCCGCTAATGTTTAACAAGTTGCCGGTTCGCTTTCCAAAACATGATGAGAAGAAACATGTGACGAACATCTGGCAAATTTATACTGAATCGGAAAATCTATACTTACCCGAACCATACCGATAACTAGCAGCAAAGCTGACAGAAAGAGGAATGCGTGAAGAACTATCAAACTGCCGTAGACTCTCGCTTCGTTGGCTGCAGAAAAAAGGGGAAAGGAATAATCTCCAATGCGAAGTAAACATGAAACAGAGGGACAATTTTTTCCACTCAAAAAGTAATCATATTTGAAACACCAAAAGAAGTACATCTTAAACGAGCATGTTCTTCCACTTATCTCAACAAATAAAAATAATTTCTGAAATTGATCATTGCTAATTGCTATCGGAGGTTATGCACGTTTTAATAAAAGAACCCTTTTTTTTTTAAAAGCTGTCCACATGAATGCCATTGGAAGCTATTGAGCTGAGTGAGAATTACAGATAACACACTTCAAGTAAATAACATCCAGATACAATGAGATTTAGATCAAAGTCAAGGCTGAAACAGTATACCGTCTGATTTATGACTTGAATATCAATAAGGAACAAGTCATCTTTTTTGTTCTGAAATATTAATGGCGATTTTGGTATGTTTTCCTTTGCAAGTTCTCCTCCATTCATTGAGGTGGGAAAACGTCCATGTTTCATTCTATTTAATGGGTATACAGCATCAGTTCGTAGAACGGTAAATGATCAGTGGTGGATAGCTGAATTGTGTGCTCTTCATATCAAAATAAACGTAACTTGGGAATGGAGTATGCAAATCACGTGAAATTTCACTGTGTTTTATGCCAGTCAATAACATGTACTTTATGCCTGCATTTTCTTTTGTATGAAAATGGAGTGAGCCACATATTTTGAAATATTTTCACCAACTTGGTCACTTTCTTTTTGACTCACCCTGTACTCTACATGTTGAAAATAAAAGTCATTTGAAAACCGGACTTTGGTGAGCAAATTAGTCGAAGTTGGTAGTAACATAATACTAAAATCAATAAAAAAACAACCACCTGTAATTGTATTAGTTTATCAGTGCCAATAAAGGATTTATTTGACCAAAATAGGAAAACTTACGTATGTTTTGTGGGTCTGTATACGCTAGCGTATATCCGCACTGCATAAGTGCCATTAGACTGCAAATCTACCGAGAATACCATAAAATAAGACATGTTAGTTTTGTGTTATTTAATTGATTGATTCGTAATTTATTATTGAGTAAAGATAGTACAATACAAATTAAAAATTGCACGGGATAGGCCTTCACAAACAAACGACAAGCAACAACAAACACACAAGAACAAGCAACAGCAACGAACAACAAAAACAACACCGAATACTCTCAAATAATTTCAAAATATAAAGCAAGTGGAACTGCATAAAACTCGCCTCAATCAAATACACCTTTACATTGAATACGGTAACAAATAATAAAACTGCTATCTACAGGGTGAGTAAAAAAAACCGAAACCCAAATGTCGGGACCATTGTTTAAGTGAAGTTCTGCATGTAGCACTTTCAAAATCTAGGACATGAAATCCCAATTCATAAGCTTTCTTTTAGTACAAGAATCATTCAAATCACTAATGTACTTTTGAAGTTATGAAATTTTAAACACAACCACCGTTTTATAGTTCTGGCCACGGATCAACAGAAGGTAAGTGTTCTTTCTGCAAAACGAAAACAAATCACATAGGGATTCGTGTGAATTGTATGTATTGCTGAAAGAACGCACACCTTTTTTGTAGTGATCCATGGACAGAACTTTAAAACGGTGGTTGCGTTTAAAATTCCGTAACTTCAAAAGTGCATGAGTGATTTGAATGATTCTTGTACCAAAAGAAAGTTGATGAATTGGGCTTTCATATCCTAGATTTTCAAAGTGCTATTTGCAGAACTTCATTAAAACAGAAGTCCCGACATCTGGGTTTCGCATTTTTTGACTCGCCCTGTATTTCCAACAACAAAAAACCCTACCATTGTCCATATTGCGACGGCCATGGTGCCCCACTCCAAGCTACAACAGCAACAGCGTCGCGTGTACAAAAACGCCATTTTCTCGCTCTGTATACAATTACATGTACAAACACTCAACTACTAAAATCAACACACTACCCTTTTATATATGTAAGAAATGAACCAAAATTGCTAAAAAAAGTTCGACTGTCCAAAGTCCGAGGTTCAGCACTGGTGCAGTTCCGATAGTAGTGTAGATAAATTTATACTTTCACATGAATTCCCGCTTAATATTTTCAGGTCCCTTGTTATCTCACGTCGAACTAGTTTCCACATTATCTAAAGTTAAAATAAAGGTTGAGTTATCACATTTGGTAAACCTTTTGCACACAATGTATCAATTTATTCAAACATAATATAATAAAAAGGACACACATGAAGCTGAAGGGTACAAATATTTACTGTCTCGGAAGATAAAATTTACAAGGGCACTTTACCTTGCCCTACATGTATTGTCTGCTAATCTTAGGGCGTCCCTTTGAATTTTTTTTTTTTTTTACGGTTCTCATAATTGTTTGTCCCTGAAGTAGGGTCGGTCGGCCGAAAAAAATTACATGCACTTTAATTTTGGTAAACCTTTTGCACACAATGTATCAATTTATTCAAACATAATATAATAAAAAGGACACACATGAAGCTTAAGAGTACAAATATTTACTGTCTCGGAAGATACAATTTACAAGGGCAATTTACCTTGCCCTACATGTATTGTCTGCTAATCTTAGGGCGTCCCTTTGAATTTCTTTTTTTTTTTGCGGTTCTCATAATTGTTTGTCCCTGAAGTAGGGTCGGTCGGCCGAAAAAAATGTGAAGAAAGAACATTGCAGTTTCACCCATATATAGATGGTTAAATTAAATGATGCCAAGTGCGTATTGTCTCTAGTTTTGATTTTTGCAATGGGTTTATCATGAGTTGATATCACTGAATAAAATCATGAGACCATATTTGGCAAGATGTTCGACTTGCATAATACACTCAACCAAAAAAGAAAGTCCCCCTTCCAAAACGTTTTGGTCTAACTCAAAAACTACTGAGCACCTCTCGCTCAAACAACGACTAATCAGTACAGACATTCCTTAGCAATCCAGCCATACTCTCTATTTGGCCCAAAACAGTGATAATGTGTACGAATTTATGCAATTTAAGACAAATGATACCGAAAACAGTTGCACATTTGTATACGTGCAAGTTGTGGTTCACACTCGCCTTGCACGCATAAAAAAGTGCAACTTTCTTCCGTACTATTTGTCATAAATTGCATAATTTTGTACACATTATCACTGTTTTGGGCCAAACAAAGAGTATGGCTGGATTGCTAAGGAATTTTTGTACTGATCAGTCGTAGTCTGATGAGCAAGATGTGCCCGGTAGTTTTTGAGTTAGACCAAAAAGTATTGAGGGGGGGACTTTCTTTTTTGCTTGAGGGAAGGTTCTTTATTTGTTTGCATAAATAGGCTTACACTCTTTGCTATCATTACAGTAAAGTGGGATTATTTGTCTGGCGCAAATTGTCTAGAAACCACAGAAGTCATTTCTTTTCTTTTTTCTTTTATAAATTTTCATTGGGTTCCAGACAGGGTCGGCGGTAAAAAAAGTTTTATTTCCTTGGTTTGGGAGCCCAAAATAGGGTCGGTCGGAAATGAGAAACAAAGAAATAAATAGGGATGGCCTATAGCCAAACAATTTAATCAAATGGTATCTTCCGCGTGTTAATTAGATCATTTGACTAGATTTACATCCCATACAAAAATATATCAAGTACAAAATATATTCCACAAATTCGATTTATAAAATAACAGACACCACCTATATATACAAAAAAATGCTATCAAAAATGCTGATTATTGTAAGAAAATAGAACTACTTCTTCCCTTCTTTAAATAAGCCCAGTTCAAAAGTTCAAGTCCGAAGGAAAAGTGACAACAGTAAATGCATCCTGCCCAATGGCATTAGCCCATAATGACACGTAGCCAGCCGCTAACAGCAGGCAGAATACTACCAGTAAAAATAATTTCATTTTAACTGTCCTAACTAGCTTTTAAAGTCAAGTAGAAGCTTATTTTTTTTCTATACTAGTACTCGTATCTTACTTTGGTCCCTGCTTACATTGAATAATATACAAATATTGAGTGGCTCAGCGTGGAATGGGAGGAATATTATCGCAGGGTAAAATCTGGACTTTTCCATTTCACGAGGCGAAGCCGAGTGAACTGGAAAAGTCCAGATTTTATCGAGCGATAATATTCCTCCCATTCCACAATTTAAAGCCACTCAATATTTGTTTTATATAACTGACATATAGATCCTTGTCATTTGATATATTTGAACTTTTTTCAATACAAAACTGGAGGAAAATGTATTTCTCTCTTCCAAACCACCCTTTCACGAAAATGTTTGAACCCAACGATGTAGCGCTGGCTCTTTGGAACAATACGCGCTACGCGCAACGCTGAACGCGCACACCAGCATGCATTTGCACACAAATACCGCGTCATGATCCTAACTGTTGAATAGTATTTCCCATTCCCCATGGGCGGATCGTAGTTTTTGAGCCGCGGCATGAATGGGAGCAATAACGAATGCCACGTGATGTGAGTTCCACCAATCAAATGACAAGGATCTGTCCTAACTAGCTTTTAAAGTCAAGTAGAAGCTTATTTTTTTTCTATACTAGTACTCATATCTTACTTTGGTCCCTGCTTACATTGAATAATACTTATTACAATGCCTGAATAAATCCCAGTCATCTCATTGGTTGGTCACTGATCACATGTCATGGAATTATTCGACCCAACCCCCAGCCCTGCTGCACCATAAAAGTTTATTTCCACGGTAAAAAAAAAACTCCATTGCATGGTCACATGATTTGTGGCTTTGACCAATGAGATGACGAGGATTTATTCAGGCGTTGTATACAATGGAAAGATTCCCATATCTGGCCATCACTAATTTTTCCCACCAGTGACCTATCACTCAGCCATCAGAAAGTGATAATATGTCCTAAAAGTCAAATTTAGCAGAGAAAATGTTGAAGTATATATACAGAGAAAACACTGTTTTCTTGTTCAGGCCAACAAAAAAAGTCTCCGGTTTCTGGTATGGAGCTTGCCCAAAAAGTGGTACGGCGACATGGCTTTTTTTTTTACCTTATTTTTTTGTTTCAAATGTCGGCTGATGACTGCAAATGGTGCCCGACTAAACTTAGTGCAAATATATGGGAGTCCAGAGAGGCCACATAAAGCTTATTCTCGACCATAACCCAATCTAAAAACACGTTAAAATTGTGCAGCAGCAGGATTCCAGTCAAACCAGTGAGTTTGGCGGTTTTGAGACATCATCTTTCATTGAAAATTTTTTTTTTTCATTTTGCCGACGCGCATGGCTACAGCGACGCGCGCGCATACCAGAAACCGGAGACTTTTGGGGGGGGGGGGGGCCTTAGTACACCCACACTGCATTGGAAAATTGATGAAGTGCTAGTGAATGTAGTATGCTTGACTACAAACAATGTAGTGCATGAAATGTTGCTGGTCTGCTTATAATGAGTTGCTATATAAATATATCAAAATTCCTTACTAAGAATAAAACAGTTTGCTTTTCAAATAATACAAAACGGCACATGAATATGTATGAGCTCTATCCACCTGCATTTTGTTTCCAAATGATTCATGCTTATTGATAGTAATAAATATCATCATTCAGAGTTTTTGAAGTAAACATTTGAGTCGGATTTTTCCAAAAACCATACCCCTTTTTAGAAAGTGAAATGGTGCCACAAAGAAACAACAGTAATTTTTAAGAGTCGTCTCAATAATAATCCTGGAAAAGCTGCGGAGAATGTTTCTCCCAATATGCTGGTCGTGCCTCAGCCGGTGATATCTGGGTACTTTGTTGCACGAACAGTCCACTCACTCAAGCAGTAGCAGATGAAGTCTCTCCCTAAGATTCGCCAAGGTAATGCAAAGTTCCCTGCAGCTTTTCATGGATTATTAGCAAGATGCAACTTTACGGAACACCCTCCACACGTTCGCAACACTCAGTTGGAGGTTTGTCCCAGTTGTACATGTAAGATAACCTGATCTGTTGCTCGTTGGCGCACATCTGCCCAATAGTCTGCAGCTGCAGGTATTTTCCCCGCATGTTCTGCACGCTCTGTTTGTGGGTGATCAGGTAGCTGTTGCGGCAACCGCGCGACTTGTACTCGGTGTCAAATCGCGGGTCGTGCTCCCGCCTCACGTCAATCGGAGCCAGCCAGGAGCCAAGGGACACGTCCTCCGCGTGGTACTTCTTCAAAAGCGGGGCATTTTCAGCCACAAAGTGAACCAAGTCGGAGGACAAGACGTAGCCACCACCTACCGCAAAGGGGATGTAGCGGTCACACAGCACCCAATCCGTCTCCTTGTACTTGCCGCTCTTGTGGACATGTGCCCGGCCGTCAAAGAAACCCCAGTAAAGGCGAACTCTGGACTTGGTTGCGAGCTCTTGGACTAAGGGATCGAGTCTGACAAAGGTATCATCGTCTACCTTCAGCAGGTACTGGAAGTCTACTGTATGATCAAGCCACGCTAACATCTGGAGAAGTTTTGAGGTGAGGACACTGAAGGAATCTTTGAGCTCTGGGAGGAAGAGCATATCGTGGAACTGCTTCTGTTCTGATTCCAGCGTCTCCATGTCTGAGCTGGACAGCCCGGCTGTTCCAATCACAAACCGCGGCAGGATATCTCCACCGTGATTCTGCAGCCAGGTGTCGCGGATCGTGTACCTGCGTTCGACCATCTGTGGCCCGCTCATTATCAGGACCACAAGGAATGCCGAAAGCTCCTTCTGGCTGGCTTTGGGCTGGGCCGGGGATAGGTTCGGGTCGCATGGTACGGCCTTAGCATTACGATTGGTTGTGTCATTTACGCAAGATGTGATGAAAATAACCAGCAGGGTGGAGCTTGTGGCGCACATCAGCAACAGCAGTTTGTTGACAGATCTGCGTCTTCCACACCAATTGTTTGCATCCTAAAACAAAGAGAAAAATAAAACAAAGGCTCTATTTCTAAATCAGTAATATACGTACTGATTGCAATTAGTACCGTAGACTTACTGTCAACATTTGGGTAGTATCATGATGCCACTTTAGAAACAGAAAAAAAAATTATTTTAGCCTTCCCTGTACATGTATATAGGTTCCCTTAACTTAAGTTCACTAATGTCACAACCACTAACCCATCCACCCATTATCCTGCTGAAAATAACACTGACATTTTGAATTTTTGTTTAAAGTTTGATTCGTAATAATAAAAAAAATGGCCCAGTGAGATTACGGATAACATAGGCAATAACAGGGTATGGCAGGGTGTGATTTCAGTTGATTGGAAAAGGATTGGACGGAAACCTATCCTCCCACAATGTAGGCCTACTTATGTCATCGTCCGAGTAACTACTTATCGCTTATATTAACATTGGGACATTGTCTGACAAAAGGTTTCGACAAAAGTAGGGTTGGGCTGCCATCATGTGACACAATAGAAACAACCCAACAAAAACATCAGATTTCACCTTCAAAACGGCCACAAAATCACTACTAGATACACCACCTGAAGTACAACTACAAGCAGAGATTAATGATTAATATTGAGGTAGTAACTAGTTGGGTTTAGGCCTACTGGATGAAAAGTGAAATTTACTGTTTAACGCCACTTCAGCAGTTGTGTACAAAGTCAATGGCGAGTCAAAAAGAAGTATTTACTAGTTATTAGTATTTTCTAACAAATGTTTCTCATTCCCAGACTGGAAAAATTCCCCAGACTCATGTCTTTTCAACATTTTTGCAATAACTGACCTTTATTTGAGATAATTGATAGGCCTAGGCCTATAATTAAAAGAGTGGTACGTTGCAACATCATGACATTGACATCCCGCTCCACGAACACAACTTCACCTAGCTGGAGTTACCCAGCCCTAAATTTTATCATTGGGTTGTGATAAAATTTAGGGCTGGGTAACTCCAGCTAAGTAAACTTCACCATGTTCACTCACATTCACAAGTACAAAATTCGAAGAAAACAAAAACAAGTAGGCCCTAGCACCTTTGTACTTACTCTAATACAAGATCCGATGACGCCCATCGCAACGTTTTCGCGTTCGGAGTTTTCTTGGTCGACCAAATAGAAATAGTAAACAAAAACTTGTTTTCGACTTGGATTTTTAAATGTAGTTCACACCCAAAATCAAGCTTATACTGCAAGCTTATGGGCGCTGCCATTTTGTGTGATCCCATCATGCATTACGTTAACTGGTATTCCTCATTCCATACGCGTTTCGTCGAAAACCGTGCGTTTGGCCACCAGTCAAGATGGCGGCGTCCATGGGTTTATTTTTGTTTCATAATGTAATTTGATCGTGCGCGGTACTATACCCGTGTAGCGATTTAGGCCTATTGCCTTGACCCGAGAGAGTACTTCCGCGATGATTGACTTGGCAGATATTCCGGCTGGCCTGGGGAAAGTGCTACGTTGGCAAAGTTTTGGAAAGTTCACAGGTTTAGTCCTATGCATAAACTGTTCAACGGCGTGCGTGGCTGCGCCATGATTGAGTTCGATAGCGACTAGCGCCTAGCGGTTGTGAAACTGAAAGTGAAAAGTATATGCCGCGCCGAAAGTTCGCCTAATAATTCGGTAAGTAAGAAAAATAAGAATTTCATTCTGAATTAGCCCCATAAATGTGGCCAATTTATTGGATCGTAGTCGGGTAAATTGGCCACATTTGCTTAATATGCCATGGGCAGTGATGGGTGTCTATGCTAATTCTGAATCTGATTGAATGGGATTGTTTTATTGATCATGTCCATGTTGTTGCTAGTATTGCTAATATATATTTTTTTAATTTGTCAAAAGATAAGCAATATTTATAGATAGTGGATATTTTGCCGGAGGTAATGACGGCAAACTAACGATTACTAATGGTTTGCCGGCGGCAATCCATATCAACAGAGGGCGCTGTACTCTTTAAAATAGGGCTGAATTATAAGATGTATTAAATTCCAGCCAGAAGTTGTGTAGCACGTTTGGTGTAATGGTTAAGCAAAGGCTCTAGTAAGCGGGATGACTCGCATTCGATTCCAACCGCACCACATTTTGAAGTTTTTTTTTCTCATCCCCAAATAAATAAGAATATTCTTCTTTTATTATTTTAGGCAGTGTATATTTTGCCGGAGACGGCAAAGCTTTAGTAAACTTTAGTAACAAAAAAAGTTATTGGTCTATGACTAGTCCAAAAATTTGGGACTCTCAATACTGTGTATGAGAGTCCCAACACTTAAGGTACAGTCTTGAAAACATGCAATACAAGAAAATAGACTATGACTATGACAATTATTGCTGAAATTTCTCTCAACTTCTAAACAGACTTGTAACCAGTAAAGAGAACAAGAATTATTTTATAAATGAGGTAAATGAAATAAACTATGTTATAAAACTCACCAAGCAACAGCTTATTGCCGCGCTATGGCTGCCTGGCCACCACAGTACACGTATACATACATGTTTACTTCTTGAACTCTTCTTGGCTAGTGAGCCCATGTGTTTTATAGCTCCATGGTGAGCCACACCTAACAAACACAATAGCACTAGGGCAATCCAGCCAGGCACTCAGGCACGCAAGGAAAGTACTTAATTTGCATAACATCTGCAACTGTGTCTATTGCAATGCCACTAATCTGGGTCTTGTGTTGGTCTTTGCATTTTGATGTACGATTTACTATGATTTTATTGTGAATGAAATCATTGTTTCAAAAATTTGTTTCCAAAACTGATTACAGCGTCATTTCAATTAATTCAATGAATTCTTCTTTCACATTTAAATTTGTCATCCATCCTTAAAGGGAATATACATCATTTGCTTTTGCTGTAATTTTCAGAAATGGATAGAATTGGGGGGTTGGAAATATATAGCAAATATAGTTACACTGACTTTTTTGAGGTTTTGGGTTCGAAATGCTATAAAAACCAAGAAAAACGATCATTTTCCTGTAGTCTGGTTCCCTGACTCCATATAAGAAGAAACAGAGCAGTTTACATACATTGGGGAATTGTAAGGTCAAGGAACCAGTCTAGCTGGCTCGTACCCGTTCATAGGTTTGTAATCGATTGCAAACAAGTGCAATGGTCAATTGGGGCCAGTATTTGAAAAAAAAAGCCAGTTGTTTCCAACGCTGATCGGCCGATCAGCGTTGGAAATTGATACAAAAATACCACTTTTCTTGAAAATGACAGTATACCAGGTGCCATGATTTTACAGGATGCTTTACACTGTCATTCACTAACAGTCCAGCAAGGTATTTCAAAATGATTTGGTAGTTTTATTTTTTGATGTTTGCAAGTGTTGTATTTTCCCTTTAAAGTTGTCATGCATTTCACTTTTAATGTTGTTTCAGAGATGGCACTTGGAAAGAGCCCTCTATGACCTCATCCCCCTTAGACAATTGACCCTCTCAGAATTGCAACAGGTCATCAGGCGACAGTCCAGTTGAAAATTTAAGGTACATTTACAATTTTTTTACAGTTAGTTCAAAGGATGTTCCAAATCAAAGCTTGTTTGAAAATGAGGAAAGAATGTAGTATCCAGACGCCACTTGTACACGTTCTGTACAAAGTCTATGGAGAGTCAAGAACATTTTCCAAGTATTTCCTAACAAAATTGGAAATGTTTCTCAGTCCCACATTCATGGCTTTTCAACATTCCCGTGACTGACCTTTACTGAAATGATAATGAAGAAAAAAGTGGCGTTGTTAGGTATCAACATTCTTTCCGAAAACTTAGCAGCTCTAAATATTTGGTGATGTATGCAATTTATTTGTTGAATAGATTGTGACATGGTTTGAAATTCATCTATAGTGTGAGGGATATGTGTATAGTGTCTTCTGTCTACAAAAACGCATTGGGTACCCATTCTCTCTTCGGCTATCTTTTAAAAAAAACCAATCCATTCATAAAATAATTGTTTTTCTTTCATTATCAGGTTCTGAAAGGCATGGGTAGGAAGACCAAACCAGGCATGGCAAAGATAATGTTTATTATGCCTTGCGTCTTCATTATTTTCATCATATACATCATCTCAACATGCAATGATGGATCCAGCAACCAGAGCACCAAGCCGGTGACATGTGAGCCCCATCAATCCAGCCACCAAGAGGGGGACAAGAACGCCCCGCGGCCCAAGAAAAAACTGTCCTCTTTCCTGGTGGTTCTCATCATGACGGGCCCTCAGCTGGTGGAGCGACGCTACACGATCCGAGAGACCTGGCTGCAGAAGCACGGCAAGGACGTCCTGCCCAAGTTTGTGGTGGGCACGGCAGAGCTCAAGGAGTCGGACAAGAAGATGCTGGACTCTGAGCAGGCTCGCCACAAGGACTTGCTCTTCCTGCCCAAACTCAAGGACTCCTTCGGGTCGCTCACCAACAAGCTCCTCCAAATGCTGACGTGGTTGGACAGAAATGTCGACTTTCAGTATGTACTGAAGGCCGACGATGACACGTATGTCCGACTGGATGCGGTGGTCAAAGAACTGAAGTCGAAGAGCAAAGAGAAGCTGTATTGGGGGTTCTTTGACGGGAGGGCACACGCTCACCGCACCGGTCGCTACGCTGAAACAGACTGGGTTCTGTGCGATCGGTATTTGCCGTATGCCATGGGCGGGGGTTACGTGCTCTCGTCCGATTTAGTCAGCTTCATCGCAAACAATGCCCAGTACTTGAAGCGGTACCATGCTGAAGATGTCTCTGTTGGCTCCTGGCTGGCAGCCGTTGACGTCAAGCGCGAGCACGACCCCCGATTCGACACGGAGTTCAAATCCCGTGGCTGCCGCAACGTCTACATCGTTACACACAAACAGTCGATACAGGACATGAGGTCCAAGTATCAACAGTTACAGACGACGGGCAAGATGTGTGCCAAGGAGCAACAGTTTAGGTTATCCTACGTCTACAACTGGGAGAAGGTGCCCACGGAGTGTTGTGAACGAGTGGAAGGGGTACCTTAAGGAGGCCATGCTAGGGCATAGAGGGTTCTCTTAAAGAGTCTGCCAAAATTTAACTTCCAATATTATCAGGGGTCTACATGTACTTGCATGTAACAACGTGTTCATGCCACTCTACTTGCCATTTTTATATCAATAACATGTGTAGCGTCTTTAAATCATTGCTTTCAACGAATGTTTGGTCCAGTTAACCGTCAGTCTTCCTTATAGTCTTCCATCGTTCCATTATTTTTTAGCAGAAGGGCAATTCTGTTAATTCAGCTGTACAATGTTCATGTCAGACACTTTAATGAGTTATTGTATGAAAAATGAATGTGATACATCACTAATATGGCATCTAAAGAGTAGAAAACAATGGGAGACTTTGGAGACGTTGGTGGCTGCAAACACACCGGTCCTTCTTCATTTGTTTACGTCATGTTAAAAGCTAAGGCGGGCATGCTCAAACAATGGAAAAAGAATGGGTGTGTTTGCTGCCACTGATGTCTAAAGTCTCAAAAGTCTCCCATTACAGACCAAACTAAGGTTGTACCACCACCTTTAAACGACCTTGTACATGTAGTGTACATTATGTGGTCGGACATGCGTTGGATTTTACGGAATTGCCCAGTAGCATACTTGTTGCAACTATGGTTGGGTCCATCGCTATAGTTGGGGTGGATAATGCATTATTTTTGGGGTGGGGCAGTGTTGATGGAAAGGGGGGGGGGCGCAGATGGATTTTGCTGAAGTGTACATGTGATTGCCTACTGTCTGTAGAGAAAACGCTAAACGGTGTATTGTACTCAAACAATAATACAATCTCACTCTACTGCGCGTTGCAGGCATTGCCATACTTCTACATGAACCTACAGTAACTTGCAGCATTGTGTGGTGCCAAGCGCCTTGCCATTAAAGGGAAGATACAACATTTGCAAACATCACAAAACGAAATGATCAAGTTATCATTACTGGATTGTTAGAGAATGCAGTCTAAAGCATCCTGTAAAATTGTGGCTCCTGGTTTGCTGTCATTTTCAAGAAAAATGATATTTTTCCAGCGCTGGTCGGCCGACCAGCATTGGAGAAAACTGGTTTTTTTCAAAAACTGCTCCTAAGTTTTCATAATTAGTTACTCCGCGTTTTCTTTGCAATTGATTACACACCTGTGAAGGGGTACAAGCCTGCTAAACTGGTTCTCTGACCTTACAATTCCCCAAAGTCTATAATTGCTCTGTTTCATCTTAAGTGGGGTCAGGGAACCAGACCTCAAGAACATGTTTGGTTTTCTTGGTTTTTCCAGCATTTACAAGCCCAAATCGTGAAACAAGTCATTTTAACAATATTTGCTATAACATACTAATCCTCCAAATCCATCTATTTCTGAAAATTGCAGCAAAAGAAAATGTTGTGTATTCCCTTTAAATATGATGCCTCATGCTCTTCAAATAATGAGATTTTTTATCGTAACACATTTTCAATTTGTATCATTCCAGTGAAAAAGTACTTTTTATTTTTCGTTAAAATGATGCTCCCCTCCCCCTATTTAAGCATCTGCAACCTCTAACAAAAACAAATCGATCCTGCGAGAGCCGAATTAGTATCGGCCAGTAAATGATTTGAATATTGTAGCAAATAATAATTCAATATAACAAAGGGTCTGTGGATTTGTTTTGTTTTGATGTCTCATTCAAAAGTGAGTAAATTTTGTGTTGCTAGGAAAATTGCAATTAAAAAAATGGGGGGGGGGTTTGAAACTTGAATTAGCACAGGGAATGCATTTTTTAATAATGAAATTATGGGATTACGCGGTATGCAGTTGATGTTGAATTTGACAAAGTCAAAATAAGTTGGAATTTGTGCTAGCATGTGTCCATTATTGCATCAATAAATTTGATTTTATTAGCTTAGCTATTAAGTAGTTGCAGTTAGTAATTAGAGTGTAGCATTTGAAGGAAAATGATAAATGTCTCGTTTTGCAGTGTACACAGACTATGCAACCTAATTTTATAGTTGACATCATCTACATGTACATTGGTGTTCATGTTTGTTACAAAGTGGTCTGTTTTTTTACTATTTTAACATCACTGTCTTATGTTCAAATTATAGTTTTGAAAGAACATTGTACTATAATTACTGCATATTTTGTTTACTTCAGAAATTGAAAGCCACACACACATCCTTGCCATTTCTTATAAGATATTTTTCCAATTTTGTGAGGTTCGTAAGCTACATACATTTATGTATATCCAAATCCTGCTATTTTTAGTCTTATCTTTTTAAGGTGCATTTAAAAAAAAAATCATTATAAGGCCCCCCAAAAAAGTATCCGGTTTCTGGTATGCGCGCGCGTCGCCGTAGCCATGCGCATCGGCAAAATGAAAAAGTTTTTTTTTCAATGAAAGATGATGTCTGAAAACCGCCGAACTCACTGGTCTGACTGGAATCCTGCTGCTGCACAATTTTAACGTGTTTTTAGATTGGGTTATGGTCGAGAATAAGCTTTATGTGGCCTCTCTGGACTCCCATATAATTTGCACTAAGTTTAGTCGGGCACCATTTGCAGTCATCAGCAGACAAGTGAAGTAAAAAAATCAGGTAAAAAAAAAAAAAAGCCGCGTCGCCGCACCACTTTTTGGGCAAGCTCCATACCAGAAACCGGAGACTTTTATTTTTTTTTTGGCCTAACTTATATATTAACAAATCTTGCCATTTCTAGTCTTATCTTTTTCTAGGTGCATAAAAAAAATTGAGTGCAAAATTAGCAACGCCAAAGCAATATTTTCTCACAATATCAATATTGAAAACGAACCATTCCCTAAAACCTACCGTTTTTGCTGCTTCTTTTTTTTTACAAAAGTAAAGTACAGTTCTTTATTAAAAAAAAATTCTTCAAAATGCGCTTTGTATGCAGTACAAAGTATTTGCAAATAAAAGTTAGTTTAATCTACATTTTAGTTTCATTTTCATTTTTAAAGTGTTGCTTAATTAAGTAAAAATCGTCTTGATGCATGTTAGACCCACAATTATCTAAGGCACATTTGAAACAAAAACCTATGTTGATTTTATTTTGACATTAATGATGATTTATTCTTCATAAGACATCTTTTGTGATGAGATCTACACAAATTAGGCATCATGATTATATTTAGAATTGAGGGCTTAAGATAATGATTCGTTGTGTTTGTTTTTGAGTTACAAGAATAGGGCTGTTACAACGGGTATCCGGGTACCCATTTTTTTCTTCAGTCGGGTACCCAGTTCTCGTATTACTCGTAAATGCACACCCCTATACAAGTACATTTGAAGTTCTTGCTTTTTTTTGTAGTTTTGAAAAAATTACAGAGTGTGCGTTTAAGTAGCAAGGTTCTCCAAGATACTCCGAAGCATTTAAGAGTTTAACACTCAGTTTTCAAAATCTAAAATGTCAATGGAATGACTCTAAGTAATTTTAAAATGAAAACCCCAAAGTGGGAACAATTTATTCAGATATTCTTGATCGTAAAATTTACAACTGTTGACCAATCATTCAACAAGTCATGCACACCATACGATTATACAATGTAATTCAAAATAACAGAATCATCTAGTCCACAAATTGCACAGTATTGTGCAATTATAAGCACAAACTTTTTTTTTCCTTCTACATTTACAAAACATATTAAATAAACGGTACATTCCATATTCATGGTCTACAAAATGTGTAGACTGTTCATGTGATAATGACGACTGCATATGTTAAAATTTTGCATACATTTTTTTCACTACTAAACTTTGCACCTACATTGTAATCTTTTAAAAAAGAAAAACCAAGAATGATATTTAAAAGACAAACTTTGGTGGGACATGATCTCAAGACCTCTAGCACACCGCACAGGTTTCCCGAGCTACATGTATCCTGCAAAATCTTGGCACAGTGCCAATAGGCCATGGTCCATGTTCAGGGGCCACTAGTCGGAAACCATAAACCCGTTAAACGTGCCATGTTGCCATTTGAAATTATCTTAAATAAAAATTTTAAATGAAATACTTTATTGAAAGTGTTTTCTTTTTAATGAAAGTGGTGTATGAATTTATGTGTAGTTACATTTAAGACAATGTATTTGAGAAAGATACACTTGCATGACTCAGTTTGAGACTAACTGCAGTTTAGTAGTTGCCATAATATACATGTTCCTACTACATGTACTCACTTTTTTTTGGCCACTTTGGAGAAAGCTAAAATAAGTAAAATTGACAACTGTTATGAAATGGTGCCATTCATAAAGATCTATACTGACCAACAAGTGTTATGAAAAAAATTCCATGGCCAAAAAGCCACAAACTATGGAATTAGAAATTTCTTAACACTACCAAAACAAAAATTCAAATCTAGTATTACACTCAACAGTCAACGGAAATTAAAAGTGTAAATGAGGAACAGAGCATAAAAAAGACTGCACCCTCATTTAAATATGGGAGAATTTTGCCTTGTTTTTGCTGCAAAAATTGCATTTGTGTTTGAGAAAGTGGTGCAGAAACAACTCCAGAATTTGTGACTTCAATTTTGTATGTATTTTAGGAAAAAAAGATGTTAGAAAAAAATCACGGCCTCTTTTGCAACGGAATGAACGTGTTGGTGGGAGCTGGCATCTAGATCTTATTTATCACTACAATAAATTATTATTTAATCAGTGGCTATCTCAGCTACTCTGACCAATTATGGAAAGTACCCAGTTGGCTTTGAAAAGTTTGTCGCCCTCTAGTGGGGTAAGTGTAAAAATTCTCAGGACAATGTTCCTGTGCCTTTACTGGTGTACAATATGTACATTTCCCATGAAAACACATTCGGCACAATTCAGTCTCGAAACAATTGCGTACAACAGTGCACTTTAATATCTAAAAGCCAGTCCGACATTGGAAAACCCAAGTTCACGTCAAAACTGAAATAAAGGCGCCCTCGCTTTGCTTTTGTGAGTACAGAGGCCGAACAGTGCCCTCATATGCTGAGGCACAGAGCAATTTCGCACGGCCAGCCTCTTTCTCACTGCAAGGCAGTGTTGCAGTTAGTCCATCACAAAACCCTAAAAAGTCCATCACATCAGTCCCAAGTCAAGTCACAAGCTATTCCAATAGAAGGTGACAAAAGCATTCCTTTGTTCACCCTTTGTAACTTGTGACTGGACTTGTGATTTACTTGTGACTCGACTTGTGACAGTCTTGTGACTGGACTTGCAACGGTCTTGTGACTCGACTTGTGACAGTCTTGCGACTGGACTTGTGATTGTCTTGTGACTGGACTTGTGACGGTTTTGTGACAGGATTTGTGACGGTCTTGTGACTGGACTTGTGACGGTCTTGTGACTGGACTTGTGACGGTCTTGTGACTGGGCTTGTGACGGTCTTGTGACTGGACTTGTGACGGTCTTGTGACTGGACTTGTGACTGGTCTTGTGACAGTCTTGTGACAGTCTTGTGACTGGACTTGTGACTGGACTTGTGACTGTCTTGTGACAGACTCAACTGCAGCACTGCTTGGAGGTTTCTTGTTTGCACCCAAAAAATGTAACTAAAACAAAATTTTAAGAAAGTAATGTATTTTCGAACAGTCTCCTCAGAATTCATCATGGACGTTCCTGCCGTAATTGTAGAGTTTACTGCCGATGAAGACGTAGTAGTTGCTCAAGACCTCCCTGGGGGAGAGCTTGTTGTCTTCGTTCTCGTCGGCGACTCCAATAAGGTGACTGGCCTCTCCCTCAGCATGCTGTCGATTCCTCGGGTTCACATACACCTTGAAGAAGGGGTAACAGGAGAGAATGAGGTTTGATGAAAGTATATTTACACAATATTTAAAATTGCTCCTTTAAAATTTGTTCTAGACTGTCATTCATTCTATTATGAGCCCAAGCACTCATACTGTATAGCTTTCGATAATAATAATAATATTTTGGGAGGCTAATCATCCTTACTCACAGCTGGTATGCTGAATTGCGAAGGACGCAACTACAACGTGGTCGGGCCGCTGGCAGGTAAAGGCGCCTATGGCTGCCGGCCACATCGACCCATATATGTCCACGGAGCACAGCCTGAGATCAAAAGTGTTTGATTTTTTCTGAGGGAGGAAAACCGGAGGGCCCGGAGAAAAACCCTCGTGGCACAGGAGAGAACCAATGCACAACTCTACTCACATATGATCCGCGGCCAGGATTCGAACCGTGGTCACCTTGGTGAGAGGCGAGCGCTGTACGCACAAGCCACCCATGAAGGTACATTCAAATCAGAACTACGCAGAGCCATTAGTTTGTGATAATTCTGGCAAAAACACACTGGTTCAAAATGCGCTGATCTATGGAGTTAATTGTATACTTGGTTGCCATGGTATCAATTTGGAACCGGATCAGGACTTTCCCCGTGTTTTTTTCCCCCAAAGGGTTTTTGCAGGTTTTTTTCCCATCCCGTGATCTGCAATTCATGCCTTATACTTGAATGTTTAAAATCGAGGTATCCCCGGTTTCATTACAAGATAAAAATAACATCATGTACGACCAAAATTTTGCATCAGGGAGATATTATGCAGTGCCAATTATACAAATACTAATCATACTAAACATTTCCCCCTTACTTCTAGTTCCTGGGCGTCGCAGACTCCATCCCGATTTAGGTCCATGTTCTCCTTGAACTCCTTGATGCGTTCTCGCACCCACTCATCTTCCTTGCCAGCTTTCTCCAACTCCTTGCTGCTCAACTGGGGAAGAGAGACAAACTCACCCAGCGTCAGCTTGCTGTCGCCGTCCGAGTCTGCAAACGAGAATTTCAAGAAAACAAAGAGTGAATCAAATCCATCACTACAATATTAAGCAAGTTTGAGCGAGAACTGGGAGTCATCTATTAACCCTAACTCCCTAGGCCTTTTTGCTAGGATGTAGCCTCAATCCTGCAAAATCCTCCAATTGGCCTCGTGGAAAAATAGCATAAACATTGTAGTCTCAATCCTGTAATTTCCTCCATTATTCTTTGAATATTGTCCATGGAGGGGTGACCACTGCCTGAATCCTGCAAAATCCTCCAGCTATGACTGTCAATAGGCTGAGGCAGAGGCAGTGACATCCTGGAGCAGTGCGGAGGATTTCAAGTATAATCAAGGACTAAATTTATGCTAGGCTGAACATAAACAACACAAGGTACGGCCCAAGACCTTGACACAGTGCGTACTCCGAAATCAGCAGCGCACTTTTGCCATGTAACCTCAATCCTTCAAATTCCTCCAATTTGCAAAAAGGATTTTGGAGGATTTGGGATGGTTAGGGTTAAAAAATTTTTAAAGGAACTTCTCGGGTAGTTAGGGTTTATATATTCACCAAAATCATGCAGGAGTTCCTCCACGAGTAAGTTGAGCATTGATTTGCAGTGTTCAGGATGCAGGAAGGCTAGGAATTCTTCCTGGTTTAAGATGTCATCATCGTCCTCATCTGCCCGGCTCCATCGATCCCGGTATGTCATGTAATCCTCTGTCATTCAGATAACCGATAAATAATGAATAGAGGATCAATCACATGTTGTCAAATCCCACAAGATAACAACATGTGGTCAGATCCCACAAAATTAGTCTAACGGCCATTTTTTTCATCATTTTTTCTGCTCAAAGAGTATTGAATTGCCAATGCTGGTACAGAGCTTGGGAAGTTGCAGGTTCGATTCCTACTCAAAACGATTCATTTGGCCAACTGCTGGAATGAGTTTCGATTAATAACTCCACTCCAGTTGTGCAACTGAATGTTGATACAAAGTGAACCCGATCAATTTTCTGTTTTGTTTATATTTCTACCCTCAATGTGACCTTGGTAAAAAAACAGAAGGCATCTACACAAACGGGAAGGAACATTATTCAACATACCTTCATCCTCATTTTTCAAGGCACTTTTCCCTTTCTTGAGCTCCTCTAGAGTCTTTTCGTCGTAACCTCGCTGCTTGAGGAACTGTTTCCGATACTCGTCCCAGTGAATTTTACCTAGAAAAATTGGGAAAAGGAAGTTTCTTGAACAGCAAATGGTACTCTCCCAATACAGCCACAACTGAAGAACTTCTAAAGTTGTTGTATTTGCGTATTGTTCATGATCAGCACTTACCGTCTGAGTCCGTATCGACAAACGGGAAGATTTTCTTGCTCGCTTCCAGTGCCTCTTCGAAGTGTTTCTCCGTCTGGATAGCGATCCATTCCGTCAGTTCACCGAGGTCCAAATATTCATCCTTGTTGGTGTCTGCCCTGTGATTGGACGAAATGTAGAAAATGGATAAATAGATGTCAAAAAATAAAACTTATTCAAAAATTCAAATCGTTCATCATATACATGTACAGAATAAAATAAGACACAAAACATACTTGGATAAAAAATGACCTTCCACACTAAAATTTGACCCGTCAAAGGCACTTGGAATGAACCTAGCGTACAACATTTGTGCCATGAAAAATACATAAAGACAACATAGACTGTTGTCGTGTACAAAATCTATGATAGGGAGACGTGATCATTTCCCATGTAGTTTCTACTAAAATTACAAATGTTTCTCAGTCCCAGATATGAATGTCTAACCCTAACTCCCTAGCGTCTTTTACAAGGAACTGGACCAAGTCCATCAAAATCCATCGATCACTGTGTGTCCAATATAAAACTGTACATGACATAATGGAATCCACCACTGACGCACTGGTTGACATTCGTGGACTTGCTACACATGGCTTTTATCACAATTAGCAGTACAGGAAGCTAGGCAAAATCAATCGGATATCCCTAGCACTGCTTCAGACCATTAGGCCCAAGTCCATCATACTCCATCAATATTTAGTCACGCCAGGCCTTCTGGACCAAGTCCCCCAAAATCCACCAAAATGGGGGATGGATTTCGGTGGAGTCGGGGTGGTTAAGGGTTAAAACAGATTTGCAAGACTGACAAAAAGTGGAGACGGGATACCATACTTTATGCATTTTTAAAAATATCAAAAGGAGGACTTTACTTGGAGAATATTTCCATCAGTCTCCGTTTGCCTTCCTTCTCCGGGATGTTCTCAAAATCGGCGTGGTCGGGTCCCAGGAACACCTCCTGTTGAAACTCTTTGTTCAGCTCCCCGCCCCTCATGATCCGCACCCCGTCGTTGTGATTGGGCGGGGCCAAATCAATCACTCCCCCATTGTCCCGATTTTGCTGTCCTTCCTTCATCAGCCGTACCCTTTCCCGACGATCGAGCGGGGCAGGGTCTCCGATCTTGGAGTTGTTGTGTTCGATTTCTTGCTTGTCCTTGTCCGTCCTGCGGATGACGTTTGCGTTGTAGGCACCGACTGAGAACACCACGATAAGGAGGAAGGATTGCAGGCACTCCCTGCATATTGAAACCTTCATTGTGGATGACGTAAGTGTTAACCGACGATTCTTCAAAAGATGACGTTGATTTTACTCCTCTATTCGGGGTTTCGGTCACACCGAGTTCTCAAATTTATGCAGCAAAACCTGCATGGCACAAAAAGATACAGGATTTTTAGCCAGATGATTTGCCTGCTAGCAAAGTACTCTCTTTGATGTGTATACGAGTAGGCCTACATTATAAATTTATTAACAAAAGAAAGCTGGATCCGGCTAAATATCCACTGCAAAAAAAATAATATTTAAAACCCAGACATGCCAGACCAACGTAATTATTAATTAATGTCAGTCATTATTTTTATCCTGACTGATCTTAAATCATAAAAGACATTTTACTTGGCTAATTTAGTAATTATATTACATTCTCAAGTAGACTATGAATAAATTTCAAAGCAATAATGCCACCCCCCCCCCCCCCAATATGGGCCCACTCATGCGCTAACTAAATGAATCATTAAATGACCAACCATTTTCGGGTAATCCTTACTTTTAGGACACCTCTATTTTGTACGAGTTCTGTTCAAAACTGACTTTTGCAGATGACTGTCCAGTACCAAAGTGACTTTTGCAGGCTAAAGAAGTCTTTTTTCTTCAGACAAACTCATGTTAGTTATAATTTTGAAAACACTTTCAAAGAAAATGTGACTTTCCTACCTTTTTTTGCAGTTCGCCATCTTGCTTTTTAAATTTATTTTCTGTTTGTCATCGTCGTCTTTAACCCCTCATAAATCAAAACCCTGCCCTCTTTCTACAAAATCAAACCTGCTGATATTCAAGAGGTGTCATTGCCAAATGTTCAAATGTGTCAATAAATATCAGAATGTCACTTTTGAGTGTCATTTAGTCAGCTGTTTTGGTGAGTCTTTTAACCTTTATATAGGAAAGGGGTCCTAAAAGTAAGGATTACCCATTTTCGGGCATTGTCATGATTGTCGGAAACAACAAGTTTACGAAAGGGCTGACCAGCATGACCAGTGCTGACCACCACTCCCGGCACCAGTAATGTCCGTCGTGAAACTATTAACACTGTGATATTAAACAAGACATAATGCAACACAACTTACGAGCTTTCCTGATCGACATTTTCCGTGCACAGTGGAGAAATACGAAAGAATTTGGGGCAATTTCTTAACATGTGCACTACGCAAATAGAAAACCGGACGTGCGATACTCCAACGTGTACCGAAAAATATAGAGGGCGCACTTCAATAGTAACGGTAACATGAACGGTAAAATGACACGAGTTGGAAACAAGAGAATCAAAAACGTGCATTCAAATAGATGCAGATACCTTTTCACAAATTTACTTTGAGCAAAACAAGGGATAATTTCTTGAGACTGTGCTTTCAGATATTGTTGTTGTAAAGTACTGTCCATCCCAAGAAAAAGGTTTTCGTGAGTTGTGCCTAGCAAGCTGGTGGGTGGTTGTTGGGCGGGCCTAGGAGCCAGGGGGGGGGGGGGGGGGGTTTGAGGAAGAGTTTGAAATGTAGTAAACCATTAAAAAAAACCTGCACACTTAAAAAACAAGTTAGCATTGCAATCACTGCAATCATAGCACCAAACATAAGCCCGCATAAATTAGGTGAGCTTTTAAAGAAAAACAATTTAAGTGTACACCAAAAGTAACAATTTCAATTGATATTTATTTTCAGTGCATTCTCTACTAGAAAAAATACAAATCTGCGCACACATACAGGAATGTAATATTCTACAAATATACAACTTTGTTTCACACAAGGTACTGAATGCTACTCTGTGATCACATCATTTAGATCACACAGAACATATTTTTAAAATTGACAATTTAGTGGAATCACTTCAATTTGGCAGCAAGGAAGATAGCAACCCCTCTCCTACGAAAAAAAAAAATGGCACACAGGTTTGCAAGTTTCATGTACAGTGAATGTTACATTCGATATTTAGCTAGTTATATACACTGAAACAATAACTTGACATTAAATATATAGCAAGTACTTCAATTTAGGCAGACTACAAAAGTGCCCCACATGTACATGTATCATTGGATGAAAAGGCCAGAAAACACAATACGTACAATCCTCTTTTCTTAAACCTTCAAGATTGAATACAAACTGAAGTCATGCATTACCTGCGCTGGAAATCACACTTCACCAATGGTTAAAACTTTAAGAAAACAAGATGAAATTCACATAGAGAATGCATGTCCTTTTCCCCTCTGTCAATAATTCACTTCTGTCCTACTTAATGTAATGTACAATGTCTCCAATATACACTAAATCAAACAATATACTCTACATTATTATGTACATTAGCGTCCGAGGATTGCACTAAACACAAAACAACAACCATCAAGTGTAAATATGCAACTGACGCAATGGCACTTCTGATAAATAAGGCATTTTCTCTTATGTTATTTCATTGGACGGATTAGGTCATGTGACTGGGCACCTGTTCTTAATTGGTCTCTTTCATTATTTAAATGCTATACTCTGACTGGCTTGAAAAATTCGTCATGCTTCCATTATAGAGCCCTCAACATCCAACATCTTTGATTGGATGATATTGGTCACATGATGGGTAAAGTAAAGGATGTGATTGGACGGAATAAACTCAAATGTTGCACCAACTTTGAAATAGAAATGCTTGTAACTTTTTTTTTGCAACACTTTGATAGGATTAATTGATCATGTGACAGGTCCATGCATATAGTTGGACTGGATCCTGATTGGACGGTATCAGTCATGTGATGATCCCCTAGACCTGAGTACTCTCATTGGATGACATCAGTCATGTGATGGTTCCTGATGAAACCAAGCTCAAATTCTGATTGGTTGGCACACAGTCACCTAAGAGTTTCTCCCATCCTGATTGGATGTCACAAGTCACGTGACACAATCCTTGCTACACGATTGGTCCATATTAATCATGTGTGGATCCCCTTGAGCTTGGCTTTGATCCCTTTGATGGAGTCTTGACCTTCTTGGACTTCTTCGGGTGTTGTATTCTGACCAGACAGTAGGCCGTGGGGAGACGTTTGCCAAAGAACAGTGGCTCAGTGACGTCATTCACCATGATCACGTATTCAGCTAGGAGGATAAAAAAAACGAGGTCGGAAAATTTAGGAGGGTGGAGTTTCTGTGTTTACCAGGGTTGATGGAGAGGCAAGAGGGCCACACCCTCTGTGAAGTCCCCTTCGCTCCCCCTTCCTTCCCCCGCCTCCCTCAATACCTTGTTTGAGCCAACAATTTTCTCACCTGGTCTAGCAAATCGTTCGTCGCCGTACAGCTTCTCTCTCTTGATCTTGTAGGCTTTAGGGTCTCGTTTCTCCAACAAGGTGGCATCTATCGGCATATCGTCTGTTTTGTTTTAGTTGTTTTTTCGATTAAGGGATAGAAAAGTAGAAAGAAAGTATTAATAAAAGTAGTTTTTGTGCTTGGAAGTGGACAGTAAGATCTCCACTTCCCCAAGCATTGTTAAAAACAGTTTTCTTAAATAAAAAAAAATTATGCTGAAAAATATTGTCGTCTCAATCTCAAGAAAAAAGTTTCTACAGATGAGACAGGAAAACATTTCTTGAAACAAGAATGATTTTCTAGTGTTAAGAAATGGTGAGAAAATCCTGTTCAGCAAAATTTAACAGACATAACTTTAATATTAATAAATATATACTATTCACTTAAAGATTCAGCAAAAAAAAAATTAAAACAAACTGTGAATGGAGTTAATCATGTGATGAAGTAGTCATTTTAATTTAGTTTAATGCAGTTTAGCTTAGAAATAACATTTTTTTTCTTGCACTAAATGTTTGCTTTGTACAAATGTTCGGCGATACTAGATGACCGTAATGTTTTAACTTAATAAAGTTGGAATGAATTCTTCTCTGGTGTCTTGTCTAATCGTCATTCTAGTTCAATTTTTCCTCCCAAAAATATATTCTCAAAATAAAGGAAAGGTAACAATTGCTTGAAGATGATAAATGTATCTTTTTTTTATCATGGCCTAAAAAATCATTCTTACCAGTATTTGACAGCAATGAAATGAAGCAGTTTAAAGAAAGCATGCAAAATTAAAATAGGATATAAAAGTAAAATAATCAAGTGACAATTCATGAAAAATTTAAAATAAAAAATTAGATTCATTCAGATAAATAGTTAAGAAATTCTACAAGCAAGCAACAAAACTTCTGACTAAAAGTGGACACAATCATGCTGACACATCAGGTGCAACTACATCGATACATACAGCACAGCAAGAAGCTAGAAACACAAAATGCAAACTAAAAGCTTTTGACTACGAGAAAGTACAGAACAAGGGAACTAGTGTGGACAAAATTACGTGACTTCTCATTCAACCTCTCAGTTACTTGCAGTAAGTTTCAAAGTCCTTTTTAAAACTAGCGGTGGGATTTAAATCTGGATTTTGTAAAAAAAAATAGCTTTGAATTCCATTTTTCAGTTTTGATTTTGGAAAGTGGATATTCGAAACCAACCTTAAAAACCATAAAGTTTCCTAGTTTTTGTGACACAGGCAAAAGAAAACAACTAAAACATCCCCCAATTTGCTCCGTGGTCTCTGACTGTAACTGCATTCACTTGCTAGGGGTCTTCTTGGTGTATGAGTAGCCTGCCCATTTGACTTATAAGAGAGTTCCCATCCATTTTTTTCAACATTACAGCTGTGTTTTTGTAAAGGCCCAGTGGTCATTGAATCCTGCAAACTAGACCCAGTCATTGGGAGGGCATTTCATGTGGCACCTCACTCGTCACATTTTGTTGGCGTGACTGTGAGCTGGATGGGAACTTCCCGTGAAATCTGATAACCGTTCTTTGGTTTGAACAAAATGGGAGAACCGAATTTTGGAATCTATGATTTCTCCCACCACTATTTAAAATTAACCCTTTCCCCCCAAATGAACCACACAGGGAAACAAAATTAACCTTGTTAGCTGACCCGTGCTTAATTATCACTCTTCATTTTAAATTCTTGTTATAATTGGAATTTATCTTCTTCTTTTTTAGAGGGGGGGGGGGTCTTTTCTTTAGGGGGAGCATTGGAAATACATGGTATTTATGTCTATTCTGAGCACGAGACTCAGTTATGTTACTAGGGTAAGATTATTACAAATATTAATTTGAGCAGAATTTTTTGCTCGGAGTTGGAAATTTTCAGGAATGGATTTTAATTTCGCACCACATGTATATTGAGCACTGAGAAGTCACATTTGTGAATAAATTAAGGGGAACAGTTTAATTCAAAGCATGAAAAGATGCAAGTGAATCAAAAGGAATTGGACAAGATTTTCATCATTTCAAATGCAAAATTTGACATTCTATGCAAATGAGCTTGCAATTTCTGTGTGTGTTTTTACATGCAGCAATTATGACTTAGAATTAAATACAGAAGCGCTTTCATTAACTTAAATTTGATGGGTGATTTTTTTTTTTTTCATTTGGCAGGCGAGCAAGCAAATTTGTCATTACAGGAATTTGTACCGGACAGTAACGATTGTGGTGTTGAGGTCATCGTGGAATCAGGATGGAGACTGGTGGCTATAAATTTACATTCAAATCGAGGAGAAATGAGAGGAACACAGCAAATGTGCATGTTCCTTATATTAAAAACTAAAGATAATCAAAGTGAGTAAAAACTGTGAGAATTTTGGAAAACTGGTGGAGCAACCGTAGTTTTACATTGATAGAGACATCATTATATTCTATGATATCGTAATTTATATCATATCACAGCAACTCTTGCCCGTGACCAGGGAGGTTGGAGGTCACTATGACCCACTGATGGTCATGTGCAGCAGTAGTTAAGTACAGCAAACCAATTGATAAAAAGTTCAAGTTTTAAATTATCAAGAAAACTGACAAGTAAAGGAAGCAAAATTCAGTAGTCAGGAAGTATTGATCCAAATTCACAGGAGATATCTCGATAAAAGAACCGTTTGAAATTCAGACGCTGTTTTAGAAACACAGTGAAAGTCTGTTGCTACATCATGAGTCTTTTGTGTCGTTGCAAAAATGTGGTAACTACAGCGCGTCTCAAAAAAAATGTGCAGTAGTCAAGCAACATTTTATTTCGGGGATACATTTTGGAAAAAATATAATTACTATGAGATGATAGACTGTTTCTTTACCATTGACAGGATTTTTGTTCCGTGTGATTTGGACCTTTTGCTTGAAAGTTACGGCAAAGCTTGTAAAGACTGTCAAAATCTGCTTGGGCCACTTTTCAGATTCTCTGATATTGGCATTCACACGCCTTTTTGGTATGTGAATGCCTTTCATTAGATACCAGATAAAACCTGAAAAGTGGCCAAACTTGGAATTCAAGTCCTTTTATTTAATAAGCTGCATCCCTGGACTGGGGTGTCCAAATGAGATGGGATAAAGACCATTGTGTAGAGTATTTACTACACCTTTAGACTCTATACATGTAGATAAGCTTTGCAAAAAGTGAGTGCTAGTATTTATAATATTCATGGATTGACTGCTACGTTTTTATTGACACACGCTGTAGTTAGTTTAATTCACTCAAACACTCTGTCTTGATTGTTAAATTAATCATTTGGCTGCAGTCAAAACAATCGGCTGATGTTTATTTAGACTAAGACTACCAATCCGCCGGTCCTGGCTACTAATTCACTGGTCTTGGGTTCATGTCTTGGTTTGATCAAATTTCTCAATGAATTTGTTTATCTGGTATGATGAGACTATCATTTCCTGTATTCAAGTATTTGCTATCGTGAGTTTTTCTGACAATTTAACAGGATTCTGAGATATCTGAGAATCTGAATCAAAAGAAGCCTGGTTTTTGAAGGATTTTTTTTGAAGGTATACAATTCTTCTTTTTCTGTACATTACCTACTGTCTTCCCAAGCTTAGCGCCCAGTCGCAATTGCTGGGCTAGCCCCGCCGTTTTGGAATTGCGAGTCTTGGTGCGTGCTTCTTCCTCCAACATGATATCGAGCACATTGAACGGGCGATAGCCGATGGGTGCCCCAGGCAGCACCAAGCCCTATCAGGGGTACAAGGGGTGTACAAGGGGGTGCGGAAGGGCGTGGCCGGGGTGGGTTGGGTGTGGAGTGAGACAGGAATGATGGGACAGGGAGGGAAGTCGGATAGCAATTTGCGATAATTAATGGAGAACAAACATGAGGTATTTGGTGGTCAGTTTGGTTCGCAGCCAGGGTGGGGATGGGTGGAGTCCAGGCGGGGCATTATCTGGGCTGAGTAGTTCCGTGCTGATAATTTTATCGATTTCTAGCCAAGGTTCGGAGTATTTTAAAATGAAAAGAACTTCTGCCTTGCACAGCTCACGTGTTAGGCCCAACACATGCAAGGGTCCATCAGGTTCAACAAAAACATGCTTGTGAGTTTCAGCATTCAAAAATATGAGTAAGTAGCGAATTAGGGAGGGGATTATCTCAAAATCAAAACGTGTTCAACGTGCTCCTTTTGAAACATGGCATACTGTGAGTAGGAATATTTTTCCAGGTATATTCCCACTCACAGCCAGAGATATTTCAAAGAACTGGAAAATATTGGCTTACTGAATACTCAATACCGAGTGCCAAAATCTCATGCTATGTACATTGCCTGAGCCTCGTTTTCAGCTGATTTTTGTTTAAATGAATTTTACGCAACATTTCTGGTTATGAGCTTCATGTCATTGGGCAGGCCAAATTTTTGAGTTGTTCACCGCTATGCCTCCAACAGATCCCCACCCCAGCTTAAACACCACTTACCCATGAAATTCTAACCACAAAAACCTGTAAACATTGTCAAATGACTCAAAAGTGAAAACAATTCCATGAGAAACAAAGCAAACAATTCAACAGTAACATCGAAACCTTCAACATTTCTTCTAGACGAACAGCCTGCAATGAAACCGGGTCAAACGAAGTAAAAATGAACAAAAATGGCAGAATTTTTAGCTGTCAGTTGAAAGATGTTAGGGTGTTTGCCAGGTGCTACAAACAATGCGAAAACGCTGTTGATAAAAACACACAAGGGCATCAAACATATGAACAAGATTTAGAATGCGACGCATTAATTTCCAGAGGTGGATCCAGACTTGTGAAATATGGGAGACCTCTTTTAACCTGTTCGCGTCGGAGGACGTGATAACACATACTGATTATTTTTATAAACAGGCACGGCTGATGGGTTAAGACGTCAAGATTGCCTCGACGTCTAATCACGCTAAACCCGCGTTCCTTTTGTACACACACACACAAAGTCTGTGAAGTCTGTGGAGGCAGACCGTGTGTTGATCTTGAATTGGCCGTTGTGCACGGCCTATTGTTGTACAATCTACGCTCCAGTGCACACCCCAGAGTCTTGAAACATGACATTTCGGCAAGAGATATCAGACAAATACTGTTGAAATGACTCTTGCGAATATCAGAAGTTGGCTAAGAAAATGTGGCCTTTTGCGAAAAATGGTTTAAAGGAAAACAAGTGACAAAAGCCTGATAAATTTAATATTCTACAGCTGTGGGGAAAAATAGTGAGTACATCTCCCTTTTACTTCTCTGGTTCCAACCCTAGAATGACTTGTGTGTTAGTGAAATGTGTGTTATTGCTAGTGCTAGTGCAACAAACAGAACTTCGGTGCTTCAAACCTGCAAAATGTTAAATTTGCTCCAGCAGAACACGACACACTTGCAGCTACAGCACAATTAAGCTCAAACCTGCTTTTCAAACGCAACTGCAACTGCTAAACGTTTTGTAAAACAACAAGGACCCAATTTTATGATGGATTGTTTTTTGTGCAATGTTTTGTTTTTCTGTAATTATCCATTTGGTTTTTAACTTGGTTTGAAAGTCACTTTTAGTAGTTAACAAGAAACTGCACTGCGCATGACCAAACCTTCAGAGTGCTAAATTTGATTAGTAAATACATTAACAAAACCCGGGCCCAATTTCATAGCTTATTAAGTTACCAGAAAAGTTGTGCTTACTATAGTGGAACACCGCTATAATGAACATTGCGGGATCCACAGAAATTGTTTGTAATAGCGATCGTTCGGTATAGCTATTTGAAGCTGCTGGTGCTCCGGTACTTACTTTTCAATAAAAAACGCCCTTCTGAGAACTTCACCCTGCACGCCCTGGTATTTACTGAAATCTGATTTTTGAACACGTGCCGATTATTGAATTATGTTTACACAGTTTTTGAGCTCCTGTACCTACAGCAATGGGTGGCTTTCCCTTCCTATTCCTTGGGGAAATAATAGCCACTTGTCGCTCTTCTGTTGACATTTTTTCAACAGCAATGTTCGGTACCGGTACGTTTTATACACAAAAGTTGGGAGCCAAGCATGATGTTCGGTATTGCCGAATGTTTGGTATATAGCGGTGTTCGGTGTAGCGACGTTCCACTGTATAGCAGAAAATCATGTTGCTGCTTAAACACTATTTCTTGGCATTGATGTGCTAACAGTTACGCGTGCATGAGGATTTCTATTGTTACGTCACTGATTTAAGCAAGTTTTTCCTCCGGGGTTAAGCATGCTTTTGCTGTGCTTACTGCTTACGGTCTCCATGAAATAGACGGACGCTCTGTTAGCACAAACTCGGCTGTTAAGCAGCGCTATAAAATTGGGCCCTCTGAAAGTTTCAGCAACACCATAAAGTCAAGTCCTTTCTAACTGCGTCAAGACCCGGTTATTAGTGAGTTAAACCGGGTTTTGATTCTATAAACCATCAACCAGGGTCAGCTGTACTCAAACCTTCCACTCGTTTATTTCCCTTGCCAGTACTGGTTTTGAGTTTGGTTTTTGTTCCGCTCCGGGACCTTTGCTCGGCCGATAGGCTCAGGTCAGAGTCCTCCTTCAGCGGGGAAATGGCGTAGGGAAAGTAAGATGGGGAGACGCCGGGGAGAATGAGGTCCTACAGGTTGACAAAAGTGCTAGTTAGTACTTGAAGTGAAAGATTTGGCCCTGAGCTAAAGTACCTTCTTGAACCTGGTTTGAAACCCTGTTTCATGATGAGGGTTTGTAAGTGAAGGGGAGATATCAGGACTGATCTCACAGACTGACAAAAGTGCTAGTTAGTACATGAATTGAAAGATTAGGCCCTGAGCTAAAGTACCTTCTTAAACCTGGTTAGATACCCTGTTTTATGATGAGGGTTTGTAAGTGAAGGGGAGACACCAGGATAGACTGATCTTACAGATTGACAAAAGTGCTAGTTAGTACATGAAGTGAATGGTTTGGCCCTAAGCTAAGGTACCTTCTTAAACCTGGTTAGATACCCTGTTTTATGATGAAGGTTTGTGAGTGAATAAGTGAATTAAACAGGACAGACTCATCTTCTTACAGGTTGACTAAAGCGCAAGTTAGTACTTGAAGTGCATAAGTTGGCCCTCAGCTAAAGTACCTTCTTAAACCAGGTAAGAAACCCTGTTTTATGACAAGGATTTGTGAGTGAATAAGTGAATAAACCAGGACAGACTCATCTTCTTACAGGGTGACTAAAGTGCAAGTTAGTACATGAAGTGGAGTACTTTGGGCTGACCTAAAGTACTTATCAATTCAACTAGGTTCAATGAGTGTCTGTTTAAGATAGTTGAAACTCGGACAGGTTAAAGAAAAGTTAGTAAGTAGATGAATATTACTTGGCCCTGGACTAAAGTACTTCTATTAAGATGAGGTCCTACAGGTTGACAAAAGTGCTAGTTAGTACATGAAGTGCTGCACTTGTGGGCTGACCTTAAGTACTAAGTAAACCAGATTAGTAAAGATATCCAGGTTAGTAAAGATACCGATATGCGCTCACACTTGCTAGTACTATTACTTTTATTTAAAGTCAAAGAGACTATCCTACCTTGAAACTGGTGCGTCCACTCTCTGTTTTTTGGTCATTGATTGCGGGAGGGATGGGTGATGACTCCTCTGCCAGATCGGCCGTGCCTGGTAGCTGCTGGTCGGTTGCTACGGAGCCTTCGGCTGCGGTGGCTATGTCGACGCATCAGGAGAGGGGTAAAATAGAGAAAATCTCAGTAAACAAAAGTAAACGTTACACGTTGTAATCAATCAATAGAATTTCAAATGTTAGGATTGTAGATTTAGAGTGGATTTATCCATTCCCATAAAGCATGTGTACTTGCAAGCTGTATACCAAGTAATTTGGACATGACCACAGTTCGTGAAATGCTAGACTTCCTTACCAGGTGCTGATTCTGTTTGCTCGCTGCCAGCCAGGGGCGAGGGCTCGGTGCTGGTTACGTCTGTCACAGCGCCCTCGTCTGTTTTGCTTGGTTCAGGTTTTGTAGTCTCTTCTGGAGCTTCACTGCCCGGGTGGATAACTACAAGGATTATCAAAAAAAAAATATGTGCAAATTGTGCCAAAGTGTAAATTTGCTACTGAAGTGGTTGTCCAAAGGCAATTTGTCAACGTGCAACATGATATATATTGTTTGACAACCATACAATGTTGACAACTGATTTCAAATTTTCCCCTATGATATATTGTAAGTTTGGCATATATCTGAAAACCTCGGACATCATGATGTCCGAACTTTCTTTACCCCTACATGTCTTGTCTCATTAGAAGCCAGATGGGGATGATGTCCCTTTGTACCCACTAAACTGGAATTTAGAGAGTCACCAGAAAACCAAATGGTGCATCATTACATCTCACGACTATGGGCTTCGTGCACAAGTACCCCCTCAACGGTAAGAAAGGGAGAGTTGGGGAGACCTTGGAGTGACATTCCAATGCATTGCCGACGCCTGACGCTCACGCGAAGACGCTTTGTGCACATTCAAAATAAAATGAATTGTGCGTACTTCGGCCCTATACACGCGCTAACCAGAACGTGCACGCAGTAAGTCCCGTCCACTGAGCTCTAAAAAGCGCCCTCTCTTGTTTGCGCACGGAGCCCGTATCACCGCTTTACAATAAAGCGCAAAGGGTGTTATGTTGCATGTGTTCACAAGTTGTTCATGATCACAGTTGATCCCGCACGCAGCAAACTCGGCGACAAGCGTCAAAGCTGCCTGCCCTGCGAAACGGGCCTCATACCTCAAAGCCTCGTACCTTCTATCTGTGGAACATGTGCTGGCTCTTCAGGGATGGATGCTTCTACCGTCGTGGCTTCCGTCAGTGCCGTGGAGGGCTTGGGTATGTAGCCGTCTAGACAATACTTCTCCTCAATGTAACTGTACTCAGTCAGAGGGTAGGCTACCACATCATAGCCGCTGCACGTGAGGGAATTCAAATTTGAGACAGAGGAATCAATTTCATGCGGTTATTAAGCACAACAAATGTAATGCTTTAATATTTTGGTTTTTGAGACTAGCAACATCGGTGGTAGAGCACATGTACACAAAATGTATAGTGACCCAGGGGGCCTAGGTTTGAATCCCATTGTGTTGTCAGTATTGTTCCAACCTAATATCCAGTACAGTGAAACACCGCTATAACGAACATTTGGTTATAACGAACTTCCCCACGGGCTACCGAAATAGTGAATTCTATTATAATGCACAATCACTATAATGAACAACCACTATAGCGATAACTTTCTGTGGACCCAATTGTGTTCGTTATAGCGGCGTTTCACTGTATTATACAACACCTGACTAAATTTCCGTCATCTGATTTGTGGATCGTTGATTAAATGTCGTTGAATAATTCGTCCCAACACACAGCGCGGCTGTACCACAAAAAATAGAAGTTTATTGTACGGTGAATAGAACTTCCATTGCACAGTTTTCATTACTGCCAGTGGGGGTGCTGTTTACCAATCCGATTCACAGAATTTCAAATTGGCGGACAATACCGTACGCGAGAATCTCTGTTTGTTCTCCGAAAAAATATCGGAACTCTATGTAAATGCTGACGCTGCTAACACAAAGAAGCAATTAAGATTTGCTGCCAAACAATTAGACGAATTTGAATATGGTAGTTCTGAACTTGTCGAGAACAGTTTTTAAAATACATAAATTGGATGAATAATTTCCTTCGGTGACAGATGGATGTTCCATTTCACTCAGCTTCGCCTCGTGGAATGGAACATTCATTTGTCACCTCATGAAATTATTCTCAACACTGCATTCACAAACATTCATTATTTGTATACAATAACACAATACACCAGTATCCGCTCCATTCACAAGTACCCCCTCACCGACAAAGAAAGAACAGTTGGGGGTGACAGACCGACGCCATCTTGCCTGACTGCAATTTTGCCGCGACGCGCAGCCATACCACTGCGTGTACATAGTACAAGTCCCTCGGTGTACGTGCGTCACACACAAGGAACGGTGCGCGTCTACCAGCTAAATGTTCCGCCCATGGGACGTTGTTGCTAGGTAAAAGGGTGCCCTCTTTCGTTGGCGCACAGAGCCCATGGCAAATTATAGTACGTTTTCTTTCGCTCCTACGTTTAAGCATTATGAGCCAAACAGTAAACACTGGATTATTTTGTACTTACTACGGAGTAGGTGATGGCTTCTCTTCCATATCTTCGATGAGATCAAACAGCGGTGATGTCTGGCTGGGCATGTAGTGCCTGAACCCTGCGGTGATCTGTAGCGAGCGTCCATTCTCCGGAGAGACCAACTCGCCGCTCTCTGAACGCACCTCCACCTCGATGCTAAACGACGTGCCTTGGTACATATCCAGCTCTGGGTCGTTAATAATGGAAATTTTCGCTGCCTCCACTATTAAAAAAAAAAGGAAAGAGGGAAGTTGAGATAATTTTACTCTTACTTTTCAAGGATTTGGATTAGGGAAAAAGCTTACAAATCTTAGGTCACCATAGCAACTGAAATCATCTTGCTTATTACTCACTCAACTATCGTTTATTTTTAATTAACACTGTATGATTATACAACAACTGACCTATCGAGGTAGAATCGTGTCAACGCAGCTTGTAAAATATTGTCCAATTGCATGAGATACAAATGGACGCAAAACGCACAAAATCTGACACAAACAAAACTTAGTGTACAAAAACTTCATAGGGTTGTCTAAGGGGCGTGGCTAACTCACAAATGACGATAGGTCAATTGGCCAGGATAACCCACAAAGGTCTTTCGGCTTATTTCCGGTAGGGTCCCTTGGTAGAAAATGTTGAAGGAAAATACAGTTTTAGTGGTGGGAGGAAATCCCCAGAATGATATTCTAGGGAAAACCCACAGAATCCCCATATTGGCCCAGCCAGGACTTGAACCCTGGTCACAGTGGTGCAAAGCGAGGAAAGGACCCAGATCACATGGTTTGGGGTAGCACAGTAGGCCAACCTGTCTTGACTGGTGTGCAGTGATTAACATTTCCTCAGGAACAATATAATAATAATAATAATAATAATTTGGGAGGCTAATCATCCTTACTCGCAGCTGGTATGCTGAATTGCGAAGGACGCGGCTGCAACGTGGTCGGGCCGCTGGCACGTAAAGGCACCTATGGCTGCCGGCCACATCGACCCATATATGACCACGGAGCACAGCCTGAGATCGAAAGTGTTTGATTTTTCCGGAGGGAGGAAAACCGGAGGGCCCGGAGAAAAACCCTCGTGGCACAGGAGAGAACCAACGCACAACTCTACTCACATGCGATCTGCGGCCAGGATTCGAACCGTGGTCACCTTGGTGAGAGGCGAGCGCTTTACGCACAAGCCACCCATGCCACCTATAATTTGTTGAATTTCTGACGACAATGAAGGAATGAACGAATTTCTGACAAGAATGAAGCATGTTGCCGTGGTTACCTGCCGGTCTACCGTTGATCCACATGCCTTCGTACGTCATGCCAGAGCTGTGAATCATGGTGCCTTCTCCGTTGTACAGGTCGTTACGCCACTGACCCTGTTAACATAAACAGTAAACAAACAAATGTGAATGGGGCCTCTTTGTGGAGCATCACATGTTCTTTTACAGAGACGAAGTGAGTGTGCTCGGCACATGCTAAAGTTTTGGGTCATTTACATGTACTTGATTTTTTTTTATTCAAGACAAATGGAATCCTAGGGGGAGAGAGAGGTTAAGGGAGTGGTTCAGTGTTTGCAGGGGTAAATTGCTACTAGCGAGTACCTGCTTCTACTCGCGCAAGGACGAGTACTCAAAAAGATGAAAAAACCATGAGTAAAACGAGTAGCATAAACTACACACAATTCGGGCGATTCACGATGCAGTGCGCCACCAAGAGTTTGCCACAGAGAGTTCATTTTTCCCAGTGCATTGTGGGAGATGATGTGGGAGCGTATGATTCGAGTATCTGTTTGCCCTTTTCTTTTCGTTTTATCAACATGGAGTTTTTTGTAAGGCGGCAGATCGCTTTGCCCCAATCTATAATAATTAGCTCAAGTTTTCTACTGACACTCATTCAAATGGGCCATGTTTTGTCGACCGTGACCTTGAAAAACGAACTCTCCGTGGCAAACTCTTGGTGGCGCACTGCATTGTGAATCGCCCGAATTACTCAAGTAATCGAGTTACTCATCTAGCGGTAGTCTATACTCTACAGACTAATTCGGTGAACTAAATAAGAAGCTATTTTGAGGTGGAATCTGTCTGTAAGCATGCTGCATGCTTTCTTTACAAAAGACTAGGCACGTGTGCATCTTGATAACCCTATTGGTCGTCGGAGCCCGGAGCATGTGCATACTACCTAAGTGAGAGCCTGGTTCCACCTTAAAAAAGTGTCTTCTTATTCTGTTCGCTGAATTAGTCTATACATTGGATACAAAAATATGTGGGGAAAATGGAATATCAAAAACTTAAAGCTGCGTTTTTTTGCTTGTGCTTGTTCACTTTGGAGTTGGTGGGGTTCCAGGAACGGCTGTTAGGTCCGTTTATGGGGATAATAATCTGCGAAATCCTTTGGAAGCATCTTACATCATAAAGCGTGCCGTCTGCGCATCGGAGTTCCCCGCTACCTTGTCTGCAGCCTTTGATCCAGTCACCGATGTACACATCACCATTCCTGTAAAAAATGGGTGGATATAGAAAAGCAAATTGCAAAAATGATGGAAGATATATCGATCACAGACCTTTGGAGTAAAATATTCACACACCTTACATTTTTGTCACAAACCAAGTAATACAACTCATATATCAATGAAAGCACTTCAAAAAAATCAAAATTATCAACAAAGACTTAAACCTTCACTTCAACAAGTGGATGTAAAGTCATACAACCAACAAATAATATTCTTTAAAATATAAGTCTATTTTTCTTACTTCAGGAACATAAACTCATTTAATTTGAAGCCTATTGCCCTAAGTGTATAGTATCTTAATTTGGATGAATTATTATGGTTAAATAATTGATTCTAGAGTCATAGTTGATGCCATACTGAAGAATTGGCCATAGTTTTGACATTGGTATATGACATCTGAGCTGAGACAGAAGTAGGGGCGGAGCTACAGGGTCAAGTGGGGTGCACTGAATGTATGAAAGTTTTAAGCAACTGAAAGCACTGCGAATGACTTACAGATACTGCTGTGAGCCTTCACCGTGTTTCTTATCATTGTGGAAGGAACCTTCATAGATTGCTCCATCAGATTGTTTAAAAATGCCATGACCTGCAAAAAAAATATCAAAATACATTATTTAATTATCATTGCTCTCCCTATAAGGCCCCCAAAAATTCTCCAGTTTCTGGTCTGTGCGCGTCGCCGTAGCCATGCACGTCGGCAAAATTAAAAAGTTTTTTTTTCAATGTAAGATGATGTCTCAAAACCGCCAAACTCACTGGTTTGACTGGAATCCTGCTGCTTCACAATTATAATGTGTTTTTAGATGGGGTTACGATCGAGTAAGGCTTTATGTGGCCTCTCTGGGCACCCATATATTTTGCACTAAATTTAGTGTGGCACCATTTGCAGACATCAGCTGACATTTGAAGAAAAAAAGAGTAAAAAACAAAAAAACTAAAAAAGCCGCGTCGCTGGCCTCGCTGCACCATTTTTGGGGCAAGCTCCATACCAGAATACCAGAAACCGAAGACTTTTTTTGAACTAATAGAGGTTGCTTACATTGTATTTCCCAAGATGTTTTTTTTTCACCTGACCATCCTTGGTTGGGGTAGCGAAGTAAAAATCTGTCTAAAATGTGGCTTTGCCCACTATGCACCATTCACACATACTTCTTTACGGAAAATGTGGTAACTTTCTTGCGATCCTTTACTTCCCTACCCTTGTTCAAACTTGACAACATTTCACTAGAGGTGCACTGAAAACTTTTTTGGACGAACGTGTGGGTCCCACTGTTTCTATTGTTGCTCAGTGTTCCTGGGACCCCCGGCAGCCATATATGTAAACAAGAGCACAAATGTGATGTGTCCTTCGGCTCATACGATAAGGCAAAACAGCGCCACCTATAGTTCCCGCGCAAACACTCCATACGCTAAGTTTGAGTTTTACCTTCTCGTTTGTTGCCGAGAAACTCTCCCTCATACACACTGTTGTCAGCATACGTCATCACACCATGGCCGTTCATCTCCCCGTCCAAGAACTGGCCGGAGTAAGTGACCCCTGATGACCACTTCCTGAAGCCATGACCTTCTATCTCCCCGTGGATAAACTCCCCTTCGTAGTAGCTACCGTCCGCCATGACAAGCTTGCCATGCCCTGTACGTTCAATTAAAGGGAAAATACAACATTTGCAAACATCAAAAAATAAAACTACCAAATCATTTTGAAATACCTTGCTGCACTGTTAGTGAATGACAGTGTAAAGCATCCTGTTAAATCATGGCACCTGGTATACTGTCATTTTCAAGAAAAGTGGTATTTTTGTATCAATTTCCAACGCTGGTCGGCCGACCAGCGTTGGAAAAAAACTGGCTTTTTTTTCAAATACTGGCCCCAATTGACCTTCGCACTTGTTTGCAATCCATTACACACCTATGAACGGGTACAAGCCAGCTAGACTGGTTCCCTGACCTTACAATTCCCCAATGTATGTAAACTGCTCTGTTTCTTCTCATATGGAGTCAGGGAACCAGACTACAGGAAAATTATTGTTTTTCTTGGTTTTTATAGCATTTTCGAACCCAAAACCTCAAAAAGTCAGTGTAACTATATTTGCTATATATTTCCAACCCCCCAACTCCATCCATTTCTGAAAATTACAGCAAAAGCAAATGATGTATATTCCCTTTAAAGGTAGAGAAGATCATATGTCATTTGTTTCGTTTGAAGCAACAAAAGTGTTCAAAATCCAAAGACGGGTGCTTAACAACTAACCTGATGAACTTTTGGTTCTGTGAATGCTGTATATTCCAGGAAAATTATACTCTAGGATCTTGACTTCAATTCAAAAGCTGCGGAGTCATGTTTTGAATTCCGCCCGAAATCAGCATCTGGGACATGTTCTCATTCAGTCGATTGCAGCTACGCGATGTCACGCACTGAACTGACCAATAATAACAACCACGCACATGTGTGTGTCGTGTCGTCGCAGGCACCCATTCACGGATTTGCCCAATTACAAACCAACTACTAACAGAAATTTCCAAAAAATGTGTCACTTGACTCATCTTTGGAAATGACCTTCTTTTATTGTTTTCTTCAAAATGACAGCATGCCAGAAGGAATAATTTCACAGGGCGTTTAGTGCCATTACTATCTTTAAACCAAGTGAGCTTCTCAACAATATTTTGGTCAGTTACTATATGGATAGCTGCAAATGATCTATTCTACCTTTTAGTCATCCATGATCCAGAAATTCTTGAAAAACTCGCGTCCAATTCAACTTGGCTTTTCTGCACCGTGTTGCCATTCTAATGGAGTTTTCACAGTGTCTTTTTGAATTTGTTCCTACAATTTGTCTCTGGTTTCACGAGGGGACGGGCATGTGGATTTTGAAGAAAAACTGTTTTCGAGATAATCGCAAGAGAAGTTTCTCCGTTTTTAAAACTGCAAAAACTACTACTTTGCAACAACTTTATGCAATAAGAAAACCATGACGTTATTCTTTGATAGGTAAACTTTAATTTGAACCCATTAATTATAATTAATAAAGTGGCTAATAAGCCAAAATTAATTAGTAAAGATGCCCGTCCCTTCGTGAAATCGAAAATCTCTCCGTTTCACATTTACGCCCTTCTTGTTTAATGTGCTTTTCCATAGGGAAGGGCGCGCGTGTTCGATTACGCGCGCGCAGCTGAGAATGTAACAAAGATGCCCGTCGCTTCGTGAAATCGAAAATCTCCTGTTGACCTACTTTTACGCCTCTCCGTGCAATACGTTTTGTGCGTGTACAAGGGGCAGGCATGTTCGCGTCTCTTCGTGAAATCGCAAAATGCATTTATAGAGATGCCTGCCCCTGGCGTCATTAATGTTATTCAGGAATTAATGATGTTTTGCTTACGGAAACATGTCAGAATGCTTGAGTACCATGTTTTAAAGTAAAATAGTGAAAAAACTCGAAATTGAAAAAATTGTCAATTTTGACATGCCCGCCCCTTCGTGAAACCGGTGACGAATTTCCACATTCACAATCAAAATCTGCTGTTGCATTTTTTAAGCAGAGCTTGGAATTGGTGTCCTAGCTCAATTACAGAAACCTGAATTTTTTTTATTTTTCACTTACCATGTTTCTTTCCCTCCTTCCAATCACCTTCATAACGGAAGAAGCTGTTGGAATATTTATAGATCCCATAGCCTGTGAAAATGCAAACATCAGAATTTGTGAAGTGTATTGATAATTGATAAAATTGCGATAATCACGAATTTATTTTCAATGTCAAATGTTATATATTCAAGCACAACATAACTGATCGCACCAAAATAAGCTAGGTCAACTTGGGAAAAGGTTCCCCACCTCTGCACAATCTTCATCCAGGCCTATACAACCGTTAAATTCACTAAAAATTGTTGAAAGATGGCAGGGTTTTTATAGTGATGGCATTGAACTTCTTTACCAGTGACTCTAATGTCTCTATGATGAGTATGACTAACAAAAACATGACTATTATTAGCATTGTAAAACGCTAAAACAGGTTAGAAAGTTGCATTTTATAAAATAAAATTAGTTAATCTAAATAACAAAAGACAAATAAATAGGCCCTACCGAAAATTCATTGAGGAAATTTGAGTTTTGACACAATCAACATGACAATGACAGTCATTTGTAAAAGTTTTTGAAAGGAACAAGTAGGCATAGGGCCTAAAACTTAAAAGTAAAATTTAAAAAAAGGTCAGGTGTCCTAATCTTGCTAAAATATTTATAAAATAAGCATGTTCAACTGTTTTTTTTTGAAAGAATATTACAACCTAACGCCTCTTCAGCAGTTGTGTACGGAGAGTCAGCAGTCTATGGAGAGTCAAGAATTTTTTTTAAGTAAAGTAGGGGGCCTAGGCCTATTTCTAACAAAATTGAAAATGGAAATGAGTCCCAGATTCATGTCTACTCAGTCTTATCATCATTTTTGCGATGACTGACCTTCATTGAGATGATATATGAAGAAAAAAGCAGCGTCAGGTTGCAATATTCTTACCGTTTTTTTAAATATTTTTATTCAATATTTCTCAGTCCAGATTTAAGAATTTGTTTACGAATAATAAACAAGACAACTCATCGTGTGTAAAGCATGTAGAGTGAATGGGAACATTCTGACTGAGGTTTGGATTTATTTCCAACCCCAAATCCATGGAGATCCATTAAATCTTCACAAAATCGACGAAGGGAACTTATCAATCATGATGTCATGATTAAAAAAACACATTGTATACAACCGATTAGATTTACGAACCATCTCTTAGCTGTTGTTTCGTTTCGCCGATGTATCGCTGGCCTTTCGCCACAGTTTTCGACGCCATTTTGTGACACAGTCAGCCACGACGCGTTTTGTAACGGTGCGCCTGATTGGTTAGACTGGTGAAGGCGAGCCAGTACGGGCGAGCGTAACAGACGGATCCAGTCCATCGATCCTTGACAACGACGGTGAGCTCGACCGGGGGGGGGGGGGGGGGGGGGGGTTGATGGGATATGAAATAATATTCTGCCAGACAAATTCTAACCAATATTATGTTATGATCGAGGGCGAACATGAATGGCCATGGAGTTATATGGCATAACAAAGGCTTACGCTGGCATTGTGATAGAGCCGCTGTGTGCTTGGATGTCTGGAATTGAAATTATTTCACAACTTTGACACGGATCCTTACTACTTTCTGCGAGCACTTCTGTTGTGGTCACTATTAGCATTCCAGTGGCTTTTTTAATTCTCGCTTTTCTGTTTACAGGAATTTTTTTTCTGGAAATATTGTCCAAGTGTTTTGAGGATTGTTGCTGTAAACGTTCTTGTCCTGAGAATATTTTTTTTGCATTGTTGTCATAAACTTGTTTGCGTGGAATTCGATGGAAAATATCCACACAAGTCTTTCAGAAATGTCAATCAAAATTTGTAATCAGAAAAGAAAAGTGCGTTGTTTTTTTAATAAACCTTTCGGAAAAAAAAATGTTTTTGTGAAGATCGGAGGAGGTTCATTGAGTGCTTGCATCCAGCACAGAAATGTGACCAATATTGAATATTGTCTATTATCAGAATCGTGCAAAACACGAAAATGATAGACGCTAGTGATCGACAGTGCTATTAGTGGTTCGTGCATTATTAGACCATCATCGTGCCTGAGCTGCTCGCACTAACGTCTTGGGAATTAATCTTTTTCTTTATTTTCTCCCTTTAGGCTTTATTTTCCGATCCTAGGAAACCAAGCAGCGATCGCGAAATGGTTTTTAGTTAAATAATGCCAACACAACAGGTACGAAAAATGTCAATAAAATATATGTAAAGCTCCTTGGGGAGTATACAGCTAACAGCTTGATGCAGCCTGATGCAAGGAAGCTAATTCCATCACAATAACCTCACAGGTACCCATTTACTCCTGGGTGTAAAGAAGCAATGAGTGACAAAGGGCCTTGCCCAAGGGCACACGCACCATGACCCTGGGCTGGACTGGAACCCACAACCTGCAGCTTTACCCACAGACCACAAATCCACGAGGCCACAGCACTCCAGTAACAATGAATGCACAAAAGTTTCACTTTGTACATCCCAGCAAACAGAGGCAGTAGCCTCAGAAATTGTCTCAGATCGCACAACAGAGGAATTCAGGGGCCCTTGAGCGGGCCACGAACTCCACGCCGTCATGGACCCACTTTTTGTTGGACCAAAATTTGTTTTGCCCCCCCCCCCCATCCCCCCTTCAAACGAAAATGTTGATCCGCCCTTGTGAGATACCTTGTGAGATGGCGCAAAGCACATTTAGATAAAAGTCTGCAGCGTTTTAAACCAGTTTCATTGATTGGTTGATTGATTGATTCGTTCATTCAATTGAATCATGTTTATTCAGTATTTGTTCGAATTCTCTTTTTCTCAGCTAGTTCATTTAAACATTGTAACACAGTCCTCAATAAGAAGTGTGTACAACCATGGAGGAATGCGTTTCCTCATAACCATGGTGCTATCAAACAAATTAAAGGGCACTTTATATATGAGCTGATCGATGTCTCAGCCTAGCTGGATCTCAAGTTCTCACGATCTTGCTTTAACCTTTGAGGAAGGATCAAAACGTCTTACCGGCGCCTCCAACTTTTATGAATATCTATTTCTACCCAGAGTTTCTGGAAACTTCAGGACCCACAACTGAGGTTCAACTCTTGCTCTCCGGGGGTACGTGACGATGTATCGCGAATTCGCCGAACCGTTGTTTGCGCGGCTGGCATTTATTTCGCGGAAAGTGGACGAAACTGATTCCAATGAGCTGCATGTATAGGCCTAGTATACTCAACCCCCCAAAAAGTCCCCCTTGATACTTTTTGTGTAACTCAAAAACTACTGGGCACATCTTGCTCAAATTACGACTGATCAGAACAGAAATTCCTTAGCAATCTAGCCACTTACTCTTTGTTTGGCCCAAAACAGTGATAATGTGTACAAAATTATGCAATTTATGACAAGTGGTACCGAAAAAAGTTGCACTTTTGTATCATGATACGTGCAAGGTGAGTGTGAACCACAACTACGGTGTACAAAAGTGCAACTGTTTTCCTAAGTCCGGTATATCAGTTGTCATAAATTGCATAAATTCGTACACATTATCACTGTTTTGGACCACAAAAAGAGTATGGCTGGATTGCTAAGGAATTTCTGTATTGATTAGTCGTTATTTGAGCGAGAGTTTTTGAGTTAGACAAAAAGTATTAGGGGGGGACTTTCTTTTTTGGTTTAGTGTATTTCGAAAGAGACTTGTTAGTTTACTCATACTCATTTCTGTAATCTTGGTTCATAAGATCGTACTTGTTTATTCAAATCTGGTCGTTTTTGTTTTTTTTAATTAGTCTCGGTCATAACAGTACCGACCTCTGTCCCCGCCATTGTCACATGTTGATAACCGCTCATCGCCATTCCGCGCTGCACATTACACAACATTAAAGAATTCAGAAATCCCCTTTTCATTTTCAGCCTTCTTCAGTTCTTGCAACCATCATGATACGGTTGCAACACGCAACTAGAGGACATACCATGCAATTAACGTATAATCTTCCGCAAAGCTGTTTCCTTTGTGCTGCCCCGGGATATTTTTTTCTAAGGGAAAGTGACTCGTGAACTCTACTTACGGCGGCTATACGTAAACATTCAATACATATTCATCATGGAAGAAATCGTTCACATGGCATACACTTCGCGTGCTAAAAATCCTGACGGTATGCACTAAAATTAGCTCGTAGCGAGTCGTAGGATATAGTACGATGGCAGGCCCATCATAGAGACGGAGCCAATAGATCCAGATAATCCCAGTTTGTCACCGTATACGTTGACGAGTGAACACCTGTTGCTGAAGAAGAAAAAGTATGGGGAACAACGTGCCCTCGGGAAAGGTTAGTTCAATTATGGAAAAATCAATATCACCTCAAAACTATGTGACCGTGATGTCGGCCCACACATGGATCGTGGTATACCATGGAGCTATAACAATTTATAAAACACATCCTTTTCATAGCACCATGGAGATACCATGGGCCCAGGGACCCTTGATTGCTGAGAAACATACAAAACGAAATCAGGCCATAGGCCTACCATGACTTAACTAACTCTTTTGTGGAACATGTGATGACCAGCTGTCCCATATACCGGCCACCGAATGGTGATCGTGGCTTAATTGACTTAGACAATGACACACTGGGACTGGCTTGCTGCAACGGAGCTGAAGGTCTAAGGACAGAAGAAGAACTAACTCTTTGGCTGACGAAATTCTCCAAAATTTTAATGAGGGAAAGACAAGGTCGTCAGTACGTAATACGTATTTAAACTAAGTTTGAAGCCTCAATTCAATTTTTAAAAGGAGACATTTCTTCATTATTTTGCACCTGAGAGGAAGTCAAGTGCATGATATCGATTTGAGGCCAAAGACTAGACTGGTACAGTCATATGTGTGGTGCAACCACAGAGCTATATCAACATGTACCAGACATGCCAGATGTTTTTTTAGTTTGGCACAGTTGATTGATGCAGTACTGAAGGGTTGTTGGACTGGTTCTTCTGGGTGCCAGTCAATTTTCTTGCATGTTTTCAATACCTTTAACTTTAAGCTTTGGGACTGGCATACACATGAGAGTCCCAAATTTTCGGACTATATACTATGGGCCTATGATAGATATGTAATAATTAATACGGTAAAATTCGTTGTTGTCACGTCACAGCAACTTTCAGCAAACTGTTCAACACTACACTTCATGTAGCCTATTCACTTGAACCACGGATGCACATTTCTCACATTGAACCTAATATGGTAGCCCCCACCTATGCCGTAATTGTGACGGGCGACTTGCATTATATAAAAAAAAACGAACTTCGATAAACTCTTAAACCACCATTTCGGCAGGTTCTGTATGACGAATGATGATGGGGTAATCTAGCAAATTTAGGGAGACCCCCCTCATGCCTCAGCAAACGTGATTGCCCAATCATTCTGCGGTGATGACTGTCCGTATTTCGTCAACTTAATTACAGCTACATAAAGGCTATTGTGAAGTCTAGGAATACCGTATAGGGTCATTGGTATCTGATGAAGTTGTTGTAGCAACGGGAAAAAAATGCAAACTTTTATTCTTGTTCAATAGACTCTTTTTTTTTAGTGCTACCCGTACTTTTCATTGTTTCTGCCTGACTAACACGGCTGCCCACCACTGTTGGGTTCATGTTAATACTTGCTCAACTTCTGAGGTAATCCCCAATATAGTGGACTCTAATCTAGTTCTTGTAAAAGTTAATTTCAAAACATAAAATGGATTTTCCGAGTGTGATATCATCACCACAAAGAAACACTTTCGATCTTTTGCAATTAATATTTACTTCCTCAATGAAGTAAACCAATGAAGGTAGGCTATACGAACACGTGTTCTCTCTCACGTGCGTATATTCACCTCAACATCCGTGATCCCTGCGTGATCCCTCTCTGTCAGTTGAGCCGCCGAACCAGGCGCTCGTATACCAGGAAACGACGATTTGAGCGCGATAGAAAAAAAAAGTTATTTATGACTTGGTTGCTGACTTTCCCCGCTAGCTGGGTATATAAAGGGGCCAGCTGGGCTTTTGTTTCAGTCAGAGAAGCGAATATCATAATAACTGTGGTTTCATGCAACGAGAATTAAGAGCAAGTGGAATTATGAAGAAAACAAGACGCGTACAGAAGAAAGCGGGGATCGGGAAGAAACTGCCGATGTTTTTGTTTAAGGTAGGATCATAAATCTATCGGAATTTTCGGCTGACAATTTTCCGGTACTTGATCGGGTTATTTTGCTTCTTAAGCTATTCTGTCCCGCCTTGAGTGGTTTGCGAGAAACCTTCCTCACTCTTGCAAAATCCAACACCATGAACTCAACACCCAAACTGTTGGACTAGCTCTGATGTGTTTTATAGCTCCATCATGGTATGCCTAACCCCATGTAAAGCAAATCAGTTTACTAGTGCAGTCCTCACTCCAACAGAATCAAACAAAACATGCAGTTGGATTTTGAAGGGTTCGGGTGGGTAGAAAATTGACGTTGCCTTCACAGTGTTTTGGATTTTCGATCTCCAACATTGCACATCGTTATTTTGGAGGAAAAAATTATTAAATGGCTAAAGGAGATCACTATACGTATAGTGCCGTATTTATCCTTCTTGGTTGCCGAAATGTAAATTGTCTCGATGTATTTATTAATTTCACAATTGTGACCAAGCATAGCGTTTTCTCTCGCGAACAAATCAGCAAGCCCCTTTAACCAGATTAGTATCGGATCTATATGGACATCATTTAATGATAGATGTACAGTAGTTATTTTTTCAAAGATTACATAATGGACGAAATACAGGATGAGTAAACAAAAACGAAACCCAATGGCAGGACCAGTTTTTGAATGAAATTTTGCCTGTAGCACTTTCAAAATCTAGGATATGAAAAATCCCAATCAATGAGCATTTCTTTTACGTTTTAGTCCAATAATCATTCAAAATCACTCTGTACTTGTCAAGTTATTGAACACAAACACCGTTTTAAAGTTCTGTCCACGGATCACTGAAGTAATAAGTGTTCTTTCAGCCAAACGAAAACAATTAGGGATGCATGTGAATTGGTTTCGTTTTGCTATAAGAACACTTACTTTTTTATGATCCGTGCATGGATACAACTTTAAAACGATTGATTTCAATAACCCTTTTGATCGAGTGGAACGTGCCGAATGTACGTTAGCGCGCACGGTTGGCTCTAGACGGCCAACCCCCCAACCCCCCGACCCCCACCCCGACCCCCACCCTTCGTGGAAGAACGATGCTGATACAATCCGCTCATGTAGAATAATAATAAAAAAATAAACATACATAGATAATTAGGAGAGGGACCGGTCATGTGAGAGGGTTTAACTAATAAAAGGGAAAAAGAGTCCGATTTTCATACGAGTCCGATTTTCATGTGACACCGTATTTTGTGAGGTACAGGTTTAGGCCCAGGCCTACATCCTATTCTTCACAGTGAACGATAATAATAGAAATGATTATGATAATGATATGATGTGATAATCACGACTGTTTGTCTGCTCTTAAAAGTTAAAATGAACTACATTCAGTTCTGCCTGTTGTGTATAGAGTAGAGTTATTGACTGAACTAATAAATATGCAAGATGTTATGTCTCCAAAATGGTTTTCTGACATGGAAAGGAGGTTCGCTGCTACTGAAAATACATGTGCCCGTTTGATCACTATTGTTCAATTTGCTCATTGAGGCAAAAAATAACTGCAACACAATGGAACCCAATGGAACCTTGTGATGGGGTGTTTTGACTTGACAAGGAACACAAAAAGGTATGACGTGATAAATTATCTTACGGGTCAGTGGACGCCGCCGTATGATGCTGACCGTGCGACCAGTACAGTGCTGTTACCCTTGTTTCACGAAATTTAAATATAGAGCAGGGGATTTCCCCCAGTGCACGAATTCCGCGTATAAGTATAATACGATGCGTTGAGGTTTGAACACAGCCAGTATGTTTCTGCTGTAGTCTCTCTGCACACGGATATTTCTTTCTTATGCATCATCGTCATAGTCTGGCGAGTGGCGACTCCTTCTTCGAGTAGCAATCTGGGTAATTACTGTAGGTCCTATTTTACCGTAGAGAGAATGACAAAATGTGTAGGTTTTCTTTTTGTCGTTGAAGTGCGTGCCATTTTGCATCGGCCATTTTCATTCATCGCTGACGCATATAATTAAGACCGATGCCGCATAATCCTGTACTACGACAACGTAGTTCTGTCGATGAGTAGCTAGATTCGTTCTTCTTCTTTTTTTTCGTTGAACGTTCCTATCATTGTTTAGATTTTTAAGAACGTGCAGATGAGTAAAATCTTTCTGCTTAATTGGTGCCATGGCACATTGTATACGCATCTCATCATTATCTGTGCATTGTGGCCTGTAATATTGACGTGCATCCTAGTATAGGAGAAGAGAATTTTATACATATACTGCTGGGGCAAGCTTTTTCACACACACAAACGTATTACTTCGCTGTCTCGAAATTCATCACATATGTATTTATAATGCGATTGTTATGGGGTTTCTATGCTTTTATAAACTGTTTTTACAGGCCTTACAGTTTACCACATCCCGGATGTATTATTGTAAAAGTTTACATAACAGGCCTATACTACAGAGCTCATAAAGTTTGGGTTTTTTTCAATTGAAGTTTTTTGTTGTTGTGAGTCTATTTTGATCAAGATGGTTTTGTCATCTTTTGCTGTCGTACAATATGACAGCAGCAAGATTTTTTTATCCACCACTTTTTTGCCGGAGGGGACACCCACAGACCATAGCCACCTTTACGGGTGACTAAAAGTCTGTGAATAAAATCTTTTCATGGTCGGCAAGTGGAACGGAAATTCGCGAGTGCGTTTTAACACAACAGTTAATCCCTTTGAAATCTACATGATGTATAGGGAATGTCCTTGGCAGAGTGTTTGTATCATTATCCTGCTGTAAAGGCTGAACCCGGTCTCACGTATGCGGTAGCACACGTACAGTATAAACGACATAATGACAATCATGTGCTGGGAAAAAACATGTCGGTGTTAAACGGCATATAGCGGCAGGTCACCGTTTGCGTCAATATTTCATGGTGTCATTCGGCTGTTGTTGAGCATCGGTGTTTGGAGTATAATCGGAGCATGGAGGTAGAGTGCAGTGACCATGAGAAAGTATACCCTTGTGATGGCCCGGTTATATAACTCAACATCAGCGGTATCATTGTTTTGAGTCACAGATAAGAGCTAAGTTGAAAAATGACGCGGGTGGTGCTTGCTTCCTGCATAGCGCATTATGGATGGACATGTACACTTTGGTATAGGCTTGTGTAGAACCAGTATTCCTTTTTGGCAAGCTTTGCAGTTGTAGTTCAGAGCCTAGCTCCATGTTCAGAGGCATGACAACAATCTCAACGTCTTCGTCTCCATTGCAAGTTACGCTGTGGTTCCTTTTTTTGCCATCGACTTTCCAAAACAGTCTGCCATTGCCAATTCCTGGTCGGGAACCCAACCCCTGATCCCTGTGTGACTTTTCAGCCGGCTGGTGCCAGAGGAGGATCTGCCATATAGCTTTATATATGTTGTGACCCCTCATTTAATTAGCATTGATAAAAACAGAGAAAGACTGAGAGAAGACATTTGCCTCGTCTTTACTGTGTGTTTCAGAAGAGAAAGCCAAGCATTACGATCCAGATGGAACGAAGACCGTCTGCAAACCAGAGCGACAACCTATGGAGGAATTACAAAAAGTACGTATGATTGAGTATTTGTTGAATGATCTTAGAATATTCAACAACAACCATGAAATGCAGATATTTTAGTCACTCCCAAAAGGATCGCCCTTATGCAGCGCCACCAAAATGATAATGCTTATAAACAACGAGGGTTATTTGAACTGAAGCCGCTGGACGATTACTTAAGAGCGATGTGGGACCGAAAGATGTGTTTGACAGGCGAATTCCCTCGGTGGACACGTCAAAAGTGGGACAAATATAACATTGTTCAATATTCAACACGAGCTGTGGTAGTTAATTAGAACTTTTGATTCATTTTGTGCATGAATATCATTTTTGTCTCTATCAGGCTGCAACAGCTCGAGACTTGGCGAGACGGGATTCTGCACGATATCCATGAAGAACTCGCCGGGGTTGATGAAACAAATGTAGAAACGAAGGTTAGAATTTTCGTCTCATGAATTGTGCATTTTACGAAACAATAGGAGCTTCAAAAATTGTCGAGACAGACAGTGTCGGGATCCAAAAGATAGGCCTAGATTACCAATTGACGTTCATTATGATTCTTGGGCTGACACCTATTTTGTCTGTCCTTCATTTCTTTCTCATCAAATATACAGGGTGAGTTAAAACAAACAAAGGTGGCAGGACCATGTTTCTAAGTTCTACATGAAGCACTTTCAAAATCTAGGAGTATACAAGTTCAGATAAACTTTCTTTTAGAACAAGAATCATTCAAATCACTCATGTGCTTTTCAAGTTACGGGATTTTAAAAACAGCCACCGTTTTAAAGTTCTGTCCAGGGATCACAAAAAAGGTAAGTGTTCTTTCAGCAAAACGAAAACACTTCACATAGGGATCACGGTACGTGAACTGTTTTCGTTTTGCTGGAAGAACACTTGCCTTTTTTGTGATCCGAGGACAGAACTTTAAAACGGTGGTGGTGTTTAAAATTCCGTAAATTGAAAAGTACATGAGTGATTTGAATGATTCTTGTACTGAAAGAAAGCTTATTAATTGGGCTTATATCCTAGAATTGAAATTACTACATGATGAACTTCATTACAAAAATGGTCCCGCAATGGGTTTCCCTTTTGGTTTGACTCGCCCTGTACAAAACGAGTCATTTTCTATATAGGGCATATGGCAAATACTACCAGATACACAAGATCTTGAAAATCTAAAGCGTCTTGGTTTTTGTTTGTTTGTTTGTTATTTTTTGGCAAATTGAAGTCTTTCATCCGTCCGGGCGGACTATATACCTGAAAACAATCATGTCATGAGTCATCATGATTCAGGGACTCACAATGATAACAACTTGTTTTTCTGGTTGACTAATCCGAATGTTTCCTTGTTCCTTATCAGATACGCAAGGAGTCGTTCCAAGGTGCGGAACATGAATCGGTAAGTTGTTTTTGTTGACGGCTTGTTAAACTTCTATCAGAACTCATCCACTTTGTATAATAAAAATGTACATTCGTGACTGCTGCTTTCCGTAGCCTTATGCCAAAATATCATTAAAGTAGTATGGTCCCGAGACAGCAGAAACATGGAGGAAGGATGACAGAAATTAGTTTAATAAAAAAAACATAGAATGAAAGCTATTGGTATAAAATGACGTCGCATACTGACGTCATCCGTTTCTTCGGAAAGACGATTGGGTGCATTTGTGATGGATGAACTTATCGGCCATCCGGGATTCAAGTTGACAATTTAACTATGAAGGACTCGGTAAATTAAAGGCAGTGAACACAGACTTTTCCGTACTCAATAAACAGAACAAGACCGAACCATAAACACACAAACTGCAGTCCACAGGGAGCTATGGTGACCACACGCCTCTGGAACACAGACAATCAGCGTGGGGCAAAACCGTGGGTTTTATACAGAATTAATACGGCTGGATTATATAATCAAATTCCAAGGGATACAGTGAATTCGGATACAGGCTGGTACAAATTGTGCGCAAAAAGGCGTGAAGATCTGTTTCTGTTCCCAAAAAAATAACAATAACCGCTAACATGAGTTGGTTGCTTGCTTGTCAACTTTAGCTGCGCCTACGCAATGACCTTGCGCACTTTTTTTGTAACGGCGGCAGACATGCGTGAATGATTTGGAAAGGTGTGTCAATGACGATAGGTTGGCCCGGCTATTTCCAAACGTTTATCATTCGAATTCACCGATTCTAATATTCAAATTCGTCCATCAACATCGATTGAGTGCACTTCCAATGTTTAATTTCGTCTTTTGTAAGACAATTTCAAATTTGGTTCAAGTAAATTCAAACAATGACGTATTCGTCCCAGTATTCGATTTCGTCTCGTCTCTGACGCCAAACCTTGTTATTAAGAAACCAAACTTTCTCGTATAATTGATTTAAGCTAATATATGAGACGAATTCGATCTCTGAATGCTGACCGACGAATGATCTGTAATGACGAATATTTTCAACCCGGTGACTAATTGAAATATTAACTTTGAAATTGAATGGTAAATGACTAAATTGGTTTTGTTAAAAGCGTGGGAAATTTTTCTAGGACGAAATTGAATGTTGGTGACTGGTGAGAGTTTGTGAACTTGAATGAAAATTGTTTTAAATAGCCGGGGAAAGTAATATGATGAAAAAATCCATTTCTCTCTTTGCTTTCGCAATCCAAGCTTGACTGATGACGTCATCTGCTGTCGTCACAGTGAAAACAGTATATTCAGTGAAGTGCATGGTGGCACATTCGCTACGCCACAAAGACAGTGGGAAAACAGTTCATTGTATAGAAAAGACACTATGCAGGAAGATTAATGCCGTGTCGAAAACAAATTCTGGCTGGTTTGTCCAAAAATAAGTAACGGTTATTGGTGAGCCCGTACACCGTACCGGAACGATTATAATCAATAAATTTGATTTGAAGCCGTTTTGAAGCCCTTGTTTTCCCAGAGATAAATTGTTGTGAGTACAGTCGAACTCTGATAAGAAGAGCACTGTTAATACGAGATCCTGCTTATAACAAGCAAAACTTTAGGTTTCAAGTCTTTGTTGTTCTTTGTTTTCCATTACCGTTAATACAAGGTACCTGTTATAATAAAGTAATTCGTAAAGTCCCAAGGACCTTGTTGTAAAGGTGTTCGACTGTACTGTGATTTGAGAAGTTTCACAGGCAGTTCGATTTTAGTTGGTCACGGACAAGATCGATGGTAAAGAAAATCAGAAACAGGGTAACAAGACTCGGATGTCAGGACGTACGTGCAATAAACCGGAAATCGACTTATATTTGTGTACATTATCTTTCAGTGAAAAAAATAAGTATTAATGTGGCGACTGAGTGCTCTATTAGGTCTCATGTTGCCCCACTTGCTCATGTTAGAAATAGTATCCCTGAGGTGGCTCAGTGGTGGTAACATTTCCAGAAAAAAGGTCCAAACATTCACGCTCTCTGAAGGTTAGATAAACAAATAGTACCCTTTTGCCTGCCATAAACCACACTTTGATGTTTGTGTGTTAGGGAGGAATTCCAGATAAGACAACGGGTCCTTATTACTGGGAAAGCTAAAGAATACAATGCTACTGACCTCAAACTCAAAGTAGGTCTGGAAGTTTCTTGATTTGAACTTACCAGCGATTTTAGGAAGTTTTTTTTTTACAAACGAAAACACCCGGGCCTAAACACTTCCTGTTGTTCAGATCTGTTTTGTCGAGCTTGATTTTTTAAATGCATGTGTATCAACCCACTTGTCTTTTCCCCAATGTTTGTGGAGAATACTACGGTATGTCTCCATGAACCATGAGGGGAATTTGTCACATGTAGACTTAATTATCTTTCAAAGGTTCGGTTTGACGGTATTTCCTGCAAAAACATGCCAAAAAGACACTAATATAAGGTCCACCCTTGACATTTTGAATTGGAAATTGTTCAACAGCTGTTTTGTATAAGTGTTAAACATTGAATTCCAAATCAAGGCTGATTTAGTGTGGCGGGCAAATTGTCGTAAATGACGGTTGGAATTATGAAGACAAAAAACGGTGACCATCTAAGCCTATGTCTTTTAAAATATAGTGATGTTTAGGGCTAGCCTATGTGCATAACTTTTATTGTCAGATTTGTTTTCGTCGAAAGTTCGATTAGGTGTAATTTGTTTTAGTCAATGGCCAAATGTTTTGATATCTCAAATGAGGCATAATGACAGCGTAATATTGATCACAAAATTTAGAATAATTGTGCCGTTTTCTTTTTCATTGCAAAAGTAGTTCCATTTGATCACGCACAAAGACAGATCGTGTAAATATAATGTCAATTCGATCCTGTGATGAATTTATACCTGTACTGTGTACAACTGCGCAGACTCGCGCTGTTTTGGGTTTTTTTTTGCTCCTTGGTACAATATGCGCGGGCATGTATAATGTTTGGAGACAAAGTCAGCCCCCAAAAATCAAGTGAAGGTGTCACTGTTGGATTTACGAGACATTGAAAAGTTTACTTAGAAACATGGTTCCGTACAGGAATGTTTCCGAGAAATCATCACTATGACCGAGTGTGACCACATGCACATGTTCTGCAGAGGTCTGAAAAACTGGTAGCCCCCCCCCCCCCCCCCCACTATACAGAAACAGAGTTAGAAGATTTGTTCTCCAAAACTTTATGCAGTTGTTTGTTTTGACTTCAAAACGATGTCGCTTAGTCATCACAATAGATGCACTTTCATATTGCGTAACCCCGGTTCAAAGCGTATCACAATCACCGTTTTTGAGGTCATCCTTCTAATTACGGAGTTCATTAGGTGACAGTACATCTGTCGTAACAACTCCTTCGTGTCATTTAGTTTGTCAGTTATTATCTTTGTTGTGGCTAATGCCACATCCGGTATTCTGTACATTTGTGTTCATTTTTTGTTTACACAAAGGAAGTTATCAATTGGGTCTAGTCCCTTGTTTATATTTCTGTATCCTTGGAATTAATTCCGTTGCAGGGGCGATTCACGGATTGAATATAAAATTTGCTCTGGCCCTGAAAGTTTTGTGTTTGTGTTTTTTAAGATTCTATTTGAGAAATTGTTCCAAATGTTTTGTTTGAAGTCCTTATGCAACAATAATATACGCATCGAAGACACTTAAATGTCTGGACACGAAATAATTTGTGTGCCAAGCTTTTCAATAAAAAAAACTAATACCCTTGTTTCACTTATTCTCAACTTTACTCTTTTCGTTTTTGTTGGGAAACAGAACTCCATGTTCGAGCAGATTCGTCAAGTCTTTATGCGTCTATCGAGTCTGAAGACCTATGACCGGCATTTACTGGAAACATGCATCAGGATTGTGGATAGCGAAGAGAGGTATGGAGCGTTTAACGGGCAATATTACATGTATTTATATGTCATGCTCCAAGTGCTAAGCTTTTTCAACAGAGGTTCAATCTACAATTGCGAAACATGACAATATTTTGCACTTCTGTGTTGGAATGGACCGATCCAGTAAGCTCCGCCCAGTGCGCACTTGGGCAAATTAACATGTGCTCCTCTCCAATGCCACGCTGCATTTTCCTTCCGCGCGCACCATACGCGCGTGCACGCATGTCGGACTTTTGTGCACGCACGTCGGACATAAATCACGGCTGTGATTGGTCAGAACACTATGGGGCGGTGCTTACTGGATCGGTCCATTACAGAGGGGGTTGTCCTTGTTCAGGAGGAAGCCATTTTCGATCGTGTTCCCTGGATCAGTTTTATGAATTAAAAACTGTTGAATGGGATGGTGCCAGACTGTTTTATGATTGGAGAGTGTTCCAAACCTCACTTTTAATTTTCTTTTAAATGTGGCTTAAAACATTAGGGTATGTTTAATCACAAAATCTTAAATTATTCATCAGAGCAGACTGGTATTAATTTGTAATGAACTTTTATTTCATTGCTTTCATTTCTACTCGCAAATTCCAACAATGAAGAGTTTATCTCGCTTTCAATTTAATTTGGCCGACTCATGAATAAAGCCTCATGAATAATGCATTAATGACCAGCACATGTGCAGAACGAGAAAGAAAAAACATCAAATAGTTTCTTCAAAGTGATTTCATTCCACTTTGTTAATTCTTTGTTTATTCGAAAGTTTAACAAATGAAAATGATTTACAAATAGATGGACAGTGTCAAAATCACACTTTATGATACTGTACATCAATTGAAAATAATTTCAAAAATACACAGAAAATTAAAAGGGAGCCATTTTTTTTTTAAATTGAAATGTATCTAATTGAAAACAATTTCGTTATTCCATGCGCAGGAGGGACAATGAATCCACCGCGAACGGCACAGAACACGACGGGCCAAGCGTCACTCCAGGCCGGCCGAAGAGATGGAGGGAGAAGTGTCTCGATGTCATCAAGTCCGAAGTTTCTAAAAGGTACGATTTTTAAGTACTTCCCTCCCCCAGTAATCCAGCGGAGCATGTTTCGATCGTTTGTGACCCAACGGACTGAAAAGGCTCTATAACATGTACATAACGTGACTATATGAACACAATTTCAGAACGTATATTCGATATAGATGACTTAAGCCTGAATGTTTAGAAAATTATTCTTTGTTTCGTACTTTTTCAAAAAGTTATATAGGGAACGAAATACATTGTAATTGTCTACACTTGTGCCAGTCCCCGATTTTGCCTCCCTTCAAAAAAATGCTTTGCCAAAAATGCTAAGTCTTATTTTTGTACAAAAGATCAATTTGACTCACTCCTTATTAATTGCCAATTTAGGTCGAAATGAATGATTTTGTTTTATCATTCCGGTTAGGGAACATTGTTTGTCGCTTCTTTGTTCAGTAACCTTAGTGTGTGTATGGATTTATGAGGACAGACATACAAAGGGAGAACAAAAGATCCTTTCAGTCCTCGAGCGTTGGGTCTTTTGTTGAAAACGGTTCCTCAATCGTATACGGTTAAGTGCTTAGTATTTGGGAGAGTGTTATAATAACAGAGACAAAGGGAATCACTTTGTCCTCGGGCGTATAGAAATTCACGACTGTGTGAGCTTTTGTGTGCAATATAGTGGTATGATATTATTCTGGAAACGGAAACACAAACTCAACTTTCACTTTCTAGGAAAAATCACAGTAATTTGACCTTTTGTGTGGAATAGTGGTACGTACGATATTATATAAAAATAGGTATTGAAAACCTTTTGCGGATACAGTATCGTTGTGAACATAAAAAAATGTCCTGCCTGTAAATTATACCCTTTAACTAGCCCATGTGGTCGTGAACTCTCTTACGGTACGTTCAGTCGTAGTGCAATGAATACCGTGTCAAACTTGGGCCGGAAACAGAAAAATATATGAGGCCATGTATAAAGTTTTATTACTCTTTCTTGGATATTTTGAAAATTATAGGGGGCTTAAGGGGAACCCAGGATATGAAGATTGAGACTCGGGGGAAAAACAAATTTAACAAAATGTTAGTTAAAACAGTGTTGTGGGAATTTGGTTTAGATTAAATTCGAGGAAATAACATACAAAACTCAAGTGTGGTCATAAACCTCAAACAAGGACAACTTATCGCAAGGGACATTGTCTTACACGAGCTACGTGAGGTTATACACATTTTAGTCTGAAAAAATGTGAACGCAACGGGGTCGATAAACACCTTGAAGACCACAAACAAAATGTTGCCCCAAGTTGGTTCTTTTCTTTCTTTCATTTCAGGCGGGTTTGTTTCTGCCATGGTACAACTTCACCCTCTTTAACCTATCCTTTGTGTAAATATCAATGCTTCATATTCGCTTGAAAACATCAGGACACACTTTGGGTTTATTTTGCACAATAGCAAAATGCTGTCTCTAAACATCTGAGGGCTTCTGCTTTGATATGTCACTAAACTTCTCACTGCCCCCCCCCCAAAAAAAAACCCCACAACACCTGAATTTCGTGTAGCACATTGTAACAGTCTGCTCATTAATTACCTGATTTGTCACGTGCTAAATAGAACGCTAAACTGAGATTTGATCTCAGACTAAAACATACAACATTTTGTGATAAGGCGGCTGTGTTACCGATTGCATCTATAGGACTACATGACTCCCGGTCATGATTATGGAAAGCTGCATTCGCATAAAAATATCAAGCATGAAGAATTGAGCACAAGACAACGGGCCGAGTTTAGAAAAACAAATAGTGAACACCATTATTTCAACACTCCAAAATTACCCGTAGTCTTTTGGGGTTAAAACTGCATGTGGTGAAAGTTTCCTCGAAAACAACTGGCCATGAGCCAGATTCCAGGCGTGCTTCGAGAGTGGTTTGCATTGGTCAAGGGGGAAAAAAATGGGAATTCCCCAAAACGATGTTGCAACATCATCAAAATTCCTTACCGGGAGCTTGGAGTGTTGGGACCGGTGATGGAGTGGGCCCGACCCGTCTGCAAGAATAACACGTCCCCGGCCCCGCATAGACATATATTCTTAATGGTGTCAAATGCGTGTCAAACGAATAAATACAACTTCTTCTCGCGAACATACCTCGGAGGTATTCTTTGTTATTTTCATTTAGTCACAATGAATGCACAAGAGTTTAATTCATGCCCATCCCAGTCATACAAAACCATTGCCCTCTGACTCCCCCTTAATGCATGAGGTCTATTGAATCGGGTTTTCTCTTATGACTATGCACAATACAGACTCAATTTCTGAAGCTCATGAAAGAAAAATATGTGAAACAAGATATTTCTTATTATAATTATGTGCTGATAAAGAAACCGAAATAGGGCCTATGCCCAGTTCGCGAATGGAATCAAACATGTCTTTTAAAATCGAACTCATTTTATGGCTTGCAAAATGTTGCTTCTAATCCTGTAGCTCCTTAAATTGGCCCCTAGTATACTGAACAGTCATCATCGCGATGTGCAAGATACGTGCTGATGATATATGACCTATACTGTGCGCATAACATGATACGAGGAGCATGCAATGCATGATGAACTTGTAATAAATTATTACAATGTCCCTCATGCATTGGGTTATGAAGCCCGGGAAGGGACAGGGTGGAATTTTTTTTTGGAATTTCCTAATTCGTTCGCACGAATTAGTAATTCGTTCAAACGAATTACTAATTCGTGCGAGCGCATTACTAATTCGTGGGAACGAATTACTAATTCGTGGGAACGAATTAGTAATTCGTGCGAACGAATTACTAATTCGTGCGAACGAATTACTAATTCGTGCGAACGAATTACTAATTCGTGCGAACGAATTAGGAAATTCCAAAAAAAAATTCCACCCTGTCCCTTCCCGGGCTTCATATTGGGTCGACTTTCGCCGCATGCAAACAGCATTCACAAGCCGTGCAATGCGCCAGGTAATGTGGATGACTGAGTGAAAGTTCAAAGCTCGAAGAGAGACTACACGGGGAATCCCCCTCGCATCCCGCGCTGAGGAATTCTTTCCCAATCGATGATGATCGCGCTTGCACATTGACACGGGCCTGGGAATTCCACTTCGTAGAAGAAGCGTTGTTCCTTTTCCAGATGGCCGAACATTCTTGTTTACATGTAACTTATTGTTTTGATGTGCATGAAAAAGAATAACACATGTATCGTGACAAAACAATACGTGTTGTTCTGGAAAAGATTGGGGTTTTCTTCTTACTTTAAATCAGCTGGCATTATCAGTGAATCATCCCCCCGCGATTTTTGCAGCGCTAATACTTTGAATGACATTTTCGAACGTTTAGATGACAGCCTTGCCATCACTGTGCATCCCAGGGTAGTTTTCACCCCCCCCCAAAAAAAAAATCAAGTCTTTAGATATTAACCCCTTAAGGACGGGTTATAATGGGGACATTCCTCCACACATAGAGCAAGTGGCCCGCATAACTGCACAGCCTTTGTGTGGTAGCGGGACTGCACAAAAGCAGCAGCTGTGGAACTACCCACTAGCCGTGTGCCACGGCATACCACAGCTGGCAACTGCATTCCAATGAGGATTAGCGGCCGCGGCCATGACCGCTTCCCGTGCGCATGGGGTTAACAAGATATTGTGTATATCAGCCAATGTTTAAAACTGATGTTCAGGAAAACGTGGATAACAGTGCTAATGTCGAGTCTATCACATGGCATGTCAATTGCACAAGTCTACAAATCCATCATGTAAGTCAAGTCACAAGCTTTTACTGTGACAAATACATCCCTACATCATGCATTGAACTGTGTTTTGTGACTGGACTTTCGATGCACTTGTGATGGAATTGACTACACGGCCTACACCCCTGGCTGGCGAGGGCGTGTCAATGGGGGGGGGGGGGGGAGGGCAAACGGGAGCCATGGCCCCCTCCCCCCAAAAAATAATAAACGAACCCAATTTTTTTAAGCGATGTCGCAATAACCACCATCCTTTTCCCCCAAAAAATTGGTCAAAGTGTTCAGAAATAGCCTCAGATCGCACCACAGAGCATCTAGAATCAAAACAAAATTCGAGGTCCTTAAGCGGGCCCCGAACCCCACGCCGTATTTTTGGACCCACTTTTGGGGGACGAATTTTTTTTTTGCCCCCCCCCCATTGTGTTCTGGATCCGCCCTTCCTGGCAGGTAGAGTGTATACCCCCCCCCCCCCAATCGGCACACATTCCTCCCCCATGACTGCCCAACTTTTTTGTGCGCAAAAAAAACAACTTAGGATCATATAGAAAAAAAAAGACAAAATATCCTGCTGTTGCTAAAGTACATGTATACAAATCGAAACCAAATTTAACAACCCCAACCTTCTCTTTTTATGTTAATTGGGTCACGATCGGGGATGTGTTACAGGATTTCCTGCATTTCTGGGTTGAAGAAAACATTTCTTGTGATGTATATTGCCTTTTATTTCCTGCAAAAAAAATGTCAGAGCCAACTTTCTTTACATCAGTGTCATATAAAATCCATCTGTATATTCACATGTCCGTGCAATACGAAACAGTAATTGAACGAAACTTGAAACAAAGGTTATAACTCAACCTCTTGGTGTCTCCGTTACCAGGGCTTCCGAGACAGCGCCCTCACACGACATTCTAGAGGAGGACAAGGACGGCAGCCGTCTCCTGCAACGCCTCACAAAGGCCAGAGATGCCATCTTGAAGGACTTGGAGCACGCCAAGGTAAGGCGCGTTGCGCGTCTGCGCGTTCGCGCGCACTTGAGAATTCAGCCAATAAGATGGCAGGAAAAGAAGAATCGTCACTGCGCATTTAACTAATGTAACATGTTAGCTGGAGGCTAAGGGATTTAATCAATGTTTTATCTCTTTTAAATAGCGATTGTTGTTGATGATCCAGCCACGATGCGCTTTCTTCATACACTCCTGTATTTTACCGTTTTCTTTCTTTTGATATTTGTAAAATCCCCAAAAGAGGAGACCAAAATTTTGAACTTCTTGTCTGTGGATTTAAAACTGACTTTTTCAACCATTTTTTTCCTTCTTAAGGATCTTAGTCAACTCTTCACGGAGGAATGGGACATGTACAACATATACGTGATGACGTATTACGAAAACGTGATGTCACAGGTATGTAAATCAGTTATGTAAATCCATTTAAATAAATATGCATATTGTGAGTATGTAACCTATGATATGAGAATCGTCCTGGAATTGGCTGATAAATATTTTGTATGTTATTTAATTCAGATGCATGACAGATTTTCGTTCGAACTGAATCAAACGGAAACTGTACAAGTCCTCTCCTGGATGATCTTATGCCGGTAAGATTCTACATGTTGAATATTCATGACCATTAAAATTGATGAAGACGCTTATGAATATTTATAAGAACATGTTAATGGTTGTTACTGTGAGCCATTGGTGCTCGATAAAAAAATTGAAATAACAAAATTGAATCATAACAGAAAGGATATATTCTTCTTCTTTTCTCAAATAAACCACAGGTTTCCTAGGTGTGATATAATATTTTTATCTGAAGGTCACAGGTTCAAAACCCACTCCAATCAATTTCATTGTTCAATTAAAAAAAAAATCCTTAAAGGGAAAATACAACATTTGCAAACATCAAAAAATAAAACTACTAAATCATTTTGAAATACCTTGCTGGACTGTTAGTGAATGACAGTGTAAAGCATCCTGTAAAATCATGGCACCTGGTATACTGTCATTTTCAAGAAAAGTGGTATTTTTGTGTCAATTTCCAACGCTGATCGGCCGATCAGCGTTGGAAAAAACTGGCTTTTTTTTCAAATACTGGCCCCAGTTGACCATCGCACTTGTTAATGCAATCGATTACACACCTATGAACGGGTACAAGCCAGCTAGACTGGTTCCCTGACCTTACAATTCCCCAATATATGTAAACTGCTCTGTTTCTTCTTAAATGGAGTCAGGGAATCAGACTACAGGAAAATGATTGTTTTTCTTGGTTTTTATAGCATTTTCGAACCCAAAACCTCAAAAAAGTCAGTGTAACTATATTTGCTATATATTTCCAACCCCCCAATTCCATCCATTTCTGAATATTACAGCAAAAGCAAATGATGTATATTCCCTTTAATTTTCACAGCGATCGAGTCTTCAACTGCCAGAATGCCGACTGCAAACCTTGCCAAATGATTGTCCAACTTCAGGACAAGTAAGTGCTGAACAAACAACTGTCCTGTGCAAAATACCTTTGTCATAAAGTCTCAGATAATCCACTTATAGCTCGGTTTGAATCGAAGAGGGCCGGGGGCCAACGGGAAATCTGATCAAACCCGCGTCTTACTCTTGGTATAAGCAGGTTTTTAAAACCTCTTGCATGATTCAGTGGATTATTTGAAGGTTTATCTCTCAACATCCCTACACTTCATGAATTAACAACGCAGAGTTACAGGTTGAATAAATCTTTGGTATATGACTTACCTGACTAATAAGTACAGCAGATTGGTGATAAGATTGTTCAGTTTGATGATACAAGTATGAAATTTGGCACACAGTCAGAGTATGTCATGGGAAAGATATTTGGCTATATAGAGCCATCGCAGATTTGTCCTTTGAAAACACATATCCGTATTGAATAACAAGCAGTTTTCCAAATTTTCAAAGTGGCGGCCATTGCATGTTATTCAAGTTTTTTTCAAAGGACAAATCTGCAAATGGCCCTATAGCCATATATCTTTTCCATGACACACTCTGACTGTGTGCCAAATTTCATACCTTTATCATCAAATGAACAATATTCCATTGTGCACCAATTTACCTGACTATAGTTTGCTTATTACGTCATCATTGCATCTGATGTAAACCTGATTTTACCAGACTAACACGTCTGTCCTATCATATCGTTTTAATAGTGCGAATTGCATATTTGTTAATCTTAGTATCAGATCAGTTAATTGATTTTTTCCCCTTTCTTTTGTCAAACAGATTCCTCCGAGAAAAAAGTGTTCACATTCACGAGTGGATGGAAAACGCCCTCAAGAGAGACATCAGTGTAAGTCACTTTATACCTTAACGGACGATTCTCCGTGCTATTTTCGAGTCTCACCTCGAAAATAGCTTAACAAAACTTGAGCAGTATAAAAGTGAAAGAGACAATGAACTGAACAACCCACCAAAAATTAGTAATTGAATTATTTCTTCACAAAACTAGTATCGGCTGCCAAGTAATAATTCGGCTCTCACACTATCACAAGGCGGGTAATTTGTGCACAAAATAAAACGCCTTTTTTTTAGAGGGTAGCGGACGCCCAAAATCGGAATAAAGTTTTATTTTTCGTTAAAACACAATAAACAAATTCAAAATTCATTAGGAGAAATAAAATCTATTATTTTTTGAAGAGCATGGGATACGCATCTTTAACAGTCAATCCGTGTATTTTTTTCTTTTTAAATACTCCAACATTAAAATCATATCCACCCTGACGTTAAGGGTAATATTATCATGTTGATACGTTTTTCATTCATTTCGGTATTTTGGACTCTTTCATTTTTTTTTCTCAGGACTGGCGGAGCGAAGAGAGACCAACTGCCGACCACTCGGGGGCGCTGTACTCGCACTTCCCAGTGGACATCCTGCAATTGCTTGAGGAAAATGTAAGTTGATCAGGGAAACCATATGCCATCTTTAGACTATCGAAAGGATAACATTGCCGTTAAGATGTTTGTACTCCTCTCGTAAATAACTTTGTTTGCTTCGTTTACTTTGGTAAAGACCACATCCTGAACCATTTTAATACTAGAGTTGGAATGGTCATATCTGCAACAAACCTGACACGAGATAGCGTCTTTAAATTTTATTTTCTTCATAGTCTCCAAAACTTCGGAATTTGATTAATAAACGGTATTTGTTTGGATAAAAGGAAATATACCTGCCAGAATGGAAGTGTTTTACTTTTTCCTGGTAACCTCGGAAATACCACCTTTTTCTTTTCAATTTTTAGATGAGACAAGCCAAAGACATAAGCCTGGAGTTGCATGGACAGATCTCCAAAGTGTGTCTGAAGGAACTGGACGCCATCATGGAGTCATATACAGGTGAGTGTCCAGCTGTGCATTGTGGGTATTATGGGCACAGGCTTACGCTAATCTTTCACATGGGAGCTGTTTGCCCTTCAACTATTTTTTTTGGCGGGAAACGGGTTAATCCAAGCCATTGTAGTTGATTAATCAGATTGTTTGATGATTTGGTTTGTCGATTTGGTTTATCTATATCAACTGAATGATTTATAGCTTAGTTGAATGATTATTGGTTATTATTGATTCATGATAGTTGATCGTGTAACAGTATACCTGTCCATGGATGTATCTATAACGATCTATACATCGGTCGATTGACCAATACTTTTTTATTGATTCTAAAATGTCATCTTCAGATCGATTGACTTACCACATAATTCATTGGTCGATTGATCATTATTGTCTTTATTTGCATGAATGATTAGTTGGCCGACCGATTGATCGATTTTTTGTTTTGTTTCCCATCTTACAGCTAATGCTAAGTCCTACATCAACCAGGACCAGGCCAAGCCCGCGCAAGGCGGCAGAGCGCACCACCGCGTCTCCCCACCGCTGCGCCACGGTGCACGCAAGAACTCCAAGGAACAAAGGCCCACCCACTTCGAGAAATACGTGGTGAGATTATTTTCCCAATCATCAGCGGTAATACTGTCTAAAGCTGAGCGCATTGCGCATGTCTGTCAATCAAATTGTTCGCCATTTACCAATGGTATGGTTAGGGGCGGATCTTGCGAGTAGAAATGAAAGCAGTGACATAAAACTTCTTTACAAAATTAATACCAGTCTGCTCTGATGAATAATTTTAACCTTGTGATTAAACATACCCCAACGTTATAAGCCACATTCAAAAAAAATTAAAAGCGAGGCTTGGAATGCACTCAAATCCTAAAATAGTCTGGTACCACCCCATTCAACAGTTTACAATATATACAATTGATTAAGGGAACACGATCGAAAATGGCTTCCCGTTGAATAACAGTATGTTCATGAAATAGAATGTAAGACAAGCCAGCGGCTCCACACACTTTGTAGCCGCGTCCTCAGTTCACAATTCAGCTTCTCAGCTGCGAGTAAGGATGATTAGCCTCCCAAAATTATTATTATTTACGAAATGTGTCATCCATATTGAAGAAATATTTGTATTGGGCATTCAAGTTGCTGTCATTGTTTGCTTTACAGGTTGCCCTGCTGAACAACTTCGATAGGATCACCGGACGTCTTCGCGAAATGACGGTAAGTTGGGCCTTTGTTGGATAAAAAGTAGTCCTATTGATTGATATTTCTTTGCATCTTTTGGAGAAGGGAACAATAGACGTTTCTGAGTGAAAATAAGAGAACATTTAAGACGTTCTAAGGTGTCGCAGTTAAAAAACAAAATTCTGCGATGATGTAAAAGAACAATGCGCAATTTCTTTATGGTGTTCGTAATAATTATCTTATGATATTAATATTAATGATCATATGTACTAGGTATCATAGCAAGAAAAGCACATTTATGTGAACATTTAAATGATTATTCCTGATATAAAAATTGAATGTGCCGCAACTCGAAGTGATCTTTGTCAACTTTCCACTCATTTTGTAATATCTAGCTCACCGTTACACCAACAGCACATGTGTAATATCAAGACAAACGGATCTTTCAAAGTGAGGACTGTTGAGTGGTTGAGAATATTTTTGGTTTTCATTGTTGTTTTTTTCAGAAGGAAGTGGGCGAGGCCCAGAAACAGTTAACAGAAGACAGCAGAAACAATAACAATATGCAGCTTGACGAGGAACCAATGCAGAAACTTATCCAGAAAGTCGAAACGCAAACGAAAGTCTGGTAGGTATAACAAACGAGACTTTCAGAATGTGAAACCAGAAAACATTGCTGACTGTTCACACAAGTCATGTCAGGCCTTTTAAACATAATGTCAGGCCCTTTTTTGTTTTTGGTTTTTAGAAAAACCCTAACCTACGGAATGACTGCACCGGTATAAAACACCTTTTGAAACTATTCCTGAGGCATATTGCTATTAAAAAGAAAATCATTAATGAAAGGTTGGGAGTCAGGTTGGTGTATATAGCGGTACTTTCCTCGCCTTCCACCGCTGTGACCCGGGTTTTAATCCCGCCTGGGCCAATATGTGGATTGGGTTTTCAGTCCCTATAAAATATACCTGATTCTGTGGGTTTGACTCAGAATATTCTTCTGGAGTTTTCCTCCAACCTCTAAAACTGTAATTGCTTCTCAATGTCTTCTCAGGTTTCTTCAGGCTTGCGAGCTACAGTGCATAGGGCGCTTTTGAAGATATCCTTGGTTTCGTTACCAGAAATAATAAATAATAATAATAATAATAAATATAATAATAACTAAATTAAAAGACCATCTTTGGTACACTTTTGTCATCGGACTGTAAGAACGGCTGATTGGTAAACGATTATTCTAATAGGCCTACTTAATATAATTTATGAGATTGGGGATAGGCATTTAAATCAATGTTCAATTGATTACGGGTAGATTTTTTTAAAAAACCAACAACAACAACGATAAAGAACTTGTTTACTTGTTTAAAATGTTTATTGTTTCTTGTCTTATTTTCCTCTTCAACAGTTCTCGACTACTACTCCCGAAACTCATGAATGACATCAATTCTGAACTTGCCACGCTTCTGACCCCAAATTGGTATGTATAGGTATGGCCTACTTTGTAAACATTTTAAAAACCGATGCTACATTTAGAATTATCTTTATATCGTATTAATGTTCGTATTGTTTTATATTGACTTCAGGTTGACCGGAAACGGTAGAGAAGCAGTGGACACGATGTGTGATGTGATGACGTCATACTTACGTCACCTCCGAGAGCCCGTGCGCACGTGGTTGATGCCTGCGATTGAGGAGATGCTCATTGTCGGTTACATGAAAGGGCTTACAGACAAGTAAATATGAGACGGATATTTAGTACGATTGCGAAATTAAACTAAAAATAAAACATGTCAGTCTTTTTGGCCAGCTGGACAATTTACCGTTATCTTGCTGCCACCATTTCAGTCATGTTCCCTGTATCCAGTAATAGTACTGAATGATAATGTTTTTTGTGCCAACAAAAACCAGACTATTTTTCCTTCCAGCCTCGCTTGGGTTACGTTGATTTGAATGGGGGAAAATAGAGATGGCCGCAACATGATAATGATCTATTTCGTTGAATTTCTTGTACTTTGAAAGTAGTATGGCGAGTTTGTACGGTCTCGATGTTTTCCTCTCATAAAGATTTTCTCTTCATTTCTTCGAAACAGGAGGATTACTCTGAAAGGAGACATGAAAGACCGACAGAGCCTATTCGATAAGATATGCCGGGAGTGCCAACAACTGGAAAAGTTCTTGGAAGAGTTCAGCGTAGTGAACGGACAGGTATAAACAGAAAAGATAAAATTGTGCCCGTAGATTATAAAGTCCTCAGTTTGTTGTGTTGTGTTTCCTTTTGAGTAGTTCCATGAACTTTGACCCTGATACTATGATGTCATCACTTGAACATTCTATTTTGGGATTTTGTTGCAGATTTCTCGCTGGGATGTGGTTCGAGAGCTGGCCAGTCTAGTCCAAGTTAGCGACCAGCAAACAGTCAACACTGAGTTAATTGTGAGTAACTGACCAGTTCCTTATAAAAACCGTGTAGAGTGTTCCCTGTACGAACACGCATTCGCAGCTAACTTGAAATTTGTCCATAAAACTGGTAAGACTCCTACATCTCCGGCATAAATATTGGGACTTTTGGCAGTTTTATGATTTCATCGAAAGCCCGTGCCTTTTTGTAGTTCGTGGCAATGTATTTATGTGATACTGTCAGAGCATTCAGGTAATCCTATAATTTGATACGTCAACAATTTTCCTTTTTGGTCGACTCAGGTTCTTGCCAACAAGTACCCTGATATTACCGATAAACAAGCCAGGCATGTGCTGAAAGTGCGCGGAGACTTCACCAAGGCGCAAGTCAAAACGGTAAGTCTTGATTGGGGTACGACAGGAGCTCATGGTGGTGAGTGAAGTGATGGTGGGGATAGTGGTCAAGTTGGTGACTATTATGGCGATAATTGTGTTGAACAGTGTGGTGATAATGACGATGAGACGCAGAAGACAGTGGTTTAAATGACCTCGCAGTTATGAAAGTAATACCATTGACTACGCAAAGGACGATGATGCGACGGATGATGACATTGGTGACAATAACGGCGACGATGACGGTTCAAATCCACAATGACAACGAGAATAACGATTGTAGATATCATGACATGTCATCGTCTTTGTGAATAACCTCAGTCTAAATGATATTGTCACTGTGTCACTTTTTCCAGATTGTCTCTACATCCTTGGGCAAGAAACGGAGATCGGTCAAGGGACAGAAAAAAGTGACCATCTTTTCCAGACTGCCTTCAACTTAAGGAGAAACGCCACACCAAACCGGTGGAGATTCGACTGCCTGACCGGACTGCCTGACGCACTGTGCCCAATGGATTCTCGTCACTACCACACTGCACCATTCGCGAATGGTGCAGTCACACATAATGAACTTCCCCATATTTATAAGGGGACTGTAAAGTGTACATGTGTTGCACATAATTTATATGACACGTAAAATATACGAGTACGCTACACCATTTTTTGAAATTGTGGATGCAAACCAAAATACATCTGCTTCGGAACCTTCTGTTTGGACAAGTTTAAATTGACAAACGCATTGCGGTTAGAGAAAATAATTATTAATTACAGGTGTTTTGTACCATCTTTACATTTTGCAAACTTGATAACCGTCAAATCGATGCTTTATATTTAGCTATTGTTGCAATATCGCTTTGTAATAGACCTGAGACGTGATGACGTAATGGCTGTGTTTACATATGCGCTTTCCTATGGGAGCGAAGTCGGGACACCAGCTTTAGTGGGGACCGTCTACTTCATAGGAAAGCGCACATGTAAACAAAGCGTGACGTCATTACGTCTCAGGCTTATTGGCCAAGCTTGTGTTGATTTTGCTTAGGCTCTCGGCTTACATGGGCATTGTTACATACCTTAACTGCCAGTAAGGGGTATGGAACGTTTCTCGAGAAAATATTGACTATGCAAGGTTCGTTACGCAATTTTGTTCTTCATCGCAATTATTTGCTGTGTGATACTTATTTATGCAACTGTACACATTCAAAATGAGGCTTGTTGGTTATTAATTCAATTTTGTGGTGCAAACTGTATTTTTTTAAATATATTTAAATATTTATATTTGTTTTACATCGTGTAAATATTAATGTTAAGTTTCTTCGGAGTCATTGTCCTCCTGACACTGTGCCATACTGTTCTGCTTTGTTTCTCGAACGTAATTAATGCATAGTTTGAAGAATACCATTACGTTCAAAAGCAGCTGATTGGTGGCAGATAAAAAAAACCTCCCCTTGCATTGCTGTGAAGTAGCTTTGACCCATATGAAGCAATTTCGTCTCCGATCCTCACTTCGTGCGAACAAAGCATATTTTCTGTCTTGTCAATCGTCTTGAAGACTTATGAGCTAATTATAAAAAGGTACACTTTGTTCGTGAAGTGGTGGAGAGGTTTTGCTTTCCACGAGACTATGAAGTATAGGTCTACGTTTATCACGTGTGTTTGATAAAAAAAAAAGCATTAGAAATAGGTTTACTTATTATAAATTATGCATTCTTTCGCTCCAGCAGAGTGAAGTTGTGCTTAGAAAAGATTTAGTGATAATCAATTGAACAGGACTTTGATGCTTATGAACTAAAACAGTATTTATTATGTTCTCTTACGGTACTTAAATCGTGTCTGCTGCCTGTATTATAGTATAGAATTAAACTGAGTGTGCCTACATGACTTTCAAGTGTCTGTAAACATCAAATAACACCTTCATTTCAATCGCGCTAATTTAATGACCCCTCAGCTCTGCAGTTGGGCAGATGAAAGCGTAAAAATGTTGCAAACAGTGAAATCGTAATTCAAATTGGACTTCAGATAATGTTGTTATACATGACCCAGAAGCTGGACGGGGATTCTTTCTCGAACACGTTGTTCGTAAAAATTGCGAATTTACTCCGTCCCGACACACCTGTAGCGCACCTGTATCGCTTTGTAAAAATATTGCCCGCGTTTGTACAAAAAATAGTGTAATACGACTGTCTTTGGAACTGTTGCTATAATGGCCGACTGTGGTTTCATTTTATTACAAATTTGAGTGTAAATTATCAACATGTTTGTTAAGCCAACATGTGTAAACAATGTGATTAAAAACATTGAAATAAATCGAAGTCAAAATGCTGTTTCTATATTGTGTGTATGTATTTTTTTTCTTGGTTTTTGCTAGGCCTACATAATCTATTAATGAAAAAAGTAATGATAATACACGCATTGTCAACCAGGTTTATTTGGCATTTAATATCAGTTCTTTGTCGTGTTTCTCTTCTCGAAACAATACATTAAACAACTGTGCGCAGTTACAAATCGAGGTAACACACTGAGTAGACCGTGTTTATACGTCGGTGAAGGGCAAAACCTACAATTGATTTATACCACCCGGACGCAAATTCAATCTTGAGTATAATTACAAACCAGTTCTTCATTTTCAGACTGAAGCCATTTAGGCCCCCATCCGCTCCGTTCACAAGCACCCCCTCACCGGCAAAGGAAGTACAGTAGGGGGTGACCGACTGTACGCCATCTTGCCTGACTGCAATTCATTTGCCGCGAAGCGCGGCCACTGCGTGTAAATAGAACAAATCCCCTGGTGTACGTGCGTCACACACAAGGAACGGTGCGCGTCAACCAGTGAAATGTCCCGCCCATGGGGCGTCGTTGTTAGGTAAAAGGGCGCCCTCTTTTGGTAGCGCACGGAGCTCATACGGCACTTTTGGTCACGTGTATCGACCTTTCTTCAAAATTTTGATCCGTCGGCCCGACTGTCCAATCTATTTTTAAAAAGTCCAAAGTTTACCAACAAGAAAATCTAACGCAAACGTCAAGCAAAATACGGTCAAATTACTTAAGTACAATACTAAGTTACTACCGGTATTCAGTGGCGTAGCCAGGAATTTTTCAGGGGGGGGGGGGGGGGGGCCGCTGGGGGGGGGGGGGGCTGGAACATTTCATGGGGGGGGGGCGTCATGTAGATCAATGATAATTTTTTAGAAACTCAAAATCTCAGTGGGGGGGGGGGGGGCGACAAGGTTTCTTGAAGGCTGTCGCCCCCCCCCCCCCCCACGCCCCCCGTGGCTACGCCACTGCCGGTATAATTGGAATGACCACAAACACATCAACTAAATCAATCACGTATATCGCAGAAACGAACTACCAACAACCATCGGTGTCCAAAATCATCAACAAGAAACCGTTATCCGTTATCACAATCATCAACAAGAAACCGTTATCCGTTATCACTCCTTTAAGGCCGTGTTTATGCCTTATTTTTTTCATAATTATCAAGTCATCTTGTGTCATAAAATATTTAATTTTTTTCTCATCGAAATCATCGTTGTCGTTCCGAAATGTCAAATATATACAGCCAACTAATACATGTAACGTGAGTGTTATATAGCCGCCTTATTTTGAGATAATTTTAACCAACAGCGCACTTGGCGAGGGCTACATAGGTAAATAATCGAGCATACAGCCAGTACAATAAATAATGTATAGGCCTATAACTCCTGTTTCATAACCCAATGTTGAATTGTGCATGTCATATCTTTTGTTCATCCTACAGGCCAGACTATAAATGACCTGAATAACACAATTATTGTAAATTACCAGGATGTACTCTATGAAGATAAAATGTCCAACAAAGCGTTAGTTAATTTTGTCGATGATTTATCTTGAGGAAATCTCAGGAGTTTTCCGATGTCCGTCTCTGTGGCGCTAGCGGCGACCCGTGCGGCACCCAGCCGCTGTCCGAGGCGGGTAGGCCTGTCTGGACGCTCTCCTGCGTGCCTACCGGGGTCGCACCTGGGGTCGAGACCGCAAAGGCTGACCCGGGGAAGAGGCTGTGGGTACCGAACTTGAAGTAGATCCTCAAGCCCGGCACTATGAAGAGCCTGGCGTCGGGCATGCACTGGTTCATCCAGATTATCTGAAAATGAAAACGAGGTCGTAAGATAAAACAAAACCAAACGTTTAAAAATGGTTAAAGAGGGTAATGTGAAATGAACTTGACGTATTGTTTTCGTACCGTTTTCTATTATTCACAAAACGATTTTTATGACATCACAAAAAAAATTACGTTGAAGACTTAGAGACATGAAAACCATCACTGCCCTTTGAAGAAAAGAAAACATGACCTTTTGACCTCTTGGGGGCAGCAGACATTTCTGACCTTAAGACTAGTATGTGCCTAGCACGGTGGGAAAACCTATCTGATATGATCGACGGCGTCTTTCAAAAACGGCGTCAGGATACCGCACATAATTTGAACAGTGAATACAGTAACGTTCTCATATACGCATCTCGGTATATCTTCAAGTTCAAAACAGAGTAAAAAACAACCAAAAAAAAGCATGGCAGCCAACGCAAGGATTTCAGAAAACATTCTCATCAATAGTGTATATACCTTGCCACCAGTATCCACGATCTCGATCAGCCAGGTTTGTTGACGGTCCGTTTGGAGCGCCGCCATGTGACTGATAATGTCGCAGTGCTCATCCCGCTGCGTCACCGCCAAATCCACGCAGAACCCCGGTGTAAGGTAAGTGGCCATCTGAGAGAGTAGACCTTCGAAGGTGAAGTAGGGTGGGGCGATAGCTCGGTAGGTCAGCTGCAAGCGAGGGGTGTCAATCTTGACCACTACGTCCCGCTGCATTGTTGGGGGGGGGGGTGAGGGGAGGGGTACATGGAGAGATTAGATATGAAATCCGACATTGGAAAGTAGCCGTTTTCGAACTGGTGAGAAATGTGTTGGAATCATTGTGACGCACAACTAGCTGAAAACTTGCTGAGGTACGATATATGATTGCTGCAACAAATTAAAGGTTAGAATACCTTAGAAATTGTAATCAAGAAACTGAGAAGGGTGCTACTGCAGCGTGTCTCAAACAAAACTGTAGCAGTCAAACAACCAGTATATTGGTTAATTTGGGGTTTTTTTTTGGTATAGTAAAAGAATTCACCAGAGAACATACAGTGTTTCTTTACCCTTGACAGGATTTTAGTTCTGTGTGACTTGGACCTTTTGTTTAAAAGTTACGGCACAACTTTTACTGTCAAAATTTGTTTGTGCCACTTTTCAGATTATATGGTATCTAATGAAAGGCATTCACATACCAAGGTGTGTGAATTAGATACCAGATAATCTGAAAAGTGTCCCAACTTGGAATTCAAGTCCTTTCATTTTAATTAGCCTTTTTTCTGGACTGGGGTGTCCAAATGAGATGGGATAAAGACCATTGTGTAGAGTACTTACTATACCTTTAGACTCTATAGATAGGCTACGTTTTGCAAAAAGAGAGTGCTAGTATTTTTGTGTAATATTTATGGATTGACTGCTAATTTTTTTGTTTGACACACGCTGTACTATAGTATAGCAGTTGTTTTGTACTGGCGCTTTGATTACTATAATAAACGGCAAAATGTTGCCAGGCCACTTTGGCCACCATCAGAAAATCAGGACAAAATGTTGTTGGGTCTTCGATGATAACATTTTATTTTCCGCAGCATATCTATTTCTTGAGCCCCAAACGTCATGGATACAAAGCATTAAATCCGTTATCCAAAGGGCCTGGCACTATTGTGTTGATGAAACACCACAGGAAGATTACAACAAACGACTACACGAAATCGCTTCCGGGCTCGATATTAACAAAAATAAAATTGTTCAATCCCACGCAAAGATAACTAGCCCTCGGTGTTATTAGGTATATATACGATTTACCTTTACGGCCCAAGTTGGATTACTCTCTAGCGACAATAAGCTGACGTCTCTTTGGCATCAATCAAGTCTCTTTTCTTTGATTTCGCCGATTAACAAGTTTGAAGATTATTTTCCCTCGCAGTAGATCAACAAAAACTGACTGACATGACAAAGGTATTCTACCCCCACACCGGTTGCGTGTTTTCTAAGAGCGCCTCTGGCCGTTGTGTCTTAATGCTCGCGTGACGTTCAAAACATGCGGAGTTACTTCGACCGAAAGGTTAAGAAGCCGTACCGCAATAGAATTACCTAAAACGCGTGGGATTGATTATACACTTTGCAAGCAACTCCCGGTTTACATCAAAGTTTTTTTTCATCGAATCCTCCTGGATGAACAACTTTGCAAAGGAATAATGTCGCCAGTTAGGGACACCGGACATTGCCCTGAAACTGTTCATAATACTAAGTGTGCAAAAAAGTGCAACATTCAGAAAACAAATAAATAGTTTAATAATTTTGTCTCCAATGAGATTATATATTACATTAAAGCCTTATTTCTCAATCCACTTCTTTTTACCCCATTCCATTCGGGTTCCTAGATCCAAAAATGTAATCAAGTAAGTGAAAGGGTGTACAGTTTACTTGGGCCACTCTCACCTGGACATGCTGAATCTGGGTTAAGCATTGAATAGGCATTGAATAGGCATTGAAGTTGGTGATATCTGTACTTTGTGTTGAAGAATGCTCAATGAAATAAATGAGACAGATGAATCTCATTGTTACAGGGTGAGTCAAAAAAAGCGGAACCCAAACCCCAAAAATTATATTTCATATTTAAAAAATATGCAGCACCCAAAAAATTATGACTGGAAAGCCAATTTCATAAGCTACTTTTGGATGAAAAAAATCCTGAAATTGGTCAATGCGTTCAAAAAATATCGCCATTTAAACACAATGACACTAAAACCTGTCTCGTCCAAAAAATGCGATTTCAAGATAGAATCGTCGTCACTATTGTCTTCAAACATCACCAGCGATGAAATCTTAGTTTAAACGTTAACAATATGCAACAACGTCCTTTTGAAGGCCCGTCTTTTAAAAAAGTAGATTTTGTAAATCATATTGTTTGCCTAACCAGGGTTGTTAATCAAAATATTGTGTGCTACAGTTGGGGACAGTTGTTGAAACAAGTATTCTGTGTCATTTTCTTTGTTGTTCCAAACAGTCAAAACACACAATAAATTGATTTTTGGACGAGACAGGTTTTATGGTCATTGCGTTTAAATGGTGATATTCTTTGAACAGATTGAGCAATTTCAGTTATTTTTTTTTTTATCTAAAAGTAGCTTTTGAAATTGGCTTTCCAGTCATTATTATTTTTGGTGCTACATATTTTATTAAATATGAAATACATTTTTGGGGGTTTGGGTTCCGCTTTTTTTTACTCACCCTGTATATGCGATGTAACTTATGTCGGGAGATGTCAATATTACCATTTTAGGTTTTGCCCTTCATCGACGTAGTAAGTACTGTCAACTCAAAACTGTCAGCGAGCTTGCGCCGATCAAATCACAATTTTTTTCATCTTTCAATGACTGCGTATAGATAGAGTGTTAATTTGATCGTTTGTTTGATGGTCGGTTGTCACTGGTGCAGGGTGGGTGACTGGGCGGGTGGGGAGGGATGATAGTTTGGTCGGTCGGTAATTTTCTCGTCGGTCAGTCAGACTGTTCATATAACTTTCACTGGTTAATTAAAGGACTTGCGTTTGTGATACTAAAAACTCACGCGTAACCATGAACATCCGTATAGCTTGGTGTCGGGTAGAACAATGCACGACCCATAGTTCTTTCGTGTGAGTGTACAGCTTATATAGTCACCCCTCGTTATTTTTATTCAACAATTTTTTTTTATTCGTTAATGCTGTCAAGAATGAATCTATGCTTTATGTCCCGTTCCAAACTGATTATAATGCCATAAGAACAAAACTAGATGGAGTACTAAGACAAGATGAGATTTGAAGGTTTGCATGGAGTACGGGAAATATGTTGCGCTTGACGGTACGCGGTCCGCAGTGTGGAGTATCAACCACAAAGACAACTTATCGTCATTTTCGTGAGTTACGGTACATGTACCTTAAAAAGATACTGAAAAGTTGTCAGACAAATATCATATAACATTACGATGCAGCCTATGCAGAATAAAATGCTAAAGGAAAGACCGTTGTCTCGAATAGTCATGCATATACATGTCGTCGGATATCATTATCTTGTCCTCGGTCGCATCTTGCTGACCGTCAGTGGCGAACGACAGCAGCAATAGGATAATCATGCAAAAAGACACAACAAATGCAAGCTAACACCCCCCCACCCCCCGCAGCTAGATCCACCCTCGACCGTACGTGTATCTGGTACTTACCGGATGGATCTGTTCTTGTTGAGCGTTGGGGTCTTCGGAGCCTTGCGTAGGGAGGTCGCGGGGAGTATCTGAAGTTTGACCAGTCTGTTGGCCGTAGGGGTCTTGACCGAAGGGTCCCTGGCTGTCTCGGTGCGGTTCTTGTTGGCCTTCTCGGCCCGGACCCTGGGGTCCTCGGTTGTCCGAGTGGAGTCCGCGATCGCCGGGCAAGCGGGGACGGGTGGCCGAGGGCCGCGTGGGTCGCTGTCCGATAATGCTAAACGAGTCGTTGAAAACCTGCGGGGTGAACAGGTCCGGTAGGAGTGAGCTTGAGGGTGGGGGCTGGAAGGGGGGCATCGCGTTGAATACCTGGCCCTGGCTGTGGTATCTCTTACCGCGTCCACCCCTCTGGCGTCCCCGGTTGTAGCCTCCCAGAGACAAGTCAGCAGTTTCTGCGACTCGCTTCACGTGGTTCTGCTTGGCGGCACCGTAGGCGGAAGCGGCGTATGCCTGGTCACCAGTTCGGCTGACTGAATTGCGACCAGCCTGAGGGAGCAAAACGAATCACTGCAATATCTTGGAAGCTGGAATCCTAATTCTAGACCGATTTGTTTTCGTTGTTTCATTAAATTCTCATAAAGTAGGACGATATAATTCTTTTTCAATCTATATCAATGTAATAAAACTTCCAACGAAGTACATTCACTTTTATCTGGGATAATGTGAGTTCTTTGAAGTCATTTTATTCTTCTGCAAATAATTCTTGGGTCCCCGAAGAGAGATTTTAACAGCTCACTCACCTGTTTCTCAGCAGGGTCTGCTAGGAGTTCCTCAAAGGGAAATCCTTGGGTCCTCGCTAGGCGCTTGCCGATGTTGCTAAAGTTAAAGTTGTACGGGTGGGAAAGATCTGGCAAATCAGAGCCAGAGGGCGGTGGTTGGAAGGGGGGCATTACCCATGCCCCCGCCCACCTATCAGGGCGTGGTTGCATGGCCTTCCCACCTTCCCTGTCGTAGCCTCCGAGAGATGTGTCAGCCGAGTCTGAGTCTCGCTTCATCTTCTTGTTCTAGAATTTCAATGTCAATTTTGGTTATGCCTAAATATTGATTTAATTGTCATTTATTAACTCCTTCTTCGTGCTAATCTTATTTTTCTGTAGGCCAAGTTACAGTTTGTTTACAAATTGGAAGTTGTGGTCACGTGATACCATCTTTCAGCTAACCGTTCTCTTATGCACTGCATGTATATCTCTTGAAATGTGATCGGTGTAAAAGTGGTGACATGAACTTTTTAAATGATTAATTGTTCGGGTTGCCCGTCGGTTGCCCGTTGGTATGACGTCACAGGTAACATGGTCTATACCAGCCTATAGCTAAACACCGCATGTATGAATTTGCAACTTAATGTTTAGACAGGGTACCATGATAGGCTGTGGTACATCACGCTTGAAAAGCATTGAGAAAAATCGAAGAAGAATGCTGAAAGAATATTCGAAGTTTTGATAAAAAGGAAGATTTCAAGTTTTCAAATTTTCCAAGGTTTTTGAAAAAAAACTTTAAGTTTAAACTTACAGTGCCTTCAGCGCCGGTGGCCGAGGCCCGAGAAGGACGCTGTCCGATTGAACCAAAAGGTGAGGAGTAGTTGAAGAAGTGTGGATGGGACAGATCGGGGAGGTGTGAGGAGGAAGGAGGCGGCTGGAACGGAGGCATGGCCCGGAACCCTCGTCCACCATCTTGGTATTGCCGTATGGTGTTCTGTAGTCCGGCGTCGTAGTCGTAAGGGGACGCTAGGTAGGCCTGGGCTTTGATTTTGCTGACCGAGTTGCGACTTGTCTGATATGGATTCAAGAAAATAATCGGCCACTTTATGGACACCTGCCAGCAGTGGTATAGCCAGGATTTCTTTGTATGTGTTGGGGGGGGGGGGGGTGGGGGCACGAGCATTTTATAGGGAGGGGGCGGCACCAAGGGTAGGTCCACGATTGCACTAGATTGTGGAGCAGTTGGTGCTCTCTTCACTTCTCGCTTCCGATCTTTTCGTGTGCTTATTTTGAGCAAGAATGTTAAGAATTGTCTTTGTCTCCTTCGTGAAGGATAGACGGAAGTTAGGATTATAATGCGTCTACGATTGCTTTCCCTGATGAAAACAATCGTAGATTATTTATGTTTAAAAGTTAAAAACATCGATACTATAATCAGCGGCGGCGGAACGGTTTTCAAACTGGGGGCGTCCATTGAAGTGCTCCCCTGCCCCCGGTTCCGCCGCCCCTGACTATAATCGTACATTTTCTGTGTGAACTGTCAATGAATATTTCTGAGGGGAATTAGATCTCTTGCTGTTATTCATGAGCTGAATGACTTAAATGCTCCCAACAAAGATACTGACGAATACATTAGAAAGCCACTAACTTATGGCTAGATAGTATCTCTTGTTTAGTTGGTTGAGCACTGGTATACGGCTTTAGGGAGTCGCTGTCTCGCACGGTATATCAAGTTAATGGCCATTTTTTGACAGAAAGAAAACGACATTTGCCATTGCGAGTAGTATCTAAAAGTCAGGCCCTCAATTCCGGCCATTCCCACTCCTGTATAATTCCGGTCATTCCAGTCAGTAAGCATTTTGTAGCAGTTTTAATTTTATTTTTTTCACAACAAAGTTTAACTCACCCATTTGCCGAACATGAATGGACTTGAGTTACTTGTCTCTCCCGCGGCATTTTGAGGATTGAACGACGATCTGTCTGATTCCTGATGGGGTTGCGGCCGGCCGTTGTACATCCACTCTCTCTTTTGCCGGCCGGAGTCCGGTTTACCGACCGGTGACTCGACCGCTTCGCCCCAGACGGCGCCTGGGCTGGGGTAGTAGTACTGTGGCAGCGATGGCTGGTGGACCGGGTTGTCCGGGTAAGGTGCTCGGTAGGAGGTGGCCCGGCCAGGGGCTGGCGGGGTGTTGACCAGCAAGCAGGTGATGATAAGGAGGGGGTACCGACGACAGGTCGGAGCCGAGGACGGGGGCGAGATTACCGGCATTTTCACATAAGATTGGAGCTACCTGTGAACATGAACGGAATCGGTAGAGACCCAAGTGAGATTAGGGTACAAGTGGGATTATAACTGGATTCGAACCAGCAACTGGCTATCAGCATGCTCTGAGATAAGTGGTTGAGGTCACTAGCAATCAGGAGACCGCATGTTATGATTCCAGTAATATTGCAGGTAATATTCGGACTACCGTTTATCCTTGACTCAACCTCTTAATGTCAGACATGTCAAATTCTAAATTTCTCTTTGAAAAGCTAGTATTCGAGCTAACTTTTATCACCAGCGCAGTGATGAGGAACCAACCTTATCATGACAACCAATGCCATGCTCTTCAAAAAGTCAGCATACTTCCCGAAGGATGTTGTCCATCGTGAAGAAAATGTCAAAGTTGAAATTAATCGCACAATGAAGCTTAATTCGAAGTTAATAACCCCAAATGTGAAGAGAGAAATAGGAAACAGAGGGAGCAGAAATTGCAGTTAAAAACTTACGGTTCACTAACAGCGCTAACGAACGAGGAAATCGGAGTAAAGAAAGTAACGTCAGTGTAGTTCTCATCTTCGTTCCATGGTCTTTTTTCGCTCTCAAAAAACAGTGCGTCTGTTTTTATAGCGGCGTGACTGTCCTACTAGCCAAGTCACTATTCCCAAGGGTACCGTGTGGTTAAGCCCCGGCTAGCTATGAACGCCATTGGTCGTTAGCCCAGGATTTCGCAGTGCAAATAGTCATCAGTCTTCTTACGTGGTTCGTAAGACTAAAGTGTTGCGCGCCGAATTTAATCCCGTCCTCCCACACGCTTTCTATAGGAGGCGTGCTCCGCTGCGGAGGCAAGCGATACATCCCAAAACGGAACGCGCTCATCCCACGTAGACTAATAACCGTCGGGTAAAGCGCACTTTCAAGCAAAATTTCCGCAACCTGATATTACTTCTTTCTTACATTTTTGCATTTTCTTGAGAGACTCTGAAAGTGGGACGGGCGACCGTGCGCAAAATAAGCAAAGATTATTCTCATCGGCATTGACCCTATTTGTAACGCACGTACCGAAACTTCTGCAAATAATGTTAACCGTTTTGGCGGGACATTACTTCAAACAACAAATTCGCCTCCGCATGCGACATTTAGAGTCGCAGCAACAAACCATTGGGTGTTCCGGGACAAAATGTTTAGCACCGTCGCAGTCATCAGCCTATAAACCACATCGATTTTTAGTTATGTTATCTTTGGCGAAATATCAAATATGTTGATTCCATTTTGTGATATCGAATTGCCAGGCCTGTCAAATAATGTTTAGAAAATTTAGAACTCGGGAAGAAATGGTGGAACGAACAGACTTATCACTCGGCCAACTTACCTTGTCATATCTGCTCGTGTCGCATGCTGCTCGTCTCACTTGTAAGAGGTTGTCTCAATATTGTGTCATCGTATCACCAGAACTCAGATTTATAAGTCATCTTGACCTCCCATCGACCACCGATAAAAGGCATTTAAGGAACGGAATTAGATGTGTGAGTGGGTAGGCCAAAGTACACAAAACAAGAAAAGAAATAATTATTATGGTACTGCGTCTGCCCAATGGAAAACACATCACAAAACCACAGACCCACACCTGTTAAAAAATTGATACCTAATTGTGCCCCAAGAAACCCGAGGCTTTGGCAAAGTAAGCTGATTCGTTTTTGCCTGATCCTTGCTTAAAGGCCGAGGCTCACATCCAAAGATTTTGTTTCGCCATGGACAATGTGAGGATAGATCACCGGCTGAAATACAGGAAGGGCAAAAATAATGCATGACCGTCAGGACAAAGCCCTATGACGTTCAAGAGTTGCTGTTTTTGTTGAGAAGGTGTAATAAATAAACGCCCGATAAGCTTGACCTGAACGGGAATCGTGCAAAATGTCAGGTGTACGTGGACGGACGGTCCGCGGATGATTCTCGGCGTTAAACCGTTGGAGACTATCTCATAATGCAAGACGACAGAGCCTCCGGACATTGGGGAGTCAAGGGTTGGGTGTAATGAGCTCTGCGCATGATCAGTAGATGGCGCTGTTCGACAACTCGCTAGAGTCTGGTTCCCTGACCTGACGTTCCCCTGACGTCTCCTAATAGATCGTCAAGTAATATCACCTGCAACAATGGAACATGACGCAGCAAAACCCTGCCCTTGTACGCGTGTATACTCGAGGCACACATGCGTCGTGCGCAAAGTGCGGGACTGGTGACAATTGTGCATTCGCTGTTACTAACTTAGAATAACAAAAGATACCCTCTAAGATTGCCGCTACGCATACCTCCCAATAGGCCATATTTTTGAGCGAGTGAGGGGCTCTGTAATTACGCCATGTTGGGGGCACAAATAGGCGTTAAGCCAGGTCATTGGCACAAGTTTACATTTTGTTCAAATCAGAAGTAAATTTTTACAACATCCAATATAATATTGTATTCATAAATACCCAAGACTGTTTACCCATTCCTTTTGGTCGAGAGCCCGTCACGTGGCCGGCCATAAATGATTGACAAAGACCAACTGGCTGGTCTTAAACACTTGGCAGTGTCACATGAAAGTTGGACTCCTATGAAATCCGGTCCCTTTTACTCTATTATTGATTGAACGTTCACAATCTTCGGTTAGGCATGTGCAATAGCATACCAATATGACACTATATTTTACAGTCCTAAATTCGCACTACACCGGCACAGCTGCGTTCTGCGCACACATCGCGCAGTACGCGCACTCGCGCGCTAATCTCCATTTAATGAGTTGTTTACGACTACTCGCGAGTGGCACATAACATAGCTAGAGGGGTGTTCAAAAACACAAGGTAAACTTGTAGAACAAAATCGTTGGAAATGTATAATTGTTGACTTGCTTTGACTGTTTCAACGGCCGAAAAGGTATTTATGAATTGGAGTATATTTGCCTTGGCCGGTATTAAACTCTATGTTAGACCGGTTCGGAGTCTGGACGCTGCTAATGACCCGACCAAGCACACATGTTATTCCCTGTAATATAGTAGCGTTGCTGTATTGCTTTGATATTCGTGATATTTCTGATAATTGTTACCAGAATATGGATTGTGGGCGGCGCTGAGATGCATGTGATCTACCTGATGATGTCCGAACGGAAGGAAAATTGAAGTCTGTGTGGTGGGGGAATAAGTATTTGAAATGAGTTTATTTCAAGGTGAGCATCCGCTGACGTCGTGGGCGTGAACCTCACGGTTGGTGTTCTTGCACAAACACGGACCAAAAACCGCTATCCTGTCTGTTTATACACATGAGACTAGTAAAAGCCTTCGGCTGATGATGCCAATGATGTTTTTAACTTTCTCTGACACTTTCTTCGGAGGTGATGTACGTAAGACGGGATTATACCGGACAGTCGGCGAGGTAATGATGTTTTTGACTTTCTCTGGGAATTTCTTCGCCCGTAAAAAAAGGGGATTAATCCCGGTCATAACTATTTGCGTGTGTCTTCTCGTCAACACGTATTACAAGAGTTGAATGACAGTAACATGTATCTTTTTTTTCCACAGTGTGTTGAACGTGTAGGACGAGAACCATCGTTTCAGAAACCATCTCAAAACTAATTGGCTGTACAGTTTCCTTTTCTTTTCGTTGAAAGCCATAACATTCTTTTTATATCTGTTCATAATATGATCCTGAATTAAGTGGAAAATTGGTGCAGGGATTTAAAGATCTACATCGATTACATCTATACCAAAAAAAATGCTCAAATGTTGAGTTGTTATAACGTGTGAGTCCCAATGATCTTGATATCATTGTGAGCAAAAAACTCATGATTTTTGACCCGGAGAAGACAAAAGCAAGCCTGCCTGAAAGTCTCTCTTTGCCTTGAATTTCTTCTAGGCGCTTGTTATCCTCCGTTCCGGGCTGATGTCCGTTCTCGTCAATATTGACGACGATGCTGGGAAGTCCGAAGACAAGTCCCCAGTGAATGTAGCGAATCTCCGCCGTCAAGCGGCCCGGGGAGAGTTGGCATCTAAGCCCATCTATATCTGGTTCCTATTTCCAGACTTATTTGCCTCCTCGCTGGGCTAGTATGAGCCGTCGGTGTGTGACGAGAAACCAAATCCGGTTGCCTATCCGCATCGGGCAGCTCAGCTCACGTTTCGTATTACCAACCGTCCCGTACGTAACATTATGCAATTTCCCCATTTCCCAAACCATTTTCTGGTTCAGTTTCTGAACAGTAACAATAAGTTTAATTTATTCGGCTACTTATGCTAGGTTAGGAACCAATAAATCAGACGCTGTGTTTTTAAAGCACATACATGTTAACTACAGTTAAACCATTGCTATGACGTCACACTATTGTTAAAAGTGTGGATTCGGATCTACGAATCTCTTACACTGGTCACAAAGTGGGGATTCGGAACGACGAATCTTTAGTAAAGTGTGGATTCGGAATTACAAATCCACACTTTGAACACGTCGGACAATAATTCTCCATAACGAGCATGAATAGGACCGTCTGCGTGAAAATTTGCTTTCCGTAAATTACCAATGCATCTTCACTGTCAGATTCTCCGCCGTCATTGCAAAATCTACTCTTAGTCAGAAAGAAATCGACGTCTGTGAACTATTTATTTTGACGTAAGGGTGACTGATCTATGTTCCGACACCCCTATGTTCCGACAACGTAGATTGTGTTACTCCCGGTTAGGGTTAGGGTTAGGGTTAGGGTTAGGAATAGGAATGTGTGCAGTCGGAACATAGGGGTGTCGGAACACAGAGGTGCAAGGGCGGATCCAGGGGGGGCCAAAGGGGGCCATGGCCCCCCCCCCCAAAAAAAAAAAAAAAATCATTTTTTTTTTTTTTTATGTGACATCGCAATAACGGCAGGCAATGAGTACACCACCATCTTTTCCTCAAAAAAAAAACATTGGTTAAAGTGGTCAGAAATTGCCTCAGATCGCACCACAGAGCATCTAGAATCCAAAAATTTTCCGGGGCCCTTAAGCGGGCCCCAAACCCCACGCCGTAATTTTTTTGACCCACTTTTTGGGGGGGACCAAAATTTTTTTTGGCCCCCCCCAAAAATTGTGTTCTGGATCCGCCCTTGCAGAGGTGTAACCGACGTAAGGAGCCTATACACACAAAATGACTTGGCTGTACGGGTACGTGTGGCATACACATGCTAAACACGCCAGGAAAAAAATGTTGCAACCTGACGCCACTTCCGCGCTTGTGTACAAAGTCTAAGGAGAGTCATTTCAAGTATTTCCTAACAAAATTGGAAACATTTCTCAGTCCCAGATTCATGTCTTATCATTTTTGCAACGAATATGAGATGATATATGAAGGAAATAGTGGCGTCAGGTTGCAACATTCTTTCCAATACTTCTGTTGACGCAATGGTTTAAGTCGAAGAATACACAGGCAAGTGTGGATTCTTAATTTACGAATTCACTCGGCGCTTCGCGCCTCGTGAATTCTTAAATTACGAATCCACACTTTCTCGTGTATTCTCCTTAACTGAGGGTTGACGGTAACACTATGTGAAAGAATGTCTTTCGAGAAGATGTGTGATTCTGAAAGGAACCGGTCGGTCGTGAATCTCGACGTTCCAATCAATATGCTCTGATCGTCTTCAGGAGAAAGCCGGACGGAATGGCATGGGCGTCGCCAGGATTTTTTCTAGAGGGGGCCGGCAAAACATATTTTCCCAAAAGAAATCATGTTTTTCTCAACATATTCTCGACTTATCAGTTTTAGAGGGGCCAGGGACATTTTGCCCCCACCCATTAAATTTACACCACTATGACTTCGCGCCTCTTTTTTTTTTTTCTCTCTTTCTTTCTTTTTTTTTTTCTTTTCCGGGGGGGGGGGGGGGGGAAAGCGCTAACGAGATTCTTCCACACGGTGTCACCACAAACCCACACTAGTATACACTATCGCCATGCAAAGTTTCAAATCTAACATAAACATTATGTTAATAACCGTCGGAACTGTACCTCGAATGAATGGCAAAATCTTGTTAAAATCGAAGATGGGAATACCAAAATACCCTGTGAAAAGTACTCCAACAGAAAATGGTTTCACTCGAGACGGAAAACAATCACTGAAGGTGGTTTCGGAAAATCTGCCTGCGGGCACACTTGTTGAAACGTCTTATCCGGGATAAAACGCAAAAGTAAGGGCGTACGAAGCAGGGGGGGGGGAGGCAACTTGCCCCCCCCCATATCATATTGCCTGTTACGGCAATGACAGCGCTAGCATGCACATACCGCTATTGGAATTAGTACCACCTCCCTTTTCACCATTTTACGGAACCGAAACAAAAATGGTGCCACGTATTCACAACAAATACCTATTTTGCACAGGCCCCCCCCCCCCCCTCCGACGACAAACCTGGATTTGCAACTGGCAAACATCCGTATAAACAGAAACTGCGATCGCTTCCTGTATGTTGGACGACAAACACAAAACACGCCCACGGAAAAAACAAAAGTGCCCCATTGATTTTGGTGCGTAGTTCATCATTAGGTAACCACGTAGCGCACGTACAAGATGTAGTCACGGTTTCCCAACATAGCATTTTCTATTGACTCGTGGATCCTGCAACCGGAGGGATCAGGATTAACGGCTTGACGAGACAAATATGAAGGAAGATGTAATACGCATTTCTAACAAAGAAGACGATAACAAGTGGAGCTGCCCACGATTGCGTATCTAGAGCCGGACGCGCCAATGAGAATACTGAACTTCGTTGTTCGCCACAAGCGCTGTAGGCGTCGAAATTATAAAGAAAAGGGGGGGGGGGGGGAGAAGGGAAAAACCCGAAGACGACGATAACTCAGAAATACCGATTGATAAGGGTCTTTTAGGCTTAAAGGTATTGTTTGCATTTCCGGATTAACATTTCGACACGCTAGAGGGCGCATTCATGATTAATGAAATTGATCACAGGAGCCAGGGAAGCGCAATGTTGTTTGTTATATTGGAATGCGGAGATCGTGCGGTGTTCGATTCATTTGCAGACTGATTCCGTTGATTACCATTGCACACAATGCGAAATAGCAAATAGCCATCATTTCGTCTCATTCGCCAGCCATTTTGTTTGAATTAAGAACTTACGACTACGAGCAGTTTCAAACTAGAATTCCCTAAAATCAGAATTTAGCAAGAATGTAACTTACAAACATAAAAAAATACCAAATGATTATGAAATACCTTACTTGACTGGAAGTGAATACTTAGTCTAAAGCATCCTGTGAAATCAAGGAAAGTAGATTTTTTGTATCAATTTCCAACGATGGTCCGCCGACCATCGTTGGAAAAAAACTTTTTCAAATTTACCACATTTTGTTAGTGCACATTTTGTTTGCATTCGGTTACACATCTGTGAATGGGTGCAAGCCAGCTAGTCTGGTTCCCTGACGCATGGGCGTCAATCCTGGGGGGACAGGGGGACATGTCTCCCCCCCCCCCCCCGCACACTTTTTGCAGGGTGGGGGACACAATATCAAATGTCCCCCCCCCCCCAGATTTTTGAACTCGTGTCTCATTTACAGGGCCCTATTATGTACTTCAATGTATCTTTTGCTTCAAAAATATTGGTTAAAGTGGTCAGTTTTGTCTCAGATAGCACCACAGAGCATTTAGAATCCAATTTTTTTCCGAACGTGGGCCCACGCCTGTAGCTTAGAATTCTGGTAGCCAATTCAATGACTCCAACCTCGAAAACGATGTTCAAATAATTATCTTTTGCTACGAAAATATTAGTTAAAGCATGGAGAAAAGTGGTAAGAAATTGCTTCAGATCACACCACGAGTCGAACACCGCACGGTCTCCGCATTCGCGCTCGCATCAGTTCTGATCAAGATATGTCCCCCCCCCCCCACTTTTGAGAAGCGATTGACGCCACTGCCCTGATGTCTACAAATTGCTCCGTTTTCCAGCATCCGTGAACACAAACCTTTAAACAGATTAGTGGAACAATATTTGCTTTAAAACAATCCCAACATCCATGCATTTCTAAAAATTACCGCAAAAGTAAATGTTGTAAATTACCTTTAAGTCCACGTACTAACGGCAGGAAGCCATTCCTCTTCACTTACAAAAACAAATAGGCCCGGGGAAAGACAAAATAAATTCCAATTATTTGCAAATGAACAAGCGGTAAATTTACTCTTCTGAATTATGGTGTTTTTGTTTTTATGAAAAATTCATAAACGAAGCCAAAGAAAATGGGTCTGAATTATTTAGTCGACGTGGGAGATATTCTGATAAGGCTCGCGGCCGGTAAGGATTTAGCTTTCATCCGGCTAGCTAGCACGGATGTTCAAATGACATTTAACAACGAGACGTAAAATTGAAGAAAAAAATTGATGCGACTTTGAAGCATTTCCGGAGTTTTTTTGCGTTGAATGCACATTCGCTGATTTTTTTTTGTAATGTGGAGTAATGAGCAGTTAAGCGGTTAAGTGCACCGGACTCATGCTCTGGTGTTTCAGAGGCAACAGTAGCGCGGGTTCGAGCCCGGGTGGACACTTGTGCCCTTAAGCAAGGCACTTAACCATTATTGCTTCGTCCTTTGGGGGATGGGACGTAAAGCCATAGGTCCCGTGTGTTGTATATTGCACGTAAAAGAACCCAGTAACACTTATCGCTAAGAGAAGAGGTTCGCCCCGTTTTTTTTCTGGCATTTGCGTATATCATACATATGAGGCTGCACTTTCAAGGAAGGAAGGAAGCAGTGGCGTAGCCACGGGGGGGGGGGGGGGGGGGGGGCCTGTTGGGCGACAGCTCCCCCATGAAACCTTGTCGCCCCCCAGTCGCCCCCCACTGAGATTTTGAGTTTCTAAAAAAAATTATCATTGATCTACATGACGCCCCCCATGAAATGTTCCAGCCCCCCCCCCCCCCCCCCCACTGAAAAATTCCTGGCTACGCCACTGGAAGGAAGGAAATCTAGGTATTGCGCAATGTGCATGGATCGCACAATTAGAAAATGCAATGGGAGACTTTTGAGACAATTGGTGGCAGCAAACACATCAGCCCTTTTCAATTGTTCACGTCATGTTTAAGCTGATGGCCATGATGGGCGCGTGTTCAAAATGACGCAAACGATAGAAAAGGACCGGTGTATTTGCTGCCACAGTACCAATCGTCGCAAAAAGCTCCCTTTCTTTATATTAAAGTTGGATTTTTAAAAATCAAAAAAAAAAAAAATTGATTCCAACAAACAATAACCTTGACTTATAGAACCGTTAACAAATGTATTTTCCCCCTTTAACAATTTTTTTTAATCTCATACTATGTAGCAAGCATTTTTACATAGATATAGTTGGGCTTGCGATTGCACCATAGTGAGAAGGAAATTTCCACTTTCCTTGAGAAAAAAAGTTTTAAAACAGTTCACTTCAGACACCCTACCTTTTGTAACTTTTTACAGCAACTTTGAAAACTGTTTAAAATTATATACAATCCACCAAGTATGCAAAGTTGTTGAGGAAATAATGTTCAACAATTTCTATTTGTACATCGAGTTAAGTCTACGGGGCGAGTCAGAATGATTTGTTCCCAAGTTCACCATTTTTTGTGTGGCAAATAGAGTATATTGAGAAAATTGTTTCATATGAATGGTCTTTCGCAGGAATTTTGATTTTTTTTTTCAAATTAGTGGCTGTGGTGAGGAGTTATGCCATTTTATTGAAGTGGCTCATTTTCCAGTCTGCACACGGAATTGGTTTTGCTTTCTTTTTTAAAAATGTGTCAATAACTTCAAGTGCCTCACCATGACAAGGTTTTTATTTATTACACTGCATCACACCAGCACGCGATTTCAATAAATTTGTTGAACCATGGAACCGTGGTCAGAGGGTTTTTTAGCGTGCGTTGTTTGCTAGCGCATTTCTTCAAAATGGTACTATGGATAAACACAAAACTTTCACCAAATATGTCCAAAATACCAGCCTATAACGTATCTCATTTGTACTTGTTTTGATAATTGCTACATATTTGTAATACTTTTCTTTAATTTGGGTCCAGATCATTCGGACTCGCCCTGTAGCATCTGCATAAAGTGCAATCACTACCAGGACTCTAAATCCCTCAACCAGTCCACTTTTGTGTCCCTGAGCAAGGGAGTTTACCACAATTTCAAAAAAAAATCCCTGAAAGGGATTATAGTAGATCTGCCTGCCACGGATTGGCCACTGTGTGTTTGTGGGTGACAACTTCTTAAGTTGTTTACAACTTTCACTCTGGCCAGCAGCCATGAGAAGCATTTCTAAACTATTTATAAAAACGTATCAAGGCTTTAGAGTAATGTGAGCGCAACTCGTTAATTATCACCATACTGAGCGACAGGTGTAACACAGATAGGGCACAATCATGTAGCAGATGAGGTTTACCTCACAACAGTGAGATCCCTTTTAAGGCTGTGCCAAATATTCGATCGATTATCGAATATTCAAATATTTAGTTTTTGATTCAAATATTCCGAGGCGAAATGCTATGAAACTAAAAGGGGAAAAGGTCAAACTTTATATAAAAAAAATATTGCATTCTGAAAGCTTTCAAGGTTTTTCCAGACACTTAAAGGTAGGTGATGTATGTTCCCAACAATAAAATGTAGAATCCATCCAAGAAGATGGAATTGGATTTTTTTACAAATAAAATTCGTTAATGTGCAAAGTAAGCATTCTTTGTTATGATATATTGAAATAAATTATGATGAAACCTTCATGATGGCATTTTTAACTGGAAATCTGATGACTAAAAATCCGCCTTCTGGTATAACCGAGTATTTGAATATTCGATCGAATGGAAGGTCCAATATTCTAATATTCAATAATTCGAATTGACTCGGCCCTAGTCCCTTTGCGCATTACATGTGCGGGTCAAAACAAATCAAAGGTATATGAAGTTCTGTCAAATCTATTGTGACGAACAGCAGACCTCGTCTGCACTAGAGCCACCCATGTATTTCTCCTTCATTCCTCAAACCATTGCAGCTCCCTTAGCAGTATATACATACATGTATAAAGCTCACAGTGTCATTTCAGTTTCAAGTTGAATGAATTCAAGTGTTAGCAGTTGTGAAGCTGGCTTCATGACGGGACCCTCCCTCCCTGTCAATCAAACAGTGCGCGTTGACCAATCAGATCACAAAGTTTGATCAGGTGACCAGGGTATCTGGGTCATACTCTGTCACAAGCACCGTGACAAATGAGCAACTATCAAAGATGGGCGGGGCCTAATGTGGACCCGTCCACTGAGTTGTCTTGATATGATGATGAGGAGGAGGATGTCCTAGAGGCAGGGCCTAATCTGGACCCGTCCACTGAGTTGTCTTGAGATGATGATGAGGAGGATGTCCTAGAGGCAGGGCCTAATCTGGACCCGTCCACTGAGTTGTCTTGAGATGATGATGATGAGGAGGATGTCCTAGAGGCAGGGCCTAATCTGGACCCGTCCACTGAGTTGTCTTGAGATGATGATGAGGAGGAGGATGTCCTAGAGGCAGGGCCTAATCTGGACCCGTCCACTGAGTTGTCTTGAGATGATGATGAGGAGGAGGATGTCCTAGAGGCAGGGCCTAATCTGGACCCGTCCACTGAGTTGTCTTGAGATGATGATGATGAGGAGGATGTCCTAGAGGCAGGGCCTAATCTGGACCCGTCCACTGAGTTGTCTTGAGATGATGATGAGGAGGAGGATGTCCTAGAGGCAGGGCCTAATCTGGACCCGTCCACTGAGTTGTCTTGAGATGATGATGATGAGGAGGATGTCCTAGACCGGCAAGGCACTTGATATCGTCTTGCTGGCTGCGGCCTTGCACAGCTTGGAGAAGAACTTCAATCCAGTCTGGCCGCCTGGAATGTAACTCACAATGTACCTGCAAAACAGAAGTAAAGAATAAAATAGAGTTCAGAGGGAAGATGCTGTGTCAATTTTACTGTGGTTTTTATTTTGACACTGAAACTTTGAGAAAGCTCTTCACTGTCCATGAAGTTGGAAATGTGTGTCTAGAAATTGCCCGTTAGTTACTGATTGGGACGCTGTTTGTTTCCGCCACAAATGTAATACATTCCAAACTGAGGCTATCCCCAAAGAAAAAGAATATTTCAAGTTTTGAGACTCTATTTACTTTGCAGATTGTCCCTGGAAAATCAAGGATTTTCCTCCCAACCATATATCTGTGGCCTAGTGGTTAGGGTTAAGGTCTCATGATCAGAGGGTCAGGGTTCAAATCCAGCTGTAGGCCATGTTGTGTCCCTGGGCAAGCCACTTCACCCCCACTTGCCTCTCTCCACCCAGGAGTATGAATGGGTACCAGCATTAGCTGTGGAGTAACCTGCGATGGACTAGCATCCCATCCAGGGGGAATAGAAATACTCTCAGTCGTTTCATGCAACTGAAACTGGAGATAAACGCAGGCCTGATGGGCCACATTGGCTCCGGTGTGATTGACTTTACTTCTTTCCTTTTTTAACCATATATCTGAACAGTTCTTCACTGGAAATTTCACTATTGGATTTTGCCCTTCACTGATGGTGTTTTTCCTTCACTTTCCACGACCTACAGGTATTCAGTTTTGCCAGCTGTAGTGCATAAGGGGACTTTTAATACAAATTTCCACCCCATGCTTAAAAAATAACGAAAATAACAACATATTCTCACCAGAATAGAGCAATAATTTGGAAAATGGCACAAAGAGTTGTTGGAAGGGTTGCCTGCCTCTGAAAACGAAAAAGAAAACAAAGAAAGGTCATGCTTTACATTTGAAAAAAAGTTTACATAGTTCCAAGTAATCTCTGTTTCACAATTTTCAAAATTTGAGTTTTTGTAACTGAGAAAATTATGCTTAGTTTTTTTCTACAATTTCAATTTTGTTCGAGTCTTGCGTTTCAATTTCTCTTCCACCTTTAGAGAATTGTTATAGGAGAGAAAATGGTTAAACTCACCACCAGGGAAAAATAAAGCGTTAGGAACATGGACGTGAAGTAGATGGCGGTGAACGGCAGCCTGTCTTTTGAGAACAGATGCTTGATGTGGTACCAGGGGCCCCACAGGAGGGAGAAACTAAAGAAGAAATAAAACATAAAATATTCATCTGTTTTGGTCACAAATATTTTGGACTGGTGATTTTCAAGTCAACAGAGGGCCCTGTTTATCTATCACACAATCTGTTTTTTTCACAGTGCTAATGTTGTAACATTAACCAATTTAAATAATGAAAGGTTTGCGGAAACACCACGTGCGAATAATTTCTCAACTAAGAGAATGGTTCTGAAAAGAACCAGAGGTGTAAACTCGACGTTCCGGTCAGTATGCTCTGAAGACGGTCAGAGCATACTGACCGGAACGTCAAGGTTTATACGTCTAGTTCTTTTCAGAACCATTCTCTTAGTTGAGAAATTATTCGCACATGGTGTTTCCGCAAACCTGTCATTATTTAGTATCTCCACCATGCAAAGCCTCAAATCTTACTTATTAACCAATTTTCCAAAATGTTCATTAGGCAAAGACAAGGTCCTCAGTATTTCGCCAGCCAAGTTTGAAGTCTCAATTCAATTTTTAAAGGAGACTTTTGGTCAACATTTTGTACCTGAGCGTGAAGCCAAGTGATTTCAATTTGAAGCCTAAGACTAGACTGGTACATGTCCAGCTGTTTGAAAAGATTGGCCCTTAAGTACTCTGGTGGCAGACTGCGGAGAGATGTATTAGAAATAGACCGGTACCAGACGCTTCTTTTGACACAGTTGACCGATGCAGTACTAAAAGGGTTGTTGGACTGGTTGTTTCATGTGCCAGTCTATTTTTGTGTGTTACATGTTTTCAATACCTTAAGTTTTGGGACTCTCATACACAGTATTTAGAGTCCCAAATGGAAAGATTTCCATATAAGAAGTTCACTCAACATCCTGTGTACAAACCCTATGAGAGTGGACTGAAAAATTCTAAGTGTTTTCTAAGAAAATGCTTGTATTTTCTCACTGCTCAAATTGACTTTGATGACATGAAATTGCTATCTGGGGGCTTGTTAGTCAATACAGAGGAAAATTAGTGAACTTCTTATAAGTTATATGGAAATCTTTCATCCCAAATTTGCGGACTAGGTGCGTTGTGTACCTGCTTATTGTGAACAGGCTTCCCAGGGTGTAAAGGAGGGCAAATTTCCGTGCTCGCAGGACGATGAATGGGGCATAAACGGCAGCCAGGGCAAAGCAGATGGCTCCAGCGACGATAAAGGACATGAAACCCAAGATTCTCTGTCGTTTACTCTGAGACATTCAAAGACAAAAAGAAGAGGTTGCTTTAAATTTTTGGCATTTTTAAAATAATTTCTCAATTCAGGGAAGGGGAAGGAAAAGGTTCTCACCATTAAGCAGTTTCACGTTTGTGTGATTATATGGCTAAACTATCAGCAAGAGTGTGTGACTGTGAAATCAAAATACAATGAAGTATGAGTTTTATGACATAATTGTGGTACAAAATAGTGATAGGGTTAAATGAACTAGTTTGCCTAAAATAATTTATCGAACAAAATAATTTATAGTCAACTTCATCAAACCATGATGAATATGTCAAAGGAGTAATAACCATGAAAATTAAAAATAAATTTGGAAAATGAATTCATGTAAACATAGGGTACTTAAAGAATTTCTCTTCTTTAAAATAAGGTAGTGGATATTTTGCCGGAGGTAACGCTGGCAAACTAACGTTTACTAAAGGTTTGCCGGCGGCAATCCATATCAACAGAGGGCGCTGTACTCTTTAAGATAGGGCTGAATTATAATATGTATTAAATTCCCACTAAAGTTGTGTAGCACAATCGGTGCAGTGGTTAAGCAATTGCTCTAGTGGGTAGGATGTCCCGAGTTCGAATCCTGATCCCCGCCACATTTTTTAGTTTTTTTTTTCCATCCCCAAATAAATAGGAATATTCTTCTTTTATTATTTTAACATGTCTCAAACATTTTATTGCAGAGTATTACATTTTCTTTTTCAGATTTGTGGCTCTGGAGGATTTTTTTTAAAAGGGAAATAAAGTCCGAAATTATAAAATGGTCTGAATCCCATCTTGTGAATACGAGGTTAAAACGATAATATTGGCATGGAGCCAGACTAAAATTTGTCACCGGAAAATGTTTAAGTACAACAAAAAAACAGTAACTGTGCATGTTCAGTGCATATCTGGCAAACTAACGTTTACTGAAGGTTTGCCGTCTCCGGCAAAATATACACTGCCTTAAAATAATTTGAATTAAATTATGTTAACAAACATTACATGTACATGGAATCTGGAAAACATATTGACATTGATGAATACTCACCAGAGTTGGGCAGAAAGGATCCTTCTGCGCCTGGTTGAACCAGCCATTTCCATCCTCCTCGGCCGGCTTACTGGCCAAGTCACCCCCTAACATCTTCTCCCCTTCGCCCCCATTTCCACCACCACTCCCCCGGGCGCCTGACCACCAGTTTGTCACGGTGTCTAGCGTCCGTTTCCCTGATGTCGCAAAGCTGCTGGTTTCCCCTGACGATCCGTTCTTTGAGCCCGACAGGTACGACTTTAAATCTGCATTCAAATTGGCCATCACTGCAGCGCTGGTGAATAGTTAGTAGAACTTGTTTACTGTCCCTTGTCAGTCATGTACGCTACACACTAACAATTTTAAATTTTAGCAAACACAACTCGAGTTGTTTTTGTTGAAACTTGAAGGAAAACGTTGCCTTACCAAACAAGAAGCAAGACAAGCAAACTACATTCTGAAATGATTGTATTGAAATCGCTTCATGCAAAGTTTTCAATCTATGATTCTTGATCATCGATTAAATATTTAAAAACATGCAGAACAACTGCGGAAATAGTGAAAATATTAATACTTGTCATGTCAACAACATCATTATCTCCAACTCATCCACATGGAGGATTTTGATCTTATGAGGGCGCTCTTATCCTGGCTTATTCAGTCGGGTATCCTTTCCACTTTATATTGTTGTATTGATAGACGAACACGAGGTACCAGTCACATTCCCCAAACCAAAATGGCGACCACCAGTGACACGGCGGATGAGCAGAAAACTGCCGAGATTTCCTCGGCAAATGACGAGTTATTTCCGGGTGTTAAAGATGTGGCAACTTTCTCACAGGTAGGGCTAAATAGTAATTCTGATAGTGTACGATTTATACTGTTATGTGTTAGGTATTACTTAACAAAATCAACACAGCATGTCCGCACGTGCACGATGATTGATAATACGGTCATGACGAATGTCGGACACTTCGCCCCATTTCCACGTCGCCCCATGTCACTTCGCCCCTAACCACTTCGCCCCATCCCCACTTCGCCCCATCCCCACATCGCCCCATTCCCACTTCGCCCCATTCCCACTTCGCCCCATCCCCACTTCGCCCCATCCCCAATTCGCCCCATCCCCACTTCGCCCCAGCCGTTACATGTAAAAAGTTTTTAAAAAATCTCATCTATTTTATTGGCTTAAAAACAATTCCAACAGATACACTAATTGCTAACCAACGGAAAGAATTAGCCCACCAAATGAACAAGGCAAATTATGGAGGACACCAATGTACATGAGGCCACCAAAAAAGCAAAATAGTACCCCACCTTGTCTGTAATACAATCCAAGCTTGAAGAAGAAAAAAAAGCCCCCCCCCAAAAAAAAGCCGCGTGGCCGCGTCAATTCCGGAACTTTGGTCTGACCAGACACCGAATATTTTTTTTTTGGCCTAAAAGACCCGGCTATACCAACCTGTCTCCCACTTATCTGAGAACGACAATACCTTTGACATCCTAATTTCACTCTTGGAGGAACCAATCTACATTGTACATGGGGCGAAGTGGGGATGGGGCGAAGTGGGGATGGGGCGAAGCGGGGATGGGGCGATGTGGGGATGGGGCGAAGCGGGGATGGGGCGATGTGGGGATGGGGCGAAGTGGGGATGGGGCGAAGTGGTTAGGGGCGAAGTGACATGGGGCGACGTGGAAATGGGGCGAAGCGTCCGACACCCGTCATGACGCATGACCGGCTACGGCCCGGGCGTCATGGGCGTTTATCGTGTGGCCAGCGGGTGACCAGATGAAAATCGCAAAATTCTGCTAGAACAGTTTAAGATGCATTTCAGAATTCTGCCGGATGTTACAAAATCAGCTCATCACCCAGAATTACATGAAACACATTATAAACACTTGCGTACTCACATGCAAATGTTATAAAATGTCCTTTTAAAAATATATATAATTTTCCTAAAAAGGGTATCATATTTAAGGTGGGGGGGGGTAGTTTTAGGGGGAACCCTTTCCTATGCATACGATTAATAAGAGAATGCAAAATCACTTTTAGAGGGAAATTGTATGGTTAAATAATGGCAATGACAGCAAAGCACAAGATGGAAAGGTAAACTAAAAGATAGCAGTAGTACCAGCGCACTTAAAACTTAGAAAACTCATCAAAATGTGATACTTTGTGGTTGTCATTATGCAGCAAACTCTGGGACGGCTGATGCAAGCAACGAAGGCAGCACATGGCCTGCCAGCGTATGGCGATGACTACGATTTCTACTCTAGCTATGACAGCTTCAGAGAGTACTGCCACAGCCAGTCGGAGAGACTTCTTCAAAAGTTAGTTCAGTAACTTCAGTTCATATACAAAGATGTATAAATGTGAACGATGCCTTTCATGATAATAAATTTGGCACTGTATAATTGCCCTCACTACAACTTTCTGGTAAAATTTTATCTGTGCATAAGTTGTGCTCTGTGACAGCTTGACGTATATTTACCCCCTAGGCCCTTTTTTTGCCAAGAACCCCCCCTCAGTCCTCCAAAATCCTCCAAACTTTTGCACTTATGTTCAAATGAAGGATACCCAGCGCCTCAATCCTTCAAAATCGTCAGACAGTCCTGCCTCTCAAAATGCATTCATCCTCAATCCTTCAAAATCCTCCTCTTCTTCAAATACCATTCATCTTCAATCCTCCAAAATCCTCATGTGATTCAATCATCATTCATCCTCAATCCTCCAAAATACTCCAAAACCGCCAGGAGGATTTTGGAGGATTGAGGAGTGTCAGGGTTAACACTTGACAATGACACAGGCTAAATAATGTATGCAGGCAAAAAGTTGAAGTTCCATTACTTGAATTGCCATTGCTAAATCAAATCATGGATTTCTATTTGAGTATTTGTGCAAAAGGCTTCTGCTTTTTATAAGGATTTTTATGAAGGATTGATGAAGGATTTTTTCCTCAAAATTTGATGTGTAAAGTTTTCTCTCATTTTATAGCATCAATGGCATGCTGCATCTCGAAGGAAGCAAGGCGTGTCTGACGGGAGGAAGCTCTGCCCCCGAGCTTGAAGACAAAACGGATGCGATCATCGAAACGAATGATGTCATTCTGGAGAAAGTGGTATGTGGTTTATAACAAACAAAAATAAATAAACACACCATATCACATACCCAACATCCATAAAAGCTGACACAAGTTTTACCTGCACCAGCTAAGTATGTTGTTACCAGATATCATAACTCAGTTCTTAGAAATCGTTAGAAATGTAATTCCACTATTCTTCCGTCCAGTGATGTTGAAATCTTGAACATTTATTTTTGGAGCTTTTACTCTCAATAAGGAAAGTTTGTCACGAAATTGTTAATTATGTTACAAAGTAAATTAAAAAATCTTAAAAAAATTTAACAACTTTTAGGGCTATATCAAATATGTCAACCTCAATATGTGCATTTCAGGAAGTCTTTAAAATCCCCCAAGCCAGCAAGATTTACACTAGGAAAGTAACACTTGATTGTTAGTAACAATTTGATAACCAGACCACCAAGTTCTACATGTCTGCATATCCCTCTTCCAACCTCTCACTTTGAGTTGATGCCTTTCTTGTCTACCAGGGTCTGTTGCTGGATGAAGCCACTGGTCTGATCAAGCCAGGCAAGGCAGTGCTTCCCCCTGGCTCCCAGCCTAAAGCTCCTCAGAAGCTCATGGTGGCCAGCTGGAACCGACAGGTACATGTACACATCATTTTATCAAGTCTGTCTTGAGCCAATTAAAGATATAGTCCATCATTTGTAATTTGTGCATTTTGTTCGTTTGAAGCAACAAAAGTGTTCAAAATCTAATGAAGGATACTGAACAACTAACCTGATGAAGTTTCAGCTCAGCTTCAGCTGTATATTCCGAGAAAAACAGCATTCTAGGATCTCAATTTCAAATCAAAAGTTGCTGAATCATGTTTTGAATTGCAGCTATACGCGATGTCGCGTACTGATCCGACGAATTATAGCAACCGCGCGCGCCTGTGCGTCGTGCCAATCCTTGCGTGCGCTGCACCGAATAACAAAATGAACTACTAATTTAAATTTTCCTACGGTGCGTCTTAAGATGGAAAGGCCTTCTTTCGTTGATTACTTCAAAATGATAGCTTGCCAGAAAGATTAATTTCACAGGGAGTTTTATAGTCCACTTACTATCTTTCAACCAAGTATGTTTTTCAACAATAATACGCCCGTTACTTTTTCGGATGGCTGCAAATGATGGACTATAGCTTTAAGCTCATCAGACCAGCATTTGTCTCCAGTTTCCTTGTGATGAAACAACTGAGAATATTTCTTTTCCCCCTGGATGGGATGCCAGTCCATCGCGGTAGCTCCAGTATCACAGCTCCAGTGGAACCACTTATGATAATTTATTCTTACGTCAGCGGGCCAGTATGTTTATTCATGAGAACAGAACAATGATATCAAGAGCATTGTTGTTATTTTGTCAACCCGTTTAATACATTAAAGCATTTTAAAGTACGGTCGTCATCGAGCTACCACAGTAGCCTATAGCGAGATGAGCTATGGATACAAAGATCCCTGGTTGGAATCTACGTCGTCGCTGCGCATTTTCATCGACTATTTTGCTTCTCTGAGTTTATCGTCGAGATAATTTTAATTGAAGGGAAAAAGAGAACGAGGAACCTAAGTGTCTTGCAATGATTCACTTGAAAAACATAAATTATCATAAGTGGTGCAGCTGGAGTTGTGATACTGGCGCTGCCGTCCATCGCAGGTTGTGCCCCAGCTACTACAGGTTCCTATTTATACTGGGTGGAGAGAGGCGTGTTGGAGTAAAGTGGCATGTAAAGGGACACAACATGATTCAGATCATGAGTCTTAAACCTTAAAGGGAATATACATCATTTGCTTTTGCTGTAATTTTCAGAAATGGATGGAATTGGGGGGTTGGAAATATATAGCAAATATAGTTACACTGACTTTTTAGAGGTTTTGGGTTCGAAAATGCTATAAAAACCAAGAAAAACAATCATTTTCCTGTAGTCTGGTTCCCTGACTCCATATAAGAAGAAACAGAGCAGTTTACATACATTGGGGAATTTTAAGGTCAGGGAACCAGTCTAGCTGGCTCGTACCCGTTCATAGGTTTGTAATCGATTGCAAACAAGTGCGATGGTCAATTGGGGCCAGTATTTGAAAAAAGGCCGATCAGCGTTGGAAATTGATACAAAAATACCACTTTTCTTGAAAATGACAGTATACCAGGTGCCATGATTTTACAGGATGCTTTACACTGTCATTCACTAACAGTCCAGCAAGGTATTTCAAAATGATTTGGTAGTTTTATTTTTTGATGTTTGCAAATGTTGTATTTTCCCTTTAACAACAAGGCCACACTCCCCCTCCCATGTGTAATGCTTACTGGCTATCATTGATAATGAACATGTAAGTTATTTAGATATTCAGAGTTAATCGAGGTAGTGACAGAAAGACGGACTGACAGACTGGTTAGGGATGGTTTTGTGGGTTTTAAATTTTTTTTAGAAGCTTCCTAGTGGAAAACAACTTTTTACTTAGTGCCTCTTTCCACCTCTTCTGTTACTCAGAGCTCCACAGACTCGGGAAAGGGCCGAGCATTCCACCTCATGCACGCCAAGAACATCTCCCGGCCACAGCTGAAGTTCAAGGAAAAGATCGACAACAGCAACACGCCATTTGTCCCGATCATTACGAGCAAACCCAACGCCTTGAAACCTCTCCATAAAGGTACAAGAATCAATTCATTACCAAAAAGCTTACACCTGTTTCAGGCTGGTGTTTTTACTTTCATTATTATTATTATTAATCATTATTGGAAATGAAACCAAGGATTCCTCAAAAGCGCCCTAGGCACTGTAGCTCGCAAGCCTGAAGAAACCTGTGGAGAGAAGACAATGAGAAGAAATTACAGTTTTAGAGGTGGGAGGAAAAGCCCAGAAGAATATTCTGGGCAAAACCCACGGAATCAGGTAGGGACTGAAAACCCAATCCACATATTGGCCCAGGTGGGATTCAAACCCGGGTCACATCGGTGGAAGGCGAGGAAAGTCCCAGAGTCATGCTGAACAAAACATTACAAAGACTAGAACTAAGTTCAACATTTGAATCAGAGAGACAACAGTATAACTATATGCAGTCATTCAAAACGACACCAGAGTCAAGTTGACATTTCGTAACGTGAGTAACCGTTTTTGTGCGTCTTGTTTGTCATACATAACACATTTTTCTGGATGTCATCTTTGGTGCTTAGGTAGGTCTAGGTCTACTCTATCTACCATGGGGATAACAGTTATTAAACCTTTTCAGTAAGGTAATTACAGCCCAAGGAAACTCAAAAATACATCAAAAAATGTAACGTGAGTAACCGTGGAATTGCCCATGGGGAGATGTTTAATTGTAGCAAAATAGCATTTTGCATTGCTTCTTTTGACTTGTGTCATACATTTAGTCAGAACTGCATATTAGTACAATGCTTGTTTTTTTATATTCACCCAGCACTCTCTTCACCAAGGAAGAGCAAGCAAGGAGGCAGGGATGTCCCTGACGCAGTCTCGTCTTTCATCCATCAACAGCGAGTCGGAGCTGAGGAAAGCAGTGACATGTAAGCTTTAAAGGTTTCTTTTGAATTTCTTGGGTTTTTTTAGGGGAGGGTGGGAACATTCAAGTTGAGCAAATGTTTTCACTTGATCAGATTTGCTCAAAATTGTGGGTTAGAATGCAGTCGGGGGTGCTTCTGTCCTTGGGCAAGACGTTTTACTCAAATTGTCTGTGGCCATTTCTCAAACTTTGGCTGTATCTTTGGCTTCGGCACCTGCTTCCTGATTCAGGTACTTATTTGGGTATTCTGGGTCAAAATACTCCTTTGTCTTCCTCTGAAACATCAAGTCCGTTAATATAAAAAATTTTCATCAGATCATGGGCCTGTAAATGGTTTTGCAGTGAAATCCTAACATAGGGCCAAGCCGAGTTTATAAGAAATGGCCCAGGTTTTCAAAAAAGTTAGCTGTGTTTGGGTTTTTGTTTTTCTTCCAAGAGTGGACAGTTGTTAAGTGGTTACATCAGTTTTACACACTTTCATTCGAGGGGTAACACACTGAGTGTACAGTGTTTATACGTCAGTGTAGGGCAAAAACGTAATATTGAATTTACATCACCCCAACGCATATTCCATCTTATGAATGGTTACATCAATCCGCTGTTCGCCAAAGTTCTGTCATTTTGAAGTGAACTTTGTCCTTGCTGATCCCAGCTAAATCTAACCATGCACATCTCTGTTTGTCCTCATCCCAGCACTGCCCATCCTTACCAATACGAGCTGGACCACTTCGTACCGGACCCCACCATGCTGCTCCCCGTGGTTGCACCCTCATACAAACCCCTGGACACAACCCCTCTGACACTGGTGGACACGGCGGAGCAGCTGCAGGAACTCGGCCAGGCGCTGGACACCCTGAAGGAGTTTGCCGTCGATTTGGAGGTGTGCAAACTTTTCCCGTGTGAAAGCTTTCTTTCACTCAGTCTGTCCGCCAATCTTTCTTTGTAATCTCTGTGAGGGTAGAGAAAATTTGGCTTTTGTCCCAATTTCATGAATCTCCTTCGCAGAAAATATTGGTAAGCAGCTTTGTTTGCTTGGCAAATATGAGCAGGGAACCAGTTACAAGCAATATACAATGCATGATATTTTGGCTGGTTACCTTTTTTGTTAAGCCAATGTATTTTGTGCTTAACAAATCTCTGTGTGTAGTAGCACCATGGGATTGGCCCCTGCAGCTGGTTTCATGAACCGTTGCATAACGTACGCCATGGGTATGGGACTTAACTAACAAATTTGTTGTGCAGCAGCGCAATAAACTTATGATCGATTTCATGAAACTTGGCATAGCTGCACAACGTTTTAAATAATGTAAACATCTTGGATGAGGATAATAATAACAGCATTTACAGCAGCTGTTTGTGTATGATTTTGTTCGTTTATGAAACGGTCTTTGAATCACCTCCGCCCGCCATTTTGAAACTATTTTTTCTGACTTTGTTCGGAATCATGGGGGAACTCTAAAAATTCTGTCACAAGTAAATTAGCAATTCTTTTACTTCAAACGCAAAGCTTTGAGTGTCTTGTATCAACCTTGATAAGTTGTGCAATAACAGGCTCCACAGTGATCACGATTTGCTGGTAGAATAGGTCATTTTCAGTAGCTACGCCACCACTTACGCCACCTAAAATGATTGCGCAAATTACGCTATAATTTGTTGCGGAAGTCGCAGACTTGCGCACTATGAAACTTTTGTGAAATTGCCAAAGCTGAAATGTTGCCCAGCGCGAAAAGTTGTGCAGCTTGCGCAATAAATTGTGGCGCGACTGGACTCATGCCATTGTGTAATTTCATTGAATCGGCTACAGATCTCAAAGTCGTGCATAAAACTTTTCTTAGTGTCTGCTGAACATGGATAACAATTGTGAAGCACTTTGACAAATTTCCACAATTTTTTGTTGTTTTCCTCTTCCATTTCTTGCAGCATCACTCGTACCGATCCTTCCAGGGTTTCACCTGCCTCATGCAGATCTCGACAGGTTGTCATGACTACATCATTGATACTCTAGCCCTGAGGAGCGAGTTGCGCAGCCTCAACAACTCCTTCACCAACCCAGCTATTGTCAAGGTGAACTTTCTTGATTTAACTCCCGTACTCTGGCACAGACGTTGAAATAATGATCAGACCTATTATCCCCTAATATTGTCAAGGTGAACTTTCTCTATTTAATTTCCCATACTCTGACACAAGCGTTGGAATAATGTGCAGGCGTTTTATTCGCTAAGAGCATCCTAAGTGCATGTAACAATTTAGATTGATTGTGCTTAATCGTTTTTGTCCAGTTGGCTAGAACGTTAATTATATAAAAGTTAAACAAAACAATTCACTGGGGCGGGATTTGAACCCGCAACCTTCAGAACACTGAACGGTGCTCTACCAACTGAGCTATCCAGCCCTATGTTGGCGGTTCCCCATCTTGTCAATGTCTTTGTTCATGGGTGCTAGTCAGAAGCTATGTACCTATAATACCATGGAGCCAAGATGATGCTAGCAGCATTAACAATGCTGCAAACCTTGGAAATGGCATACACCTTTTTATATTACAAATCATCAAATAAACCACAAAGGAGAACTAATGAAGTGCATTCATTATTCAAAAGTCTAAACACAGGTTGACACCACATTTTGGGTGACCATTTTACCATATTTGTCAGAACAAATTTTAAGCTTAATCCATGTGTTTGTGGCAGTTAGATTTCAAAGTTCTCAATCTCTGTTGTTTGAGCAGTTTTTGTGTCTCATTACGACAAAATGTACAGTATTCATTTGATTTGGACTTAAACATGCCTCTGAAGTTTGAGATGAAGCCATATTTATGTTATTTTGGGGCGTTGTCACAGCATCAGAATCTTGATGCAGCAAAAATTGCAGCCCCTTTCATCAAAACAAACTCATTCAGTATAAACCCTAACAATCCCCATCCAGTCAAACTCCAACACCAGGGTTTGTTGGAATCTGTTGGAGTGAGTACTGCACTAGTAAACTGATTATGCTTTACATGGGGTCAGGCATACCACCATAATCAGAGTCAAACAGTTTGGATGTTGAGTTCACCATATGGTGTTGGAATTTGCAAGAGTGAGGAAGGATCCTAGTAAATCACTCCAGGGGTTAGGGTTAATGGTTAGAGCGGAGGTTGTTTGTAAAGCATGATCCATCCTTGGGATCTTACCCAATACTCCAATGATGAATTACAGGGTGAGTCCATAAAAGCGGAACCCAAACCCCCAAACTATATTTCATATTTAGAAAAATATGTAGCACCAAAAATATGAATGACCGGAAAGCCAATTTCACAAACTACTTTTAGATGAAAAATTACTGAAATTGCTCAATCCATTCAAAGAATATCACCATTTAAACGCAATGAGCCTAAAACCTGTTTCGTCAAAAAAACCCAATTCATTGTGTATTCTGACTGTTTGGAACAACAAATAAAATGACACAGAATACTAGTTTCAACAAATGTCAACAACTGTAGTACACAATATCTTTATTACCAACCCTGCTTAGGCAAACAACATGATTTATAGAATCCACTTTTTTTCAAAAAGACGGGCCTTCAAAACGAATTTGGTGAATATTTTTAACTTTTAAAATGAGGTTTTATTGCTGGTGATGTTTGAAGACAATTGTGACCACGATTCTTGAAATTGCATTTGTGGACGAAAGAGGTTTTAGGGTCATTGTGTTGAAATGGTGATATACTTTGAACGGATTGAGCAATTTAAGTAAGTTTCTTCATCTAAAAGTAGTTCATGAAGTTGACTTTCCAGTCATTCTTATTTATGGTGCAACATTTTTTTAATACATGTATAAAATATATTTTTTGAGGTTTGGGTTCCGTTTTTTTTTACACACCCCGTAGAAGATTCAAAGCATTAGTTCATAAGAAAATCAATTTTCGTCTTTACCAGGTTTTCCACGGCGCCGACATGGACATTGAGTGGCTGCAGCGAGACTTGGGTCTGTACGTCGTCAACATGTTTGACACTCACCAGGCCTCACGCATCCTGGGCCACGCCCGTCACTCACTGGCGCACCTGCTACAACTCTACTGCGGAGTGGAACCCGACAAGGCCTACCAGCTTGCTGATTGGAGGATAAGGTAATGGCTGTGTGCGTGAATGAGCGAGGGCGCTATTTATTAACACTGAAGATGAGTGTTAGGTACATACAGAGCTTGTTTATTAGATTGCTTGATTTAGTTAATAGGTTTAGTTTAGATGGTTCATTTTGATTTTATTACGGAATACAGCTTGCCAGCTTGCTGTTAAGAGTATAAGGTATTAGCTCTGTTCTTGAACTATAGCGGACACAGTTTATACATGTATGTGAAAGCGAATGCACATTGAGAACATTTTTGAGTTTAATAATTTGTTTTCATCTGCAAGTTATACATGTACCTGCGTGTTGTATTTTAACCCAAACCTTTCCAAATCCTCCAAAATCCTCTTTGCAAAGTTGAGGCTATTTGCAGGATTGAGGATATATGGTAAAAATGTGTGGCTGATTTTGGAGGATGCACTGTGTCAAGGTCTTGGGCCGGACCTTGTGTTGTTTATGTACTCAGTTGTACATTATTTTAGGCCCAGGATTGAGGCAGTGGTTACCCCTCCAAGGACCACATTCAAGAAATAATGGAGGATTTTGATGGATTGAGGCAGTATGCAATATTTTACATGGAGGCAGTTGAAAGATTTTGCAGGATTGAGGTTGCATCCTAGCAAAAATGGCTAGGGATTTAAGGTTAAGTAATCTACATCATTGTTCCCTAAAAATTAAAACAATGAAACAAACTTAATGAGAAGTGAACTCATTAAAAATGGTGGTTGTGTTTGAATGGCACCTTAATTCATATAGGCAGAAAATGAAGCTTATTCTCCCCAGTGAGCTGAGATGATCTTTGGAGAGATTTCAGGTGTCCAAAAATAGAGTGTACGGCACTTTAAACAATATATTGAGAGAGCCGCAATAAGATGATTTCAAACAAAATCTTCCCTGACCTTTGACCCCTGATCTTTGACCTCTCCAGACCTCTGCCCCAGGAGATGATCAACTACAGCCGTTCCGACACCCATTACCTGTTGTACGTGTATCACTGTATGAAGAACGAGTTGATCGAGAGGGGCAACGAGGCTAACAACCTGCTGCAGCAGACGCTGCAGCAGAGCAGGCAGGTCTGCCTCCGGGTAAGTAACCAAACTTTGCAGGGTTTTTAACCCTAAAAGGGCTGGGTTATTTTGACCATCTCTCAGCTGAGGGGGGGGGGGGGGGGGGGGCGGATTCTAACCCCCCCCCCCCCCTGATCTCGGCCATTGAGTGACAAAAAATTCGGAAACTTGGTACATGCATAGAGCAACTCATCATGAATATACCCAAGAAATTTCATGACTAAAGGTCAAAGGGTTTTGGAATTATGGCTAATTAATGGTAATTCTGCTCTGTGTACACGACGTATTTGGGAAAATTTAGTTTTCACACGACGCGTAGCGCCGGAGAATTTTTTGGTTGCGTGGTCCGATTTTACGTTTTTGGTATCAAAAGATGCACAAGGCTCGAGGCTAAAAAGTCATAACAGCTCGAGTTGCGGAAAAAACAATTTCAAGGCTATCGCGGAAAAAGTTAAGGGGGGGGGGGCGGCCCCCCAAGCCCTTTTAGGGTTAAAGCTCAGTAGGCCCACAAGTATTTATTTTTTTTTCGTTTAAAATAAAAAGGCTTCGGTTTCTGGTATGGAGCTTGCCCCAAAAGTGGTGCGGCGATGTGGCTTCCTTCGTAATGCATGGAATATTTTAGGCTTTTGTCTTGCAAATGTTTTGAAACGTGTGGGGGTTCATCACAACTCTTCGGAAATTGGAGGTCATAGGTCATCTAGGGGTCATTTATGGTCGTTTAAAAATGCACAGAATTTCCCTTTTTCTTACGATCACAAAACATATAAGGATCGACCGCAGAAAAGAGGCGATCTGCGGTTCACTTGTTATTCATGAGGTGTTGTGGATTTTATGGACGCATTAATGTGCTTCGGCTGGAATATTGAAAAAAGGTAAATATAAAGTGCTAGTACTGCATTGCTGTTTTTATCCATTTGAAAGGATTTGTCTCTCTTTTCAGTGCTGACGTCAGGTCTGTTCATTTTTTTTTGTTTTTTATATAGCGCTACAAAAAGCAAATTTTCACGGATGATGCCCACCTAGCTCTGCGAAGACGCAACAAGAAGCCCATGAACCCAAAACAGGTACAAACTCCTTAAAAAATCGCAAGAATAGTGTTATTATGCTAATTCGAATTCAAGTCATCAAAATCACTGATGTCCATGTGTCACGTATGTTTCAGCCGCTCATTGAGTTTGCGCGCATGCGCACTCAAAATATGAAATACTGATAATCAGCAAACATGGATGTTTGCAGTCGCAGTTTGACCCACTGAAGTATCGGTCAACATCACGCTCGAAATACTTTGATAATTTTTTCTTTCCACGTGGACAGGAATTTAAGGCAATCAAAGTCACTTTTGCAAACCTTAGCGCAAAAATACAGAGAGTATTTGATGCATTTTTTTTGTTTTTCCGTGTCGTGTAGTACAAAAGTATTGGGTCACAAATTCAAAACAGGCGACAGTTTAGGGGATAATTTTTCAGTTTTGCCGAGTAATTGTAAACTTGTCTTCACTGAAAAATGGTAAAGGATGCCACGGAAAGTGCGATGTATAAATATCATTTAAGTCGGAAACCGTTTCAATGAGAAAAGTAAGGTCTCACGTTATACGTTTTTTTCGTTGAACGTAACGTGAGTGTGCACGTACCTGTACACAGACCCTGGAATCTGGCCCGTAAAACATGGCTAGCCACGCGCCACGCGCCGCAGCGCTCCATTTGTAATCCGTCTTTTGACGCGTTGGAAATGTATACATTTATCTGAAACGATTTACAACTGACTGGTTCCCGGCCCTGAAATGCAGTTAAGTACGATCATAGAGGGCACTGGGACCAGTGTAATTGTGCACGAAGCTTTCAAAATGGGTTTACTCGAAAACTGACGATTTTTATAAGCTACAGGTTTCCTTCTTACATCAAATCACCTGTAAAATGAAAATAATCTATCATCCTTTCCGATGGTACTACGGCTGATCTAAGGTAAACCCGGCAAATTGTCCAAATGTGTAAACCAAACTCAAAAGCGAACGATGTTTTTCCTTTTCATTTTGTACGTTTTTTGTCCATAATTATTGCTTTTTTTAAATATTTGAAAAGGTTTTTAGCGCCGTTACCACACTGTAGAGACAATTTATATCTTTGTTCACTTGGTCTACTGATAATTTTTGGTTTGAATCATCTTTTAAGTACGTTTGAGAAGGATACATTTTAAGACATGAAAACCAGACAATCGTTCAGTGCGTCGTCTGCTACCGCTGTTTGCAAGCCGACGACGCGGAGGAAACCATTGCACATGCGTGAGAAGACGAACTAAATGCACGCACGGTCTATGGGGCTGAAACATACGTGGTGTAAGTCTAGTGTAGTGTTTTTTGTCTTCAAATCAAGCTCAGGAGCTAAGTCAAGTGGATGGATTATAGCCATCCTTGGAGAAACTGGTTTGGCATATGCAATTTTTAAACTAACATATCGCAGAGACAAAATATGCATTTGCAATCATTGTTTCGTCACTTATGTTTAAAGATCAATATTTAAAATTGAATTTTTGCGATATTCTCAACAAGTAGATGAAAATTGCTGTCAAAAGTGGGTTTCCTTCTTTTTGCACCACCCTACATACTTCTATACAACTTTTTCAGAACTTAAACAAGTCATAGGTTGCACAGATTTAAAAAAAAAAAAATTGTGAAGCTGCAGAATATAAAGAGGCTACCAATTTTCGTAGACAGTAATCTCCAATCAATGAATACAGACATCCCGCAGCATTTGCAGCCGACACTTCAGTTGAATCATTGGACGTTTCTGTTGGAGCATGTTTGGTAGATCTCTATTCTTTTTGTTCCCCAGTACGAAGCCCTGAAGCTCTTGTATGCCTGGAGAGACCAGTTAGCCAGGCAAGAAGATGAAAGCACAGGCTACATCCTCCCAAATCACATGATGTTCCAAATTGCCGAGAATCTCCCAAGGTAGGATGATGCAGTTTGATAACATTGAAACGATTTCTACGTTTTTTTCCTTGTCGCAAACTTGGAAATATTTTTTTTTTTTGTGACAACTTGGTTCATAGTTCATGCATTTGTGGGTAATTTAATACATTTGGGGTCCAAAAGTGTGATATTTTAGTGTCCCTGTTACAGCTGAGGTGTGTTTAATTGCCCATACAAGTATCGTTAAAATTGACTTCAAACTTTTTTATTTAATTGTTTGGCAGGAATTTTTGCTTTACACAATCACTCTCGGAGATAAAAGGCATTAAAGAATGCGTCCTGAATCTTACAAAATCTTATTTCAAATGTATCAGGGACATAAAAAATTTGGACCCCAACTTTATGGAATGACCAATGTGGCTTGAAGCAGCACAGCTAATTTTGCATCTTTATATTGACAAAGCCTAGAGACTCTGTATAGGCGCCTGGCTTACCCTGTCTGAGCGGCATCTGAATCTATTGTCTAGAGCTAGTGTCTTTCTCTTCGTCAATTACAACTATGTGGGAACATGCCGACAGGAGACTTAACCATAGATCTGGACGCCTGTTTCAGACACGACCTTTCTTGGGGGTACCTGTTCACAGTGCCCTTAAATTCCTGGTGCCAGTTTGAACTGTATTTTGTTTGGGTTTTTAACTGTATTTTGTTTGGGTTTTTAACTGTATTTTGTTTGGGTTTTTAACTGTATTTTGTTTGGGTTTGTTTTGGCAGAGAGGCCCATGGCGTCTTAGCCTGCTGTAATCCCATCCCTCCATTAGTGAGACAGCAACTCAACGAGGTCCATCAACTGATTCTGAGAGCCAGGATGTACCAAGGCCGAACCAAGGTAGGAGCAACCTTCACCAAATGGTGTAGGCCCGTCCATCACAAGTCTATCACAAGTTTGGTCAAAAGTAAATCACAAGTCCATTCACCAGTCCGGTCAGAAGTAACAGGGGACGATGAACGACAAAGGAGTGCTTTTGTTTTATATTTAGTTTATTTGAATAGCTTGTGAGTTGACTTTGAACTGGCTGAATTGTGATTGACTTGTGATTGACTTGTGATTGACTTGTGGAGATGTGTGATACTAACAGATTCAACTTCCAACCGGCCCATAGCATCGAATGAAATTTATGCTTTAAAGAAAATGTTGCTGAAAATTTTGGAACACTCCTCGTATCAGTTTCATAGATTTTCTAAGCAAACATGCTGACATGCTTACACCCTACCACCATTAGTCATGATGGGTAGGGCTGCAGCTACCAGTACTCTCCATTTCCCTCGGTCCTTGGCAAGTTCTTGTGCATTCTCCATAGAGATGTCCATCTCCTTTACTTGGTCTAACCATATTTTTCTTGGAGCCTCTCTTGGTCTTTTGCCTTCGACTTGCCCTCTAATTATCAAGTTTGGGTATCTTTCAGAAGGCATTCTCAGAGTATGCCCATGCCATGTAAGATTGCGCTTGTTGATTATGTCGCTGAGCAGATGTTGCTGAGCAGATGTTGCATGATCTGTGACTCTGTCCCTTCCACGAAATTCCCATCATCTTCCTAAGGCACCTCATTTGAAAGGCATTGAATTTGGAATTGTGCCATTTATTGAGCGTCCATGTTTCACATGCATATAGAAGAATTGGCATTAAAAGTGCCTGTAACATCCTGATCTTCAATGTTCAGCTCCTTTCTTCCAAAGACCTGTTTGTCCAGGCCTTTGAAGGGTGCTGATGTTTTTGCAATTTCGATGGCAATTTAGTGAGATATGGTGTTGTCGCTAGAAATAACATGCTAAGTGGGAAAAACTTTTGGTGATAACAAAAAATAGATTACCAGCAAAAAATGCATGTGAAGTCTGCTGTTTTGACTAGATCTCATTATTGAATTCGCTACTTCTTTGATGACTTTTATCAATATTTTTTACAGAAGCCAAGCCCAAGTCCAAGTCCCAAGACGTTTGCCTCACCATCCTCGTCACCGATGGAGACCCCTACCCCTGGCAAACTCACCCCTAAAACACCCAGTAGCCTCCTGTACTGTCCCCACGACCCTACACCCCAGCACGTTACTCCAGACCAAAGCCATGGTGAGTATGGTATGCGAGAGGTGTTCTTGGTCCCAGACCAAAAGAGTCTGACTATTCTGACAGATCTTAGGTCAGGTAGGCATCACGTCATGTGACCTGAACAGGAAGGATCCCTTGTGGCGCACAAAAATGCAAAATGGCAACCTCGTCCCCAGTGCTTACTTTATTTCCAACCGCGTTTCCAATAGTAAACCCTGGATAGGAAACTTTCTTCCTGTATCCTGATTGGATACCGCAATTGGCTAGTAATGGATTTTTATCGTGTACTTGGTGCTATTATTCACAACGTGCAGTACGTGTTTTCGCGATCATTCGTCCACGCCTTCTCAAAAATACTAATTTCCTTTCCAATTTGCTCATATTAATATGAAATATGATACTGCATGTTGTCTCGATAAGATCGTAACAGTTTGATTTCAAAAATCGTGTTTTCGTAACTCACGCCGTGCTCGCGCTGCTACGAATTGACTCTGTTTTTACCCCAGACACCGCATACGAAAACAAACGCTAATGTGTAACGCATATCCAGGCACCAGACTGTTCCTCATTTGCATACGTGTTCAAAAATCTTGCACATGCAAATGATCCAATACCAGGGTGAGAGAGCAGGTAGTGGTGGGCGCGTACTGCTCGACACCCTGGGGACGAGGTTGGCAAAATGGTTCATAGCATGTGTGACCTTTCAACCCAAAACCAGTCCAAAGTCGCACAGCCATATTTTGAGATACAGCCCATAATACATGTACTTTGTACAGGCAACAACTATCGAAATTCAGATTTAGGCGTTTAAGGCGATTTAGTTAATTTGTAAGTTTTGTAAGAAGTTGATATGGGAAACTTTAACAACAAATTTTTCGATTTCTAAGTTTTCCAACGCCTGAAATTGTGAACTGAAAAATTACCCTCAAAACTGTCAGATTTTGCCCGATTCCCATTGGAAAGATTATTCAATGTCCTTTCCAATGAGCCAAAAATTCCAGATTTCACAAAATTGGTCAAAGTAACTGGTTTTGTGCTGGACGTTCAATTACTAAAAAATAAACTCAACTCAAATCCTTAACTTTGCCCTCCTCGTTGGTAGATCCTTCCGTTCCCGTTGCTCATTACTCTGCACTCTTTGGTGATGAAGAGCGCCCTCGCATCGTACGTACCGCCCGGTCCATAATCACAGCCTTTGACAGCAGCTCAGACGAAGAGACCGACAAAACGCAACCGACGCCAGGACAGCAGAAAGTGGCCCGCCTCAAAGCGTTGTTCGTCAACCCTTTTGAAATGGTAAGTGGATTTTTTTTCTCCATGTTACGGCCTGTTTACAGTGTGTGCAGTAATGGGATTCCACATGGTAAAAATAAGGATGTGCTCGCTCGAATGGGCCACTTTTCACTGAGCATGTAAGCAACTGCTTGGTAGCAATAAACCACCGTGCGTAAGAAACAGGAGCAATTTTTCCACAAAAATGGGTGAGAAATGTGCATTTTATTAGCCAATCAGCGTCATTAGTGGTCATGACATCATGTAGTTGGCCTCAATTTGTGCTGTAAACCTTTCTTTAGTTTGTATAAATTAATATTTTCCAACCATGTGTAAAGTTCACTGCTTTGTGATCTGCGGCTTTTTATTTCTGCTTTCCATTTCTGTTTTCTGTGTAGAAAGGCCCTTAAGAGGAGTTATTCATTTTACTATTAACCCTAACTCCCTAGCATAATTTACTAGGAACCATACCCATTCAGGCAAATTCCAACACCCACATGGGAAATTGTACACACACACTGTTGGACTTAGTTTCTGGAGGTATGTCAAACCCAATGTAAAAGACCATCAGTTTAGGGGTACTGTACTACTGTACCTATTCCAACAGATTTAAACAAATCCTGCTGTTTGGGCTTTGATGGGTTGAGTTCGGTTAGGGTTAAGCAAGAAAATACGTTACAAGAGGTTTTACAATGTTTTTTAAACAATTGAAAATCTCAAGAGATAATGTTTCATTTAGTGTGCCTAGACATTTTCATCAGAACAGTTGCTTTATTTTAAGTTTGTACAAAAGTCAAGCAAAGTTTCAGCAATGTTTTACTGTAATGTTTGATTCAAATAAAAACGTTTAATTTTGTGTTCCTCCAATAGTATCTTCCTCCGAAGCATCTAGTCCAGATTGCCCCAGCCCTGCTTGAAGCTGACAAAATCAACTTGACACCTGCTGGAAGTAAGAAGAGCACTGCATCGAGTAGTTCATCAACCGAGGTAAGAGATAAAATCTCCAACATGTCTGAAAATCTGACGGCATCTCCATAGATCTTTGGAAGTTTCCATATTTCAGAAGTTAAATACTTTTTTAGGAAAACCAAGAGGAAAACCTTTTGAGGAAAATCTTGCAGAGTTTTCTTTGATCCTAATCTAGTGCTTTTCTTTTTCATTCATGACTCATCTACTTTAAGAACTCCCTACCACTTTTCTAAGACTCTCACTGACATCTCACAAAGTAATGAACCTAATAGTTCCTATACTGCCCCAAGCCGACCCGCCTGTTAAGCCCTATACCGCCCCAAACAGCCCCAGCATTGCATGTGTTTATTACAGTGCGACATAATGCGTTAAATGTCAGCTTGGTGTCCCAGTAAACTTACTGTGGACCACAACATGCAAATCTTCAAATCATCTCTTCAAATCATCTTTCCAAACATTGGGGTTTGTTTTCTGTGCATGATAAAACAAGTAAAAGCTTATTTGTTGTTTTTTCCCTAGTCTTTTATTGTATGCTGAAACTTGATTTAAGTCCCTCCAGTGATATTTTCATAGAACTACTGGAAATTTTCCAATAATCCCACTACTTTGTGGGGTGCTGTGGTCCAATGGTTATAGTGTTCGACTCGTGTGCCGTTAAAAAAACCAGTAACACTTATCGCTAAAACAGAGAAGGGGTTTGCCCCGGTGTTTCTGGCAGTGGCTGGAATATGCGCCGCAGCACCTTGTAAACCCTTATAAAGGTGCTACATAATGGGTGTCATATTTCTCATAAACTTTATTTACCTTTCTTTAATAATAGACATATCTCCAGCGCCTTGAGTACCTAATAGTTCGTAGATACGTGCGCTATATAAGATTCCGATATTTTTATTATTATTAAAATGAACTTGAAGCATGCATACGGAAAAACACTTTTTACTCAGCGTCTGCATAATTAACTTATCGCTGTAGAATTGCGTCAACGCAGCTTGTGAAATATTGTCCCATTACATGATATACAAATGGACGCAGAACGCGCAAAATCTGAGACAAACAAAACTTAACGTACAAAATTCCGCAGGGTTTTCTAAGGGGCGTGGCTAACTCGCAAACGGTGAAACTTTAATTTTGTCACTCTTTTTTGCAGAAAATGAATTGTTTTGGGGTTTTTTGTTTGCACATTCCATGAAATTTTATCAATGATTCCACCACTAACAGGTTCCATTGGAGACAACTCAAAGCATGTGGAAACTTAAGAAACGTCCCAGGCCCCCACCAAAGCCGGCCCAGTCTGACATCACCACTCCCGGTAACGCGAACAATAATAGAGAGACTGAGGGTGACACAAGGGGTGACACAACGGAGGAGACAGCAGCGACAGAGGATGAAACAACTCTGAGACAACAGGTATCAGAAAGATGGGAGGGGGCCTTTGAAATAGCAAGCATCCTAGCTTGGAACTCTAGAAAAGGAAAATCTATTAGCACAATGTCTGTTATTGCTGCCTTTTTTTAAAAATCTAATAAATTCATGCGGCCTGATGTTGCGATCTTAACAAGTTCTTCAGAGGCAACATGACGGAGGTACAAGAAACAAACATGTAGGGACTCACAAACATGGAAGGTTGGGAGGAGAAACACAAAAGGGATTAATTGGGTGTGGGCACACCAGTGTAGATAGAGATCACAGAGGATGAAGTGGAAGGACTAACAAAGGACGGATTAAATAGGGAAGGATAGACCACGAGTGATTAGTCTTTTAAAAATGTGAAAACTAATGTATGCAAAGTTCAAACTTGAATGCTTCAGTCTGAAAAAATATGAAGTTCATTAAACAGGCTTGAAAGTTTCTCTCGGGTCAGCTGATTTCCTCATTTTTGACTTCACACTTATGCCATTAAAAATTGGGGAAAAAACCACTGTATAAACTATAAAGATTGGAATTTCCTCTTTGGTTTCTTCCCAGTTGCATGCCTGATTGAAACACCCCCTTCAAAAAAAAAATACATAAACTCCAAAAAAGTTTTAGGATTATGACAGTAATTTTTAAATTGAAAACAATTTTAAAAATGTGTCTGTATCCTAATAAGACAAATCTTGTGTGAATCCCCATCAGAAACGCAAGGCAGCCTCGTCATTAGATGAAGCCGCTCCGATGACATATCGACCGCCGGCCAAACGAGAAAAGAAGTCAGACGACCGCAGACCAAACCCCCACACAAACAGGGCAACGGACCCAGGGGCGTTCACACCATTTGACTACAGCATGGTCAATACGGCCGCAACAAGTGGTGAGTGTTTTTGTCATTGAAGTTGTAATGGGTCATTGTATAAATTTAGGTCCATAGTGTGACATTTTTCCTGTCCCTGTTACCTTGGCACTTTGGAATTTACAATTCAAGTGTCATTAAGAATGACTTCAAACTGTTTGTTTATTTGTTAGGTAGGTAGTTTGCTATTCATAATCACTCTTTGAGGAGGAATGCATTAAGGAGTGCATCAGAATTATATATTAAAAAAATAGATGTCAGATGTAACTGGGACAGGAGTAAGTGGACCCCAAATATATTTTTCGTGGATTTTTTAATTACCTTCAATTTCACCCCTGTCCACACTCATTTGAATTTCACAGATAGAGGTAGAGGAAGGGGGCGGGGCAACCAAGGAAGAGGGTGGGGCAACCAAGGTAGAGGGAGGGGCGACCGAGGAAGGGGAGTGGCCAAGCACTTTGATCCCTTCTCGCACACATCTACGCGCGGACGTCCTGAATTTAAGGTGAGAATTTTCTCCAGGATCCAATGTTGCAGTCAAGGTACTTACGATCGATCACAACTCAATGGACAAGTTATAATCACAAGTCAATCACAAGTCAATCACAAGTCAGTCACAAGTCAATCACAAGTCAATCACAAGTTCATCACAAGTCCATCACAAGTCAAACACAAGTAAATCGCAAGTCAAATCACAAGTCAATCACACGTCAATCACAAGTCAATCACAAGTCAATCACAAGTCAGTCACAAGTCAATCACAAGTCAATCACAAGTTCATCACAAGTCCATCACAAGTCAATCGCAAGCCAATCACAAGTCCATCACAAGTACATCACAAGTCCATCACAAGTACATCACAAGTCCATCCCAAGTCAACCACAAGTCAATCACAAGTCAAATCATAAGTCAATCACAAGTCAATCAAATATCTCTCTCTAGTTGACGCTACTCAAGCCGTTGTGGCAGGTGCTATGCAATACGCATGTACGAGTGTATAAGTCGACGTTGGATAGCCGTAACGGAAATTGCACACCAAGGCAGTTAAATCAAATGTCAATTACAAGTCAATCTTAAGTTAAACCAAGGGCGGATCCAGGGGGGGGGGGCCAAAGGGGACCATGGCCCCCCCAAAACGAGACCAATTTTTTTTTTTTTTATGTGACATCGCAATAAAGGCAGGCAATGAGTACACCACCATCTTTTCCTCAAAGAAAAACATTGGTTAAAGTGGTCAGAAATTGCCTCAGATCGCACCACAGAGCATCTAGAATCCAAAAAAAATTTTGGCCCCCAAAAATTGTGTTCTGGATCCGCCCTTGAGTTAAACACAAGTCAATCACAAGTTAAACACAAGTCGATCACAAGTCAATCACAAGTCAATCACAACTCAATCACAAGTCAATTATAAGTCAATCACAAGTCAAATCACATGTCGATCACAAGTCAATCACAAGTCAATCACAAGTCAATCACAAGTCAATCACAAGTCAGTCACAAGTCACCCAGTCCCAAGTCAAGTTACAACAAAGTTACATCAAATGATGTTCATCCCCTGTTTCTTGTGACTGAACTTGTGATTTACTTGTGACAGGACTTGTGATGTACTTGCAATCCATCTCAAGTACTGACTACATTACCGTCTAGCTCCCAATTGAATATCACAGTTTAAAAATAACAAGAGTTTAAAGTTGGCCCAAAAGTCAACATTTTCAGACAGATTCGGAATGAAACTGTGTTCTAATTAGATTGATAATTAGTAGTTTTATCTTTGTGTCTGGTAATGTCGCTGCCAAGAAAAAAGTCTTTATCAATAATAATAAAATTATCACAACTGAAGTGGGTAGGAGTTTGTTCAAAAATAGCCGGCTTATCTTTGTAATCAGTTTTGTTCGACCACACACAATGCATTGTCCTTGACAATGGCGTGAGCTGGCGGCATTGTGCAATGTTGTTACCAAATTAGAATTGAGAAGTTTTATGTTCACATTTGGAATCTTGTATTCCCATTTGTAGAAATAACTGCTGGCCACGGGTTATAAATTTGACATGGGTCTTGTTTTTTATTTAATTACGTAAAACCTATGAAATGAATTTTAAATGAAAACTAACTTCAAGCAGATATGCTAATAATTGAATCCCTTTTTGTGTCTTTATGTCTTATCACAAGTTCAGATTCAATGTACCTGAAGTGCAAACCAACAAATATTCCAGTTAAAGTGTGCGATTTTCCTAAGTGTTCATGCAGAATTGTTCATTTTCAAAACTTTTTTCTAACCATTAAAAAAAAAATGTAGAACAAGGGTCGACCCAAGATGCCTCGCGGTTCTGGCCAGCACAGCGTGACATACACAAAGCATGATGGCGGAAGGTGAGTCATTTTTGTTAAGAATTAGATTATTGTCTAAATTTTTGAACTTTTTTTAGGTGGTATAAACATGGGGGGGGGGCAGAGGCTCAAAACTTGTTGAATTACATTCAATTCTAGGGGAGTCAGGTTGGCGTAGCGGTACTTCCCTGGCCTTCCACCGCTGTGACCCGGGTTCGATTTCTCCCTGGGCCAACATGTGGATTGGGTTTTCAGTCCTTATTTGATTTGATTCCGTGGGTTTTCCTTGGAATGTTCTTCTGGGATGTTTCCTCCCACCTCTAAAACTGTAATTTCTTCACATTGTCTTCTCTTTACTGGGCCCCATGTGAGATCAGTGGATTCCACTGAATGGGCTACCCAGTCAAAATAAGAAATAAATAAACTTCTGCAGTAATTTTGCGGAATATTGTGCCCCAAACCTTTCATTTTTTTTTAGGGGGATGGGTTTTAACTAGAAATAAGACCCATTAAAAAACCTTCAATTTTTAGCTCCATTGTTTTAGAGTTAATTTTTTCAGCATTTCATTTTGAGTCGCATTAAGTTCAATTTTAGTCAGAGATACTGAGATAAAATGTGAGATTGGTGTTTGTTTTTATATTGTAAGTTCAGGCCTGGTTTTGTATCTCGAGGCAGTAGAGTAGGCAAGATCATATTCAGCTTTCAACGTTTCAGGACATTTCTTTGCATTCTTACAACAAAAGCAGAGATGAATTTCGAGGATTCAGGGCCATTGCTAGCAAAATGCACAGAGGGTTTGATTTCATGTTATTTGATTTTCCTGTGATTTTGTTGTTTCGGTTTTCTATCTTTTCAGGGGAGCAAGAGGCAGACATCACTGGCCTAAGAGATAGTGTCCATGAATCAGTGCAGGTAACGCATATTAAAACCCCCAAAAATGTGAAATGTTCACCGTCCGCCTTTTCTCTGAACGTACTGCACACAAATTCGCGTGTTGCACCAAAAACTTAAACTAGAACAAAATTCACTTTATGGAATGGAATTTTAACACCAAAAGAATAATACTTCCATAGCAAATGAACACATTTATTCTGTGGTCTTTCATGCTGTCACAATTTTTTTTTTAATTGGTTCAATATTTTAATTATCATTGCAGTGGACAAATTTTTATCCAAGCATTTTTATGCACACAACCTGTACTGGGAACACAGTTGTCTGTTTTACTTGCGGGAATAATTTTGCGTTGTACATGTTAGCTTTTCTAGGTCAAACCTTATCTTGTCGGTTTCCTATGCACAAGATAAAAAGTGGTTAAGACAATAAGTTGATTTTATTTTAGTTTTTTTTTTATCCAGTGCATCAGAGAAGTACGATAATTCCCTCAAAAATAGACTGATGGAGGAAACTATAGACAGATTGATATGACATATTACCACTTTGTTAATGATAAGGGAACAAAAATACAAAGGTCTCTATCAATAATTATTTCGGTTTGTTTTAATTAAACCTTATATGAGTTAATTTTATTTTATTATTATTTTTTGGGGGGGGTACTTTTTATGACAAATCAGGCTGATGTACTTGTAAGCATGTTAGATGAATCAAATGCTAAGTAGTAATTTTGCTTTTGACATTAAAACACAATATCATGAAATCTTAAACGCACATTTTTTAGTCTTTTGCTTAATTTTGATTTCGTTTGTTTTGTTTCCGTGTTTGGTTTTGTTGTCGATGTTGTGAAACATCCTGTTTGCACAATAAGGGGAAAATCTGGTTGCGAAATGCAAAAGAAGAGTTATTTTATTAATTTTGTTCCTGGTTAAAAAAAAAGATACATTTGAAAAAAAGGGGAAATAATTGGAACATTTGGGAGGGAAAAGTGAGGTCACTTCTGGTGTTTGGCATGGGCAAAATCCTGTGTGGTTTTGAGAATGGGAGTGTTTTTGTGTGGTCCCTCGTACCTTTGAACTTTGAGTAGAGCGTTATGAGCAATGGTACACTTGTAGAACTGCACAAACTCTGAGTGGTTTTATACGGCTGGTTCGAGGAAATATTAACTGGCAGTAGCGGTTCGGGGGGGGGGGGGGGGGTTCACCCCCAAACCCCACCCGTTCAGCCGCTGACTACTGTTGGACTAGTAAAATGGGGCCAAAAATATGAAATGCAATGCTAAAGTTCCTAAATTTATTCTCAAATTGCCTTAGAATGCAGGAGAAAGCATCATAGATTTCGAAATTTTCCTGGGGAAAGCCCTCGGACCCCCCTTAGCAAAGGCGTACAAACTTCATATAAATCCCCCCCCCCCCCCTGTTTCCTGAAAGCTAGATCCGCTCCTGACTAGGAAAGCCCAGAAAATCAAAAATCACAAATTTGATTATTCATTAGAGCAGACAGGTATTAATTCGTAATGAACTTTTATTTCATTGATTTAATTTCTACTCACAAATTCCAAAAATGAACAGTTTACCTCGCTTTCAATTTAATATGGCAGACTCGTGAATAAGATGTATTCAACTGATTTAGAATGGCTTTTCACTGGAAATGTTTGTCTGTGTCTGGTCTACACAATGGATCAGATTTAGCCCAGTCATTGCTGTTAAAGTGTAATCCTATACAATAGCACTGCCCGACTCACCAGTCAACAACTAGTCTTTTGTCACAACTGATAGTCAGACAGCGAGGTTGAAAGAGGACAGCTATAGACCATTATATCATGTTGTGGCCAGCTTGATTTTTTCCCATTCAAATCAATGTAACCAAAGCGAGGCTGGAAGGAAAAATAGTCTGGTTCCTTTTTTTGCACAAAAAACATGATCATTCAGTACTGTAATTGGATACAGGGAGCATAGTGACCGTTTTAGCCGATTTTCGGCTACCTTTGACAGATTTTTTGTTAAAAAACGAGTTTGACAGAAAATTTGACAATGGATTTTTTGGGCAGATTTCTGGCAGAATTCTGAAAAATGGTTACTTGACAGAAAAACAGCAAATTTGCAAAAAAAAATGGCACATTTGGTTACAAAAGCTTCAATCTTTTCAAAAAAACCCTTGCAAAATAGGATAGGTTGCCTGGTCTAGGTGCTGAGGTTCACTGGAAACCGGAGTTCGTCGTGAGGCAACCGCGTTTTGCCTGAAATTTACGCAATTTCATATTATCTTTATGTGGCTATAGATTAATGTAATTTGAACATTAATTAAGGCAATATTACAACATCTGCATGTGATTTAAAGTGTTTTTAGTGTATTTCGAGTAATTCTGGGGAGTTTGGCAGATTTTTGATAAATCTGACAGATTTTTGAAGTGCATTTAGCAGAATTTAGTCATGACCTTTTGGTCATGACTAGAAATGGTGGCAACATGCGGTGGCCTCTCGGATCAGCAAAAAAAAATGCCAACTGCATTTGATATTAAAGGGAATATACATCATTTGCTTTTGCTGTAATTTTCAGAAATGGATGGAATTGGGGGGTTGGAAATATAAAGCAAATATAGTTACACTGACTTTTTGGAGGTTTTGGGTTCGAAAATGCTATAAAAACCAAGAAAAACGATCATTTTCCTGTAGTCTGGTTCCCTGACTCCATATAAGAAGAAATAGAGCAGTTTACATACATTTGGGAATTGTAAGGTCAGGGAACCAGTCTAGCTGGCTCGTACCCGTTCATAGGTTTGTAATCGATTGCAAACAAGTGCAATGGTCAATTGGGGCCAGTATTTGAAAAAAAAGCCAGTTGTTTCCAACGCTGATCGGCCGATCAGCGTTGGAAATTGATACAAAAATACCACTTTTCTTGAAAATGACAGTATACCAGGTGCCATAATTTTACAGGATGCTTTAGACTGTCATTTACCAACATCCTATTAAGGTATTTCGCAAAAACTTGGTAGTTTTATTTTTCGATGTTTGCAAATGTTGTATATTCCCTTTAAAGGAGAGTCGAATATCGGTTGCTATGAAAGGCGAATGTATACCGTAGCCCCCCTAAAATATACCCACGAACAATGACATTTGTGTAGGGACTAGCTTGGCACCAATGTCACAATAGATTTTTTTTTAACGACCGCTGCTTAAAAACATCCAATGAAATATTAAGCCTTTATATGAGGGGGATCAAACGAGAAGAAACGATAAACTTGGCTATGCAAACATCACTCACTATTGCATTTTTATTTTAAACCTATCTGACCTTTTTGGCGCCAATTTTACTGTCATCTTTGGCCCGGATGATTCCGTCTCGCCTCTACTGTATGTAAAGAATAAAGAGTTAGGATTTAACGGCAATCGCCTCTCACAGTTCAGAATACCCATCAATATTTTACGGATTTTATCTTCTAACTTCGGGCACTAAGCCGAAATTTGATGGTTCATTTGGCAGTCCACCTGTTGCGTATATCCGTAATGTACAAGAACGCCAGAATTTCATATAAGCAATACAAATGTACGATTTATCTTTAAAGGGCTGATCATGACATGGATCTTATTTTGGAACATATTTTGTGCAACTTTCTACTCCTCTTAAACGTATGAAAACTATTTCAAATCCCGTTTTGGTTAATTTATATTGAAAAGTGCACTTTTTTAAACGTTTCAAAATTGTCCATGCTTTTCCTGGCAAATGAGGGCGCTGTTGCTGTGATGTCATTTCAGGAAGACACTGTTCAATTGACTTTAGGGGTTTTATGCTCAAATTGTCAACCCAAAATTTGCTCATTGAAAACATTTGTGAGAAAAACTGTGCTCATTGGCTTACTGTCATGTACTGAAACGATAAATCACCAAAGAAAAGAAAATTTACGACATCAAAATATCCAACAATTCTCTTCAACACATTCAGATTTTTGTTCTATTCACGAGTTTAAATTTGTTGTATTTCAACGGAAAAGTGTTTTTATATATTTTAGACGTTTTCAATATTCTGAATATAGGCTCTTATTTTGGGTTGCATCTTGCGCCCATATAACACACAAAAGATAACGCCCGATATTGTGGGGCATCAAATTTAAATAATTAGAAATCTGCACAGTTAATATTCTTTAAATAAACGTGGGTGGATTGTTTTTGTTCAATGTTTTTTAGGGGGAAAAAAGTTAAAACAACATCTATTTTCGGGGTGAAACTCGAAAATAGTCACTCTATGGCTATGAATAGGCCTATATTGTTTTGTTATTTAGGAGTCGAAACCTAAAACTGTCTAGATGTACTGTACAATATGGCTGTAGATCATGGCCATCTCGAGTGCATTTCGCGCCAGACCCGCCCATAAACGAGACACAAAACCGCCAGCACTTGTTTTTATTATGATCGATCTGCCTTTTTTTGTTTCGCGGTCAAAAATCCAAAGTTCGCTTCGAAGGTCGATGGTGACGTGCATATAGAAAAAAAAGGTCTCCAATTGTTATTCAGCGCAGCATTATTCATACAAGAAAAAAATATCTAATTTCCAACACTTACATATTACAGATATATTCTGTGATAACGACTATTTCTGTAAAACAGTCGTCCTGAACTATATTTAAAGTTTGTGGATATAAGCTACCTCTGCCTTTTCATTCGCAAGCTAATTTGTTTAATTCTTAAATGGAAATTAAGAATGTGATTCCGTTCTTAAATATTTATACAATGTACACCCTTTTCCCAAATTATCTTATTTTTTTCCTGTGTTTTCACCTTGTCAGTTTGACAAAATTCTTGTTATAACGTGTGCAACGTCTGTCAACGTTCAGTTTTGTCTACTCGGTCAATGATAACTATATGTCTTGCTTTTAGCAATTTGTCATTCGCATTTTTCCACCGTGTACTAGGCCCGTAGTATTATGTGCTAGACAGGGTCATGAACTCTGTTGCGCGGCGCAAAGCGGTAGCGTTAAACGAGGAGAAAATGGGATCAGCCTCGACCCCAAAATAGCCCTCGTGTCTTCTTGTAATCCGAAATTAGAATGACCCTGGGATACTATCGTTATGTCTGTACACCTTGAAGGCTGTTGAAGTCTAGAAGCTAGTCTTGACCTCGATGTTGAGACGAGACTCATCGTTAGTTTGTGTGTTGCCCTGGAAATCATTGAATTGGGTTTTCAAAATTGAATACAGAATTGAAGAAGAATGATTGCTCAATTTGTTCTGCGTATTTTTCTGTATTGCATTCGTTTCTTTATTTCATGTTAATTCCATTGTTTTGATATGTTCTTTGTTTTTTCTGTAGGCCTAAATCAAATTAAGGTTGGTTTTTGCCCTTCCGAGAGTTGTCATAAATATAACTCTCTCTCAGTTGGGACTCGAACCCACGACCTCCTGCTTCGTAGTACAGACGATTCACTTTTTATGAAAAAAAAAATCATTCTTAAGCCAGCTATAGAGAGTAGGCAGATCGCACGTCCCTGTGATCCTGCGTAAACTAGGGGATGATAACTCAAAGCATATGCTCCCACAGTGATATCTGGCAAAGACCATAATCCGAGTATCGAGCTAATGTTTGTCAGATTGCTTTACTTTAAAGGACAGCTTTTATATCCACTTTCCTTTTTACGGAAGCGAGACATGATGATGGTGTACACTTCAGAGTTCAGACCATAAACGTAGTTAGCCGAAAGGCAAAGTCTAATGCGGTGTCGCCGAAATGTTAAGTGACTCACATTTTTGGTCGTGCGTGCTTGCTTATTAATGTGG